AAGCTTTCCTCCAGGTGACTTCAGCTGCTCTATTTATTGGAAGATGCTTAAACAGTTAAAATAAAAAAGCTGAACGTTTGTCTTTAGTCTGAAGACAAACCGTCCTTTGAGCTTTACCGCAGTGAACAGATTTAGAGAGAGAGACCAAGACTTTTAGGGGCTGAGACCAAGGCCGAGGGAGGGCGAGACCGAGACAAGACCAAGACCAGTTCCCCACATTACATGCCACAGAATAAAATGTGGAATGAGATCCCAGGTGCTTCTCACATTGATCTGAAAGATCCACATTCCCTTTAAAACCCCCACATACAAACACTAAGAGCTGAAATCAACGTCAGCGTCTTTATCAACGCTCCTCTTCCACGCTGACCACCGACAGGGGCAGTCGTTAACGGGAACAACACGTGTTAATTAGGCTTACTGGTTGCATGTGAAGCAATAACTTTTCCATCCAATCACAGTTTGGATGTTCACAAATAAATCAGACGACGCAAAAGCAGTTTATTGATGTTCCCAAAGTTATGGTCTTGGCTGGTCTTGAAATAAAATCCAGAGTCCTCCATGTCTGAGACCGAGACAAGACTGAGTACAAATGCGGTCGAGTCCGAGACAAGACCAAGAGCGTCAAAAAGTGGTCTTAAGACCGGTCTTGAAACCAAGACTCGAGTACTACAACACTACTCTCAGGTTCTGCAGCGTCTCTCTCAAGGGGCTAAGCCAGAGATCGGACGGCGAAGCCGACCAAAGCCTGCACGGAGGGATCCATGTAGGCCCACTAACGACGTCAAAACCCTGAGACACCCGTCGCACATGAGAGATGTACCTGTACTGCCTAGATTATAAACTCTCTGTGAACCTATAAAACTGTTTGGCAGGTGGGCTGATTAAAGAGAGACGATCCGAGTCAGACAAACACACCGAGACTTTATGTTGGTGCAGCTCTGCAGCTACCGAGCGACGGTGTTTCTGCTGCTGCTCTACGCCATTAGACGCTGGTGCCGACAGGAAGTAGCCCTGTAGGAGCATTTTATTGGTCCAAAACTCTTTCTGGTTCTGTCTCCGTTCAATTCAATTCAGTTTTATTTATATAGCGCCAAATCACAGCAACAGTTATCTCAGAGCAGGTCTAGACTGTACCGGGATGTTAAATTCACAGGACCTTATTTTGTTAACTGTCCCAAATGTTAGAACGGATTCTGGAAAAAGAGATTTTATGAACAGTTTTAACTTGAAAGATTTGAAATCACTGATGTTTCTAATGTGTTGGCTTTTCTTTCCACTGATGAAACTACCTCAGCCAGGACGCTCTTAGAAAAGAGGATAAGTTTAATAACGGTTCTGGACGTCAGACATCATGATGTCCTAGGGAGGTGAAGTCGCACTGAAAGATCCAACACGGGTTTCATGTGTGAGTCATTGATCCGTCCAACGGCCCAGTTATTTCTTTAAAAGACGGTGGGGGGGGGGTGGGGGGGGGATTCCTTCCTTACTCTGGTGCTAATTGGTTTCCATGACAGTCAGCCTGCTGCTGCAACACTGACTGTTCCAGCATCAGGACCGAGAACAAAGGTGGTTCAGTCCAGACTCACCTGAGCAGGTGGTCCACAGCTACAGCGGATTAGACCAATAATTCATTATAAATAGTATAAAGATCCCGTCAAACGTCCAATCAGAGCAGCTTCTGCTTATCAGTCCTGCTGCAGAGGATCCTCCTCCACGAAGCTGTGACTGAGGTGTTTCTGTTATTTTGTCCACCCCCATCAATGAGGCTGACCTGTGTTCAATATATTAAATCTCTGAGCTCTTTGCTGCTGCCCCCATCAGCTGTGCAGAGGAACAGCAGCCGACTCAACCATCATCATCATCATCAGAACACAGAGGAACCCTCAGCAGAACCAAAGCACGCCAACACAGCAGGTTCTCCAGAGAACCCACAGAGCTGCTCTCCAGCTTCAGGCCTCAGCAGAACCCCCTTGTACTACCACAGTACTGCTCTGTGGTAGTACTACTGCAGGCTGCGTGCAGACAGACGGGGACAATAACTGGTTCTATTTCTGATCAATATGTGTGTTGATCAATAAAGTATCCGAAATGAGCAGCCGGTTCTCACTGTGGTGTGTGTGGAGTATTATTATTTACCACTGAACACATCAGCTGATCAATCCTGGTAATCTTTTTGTCAATAAAGAGTTTGTGTTTGGACCACAAGAACCTGAGAGGAGCGGCGGAGAGCGGCAGCTTCTGTACTGATAGACTCTAATATCTCCTACTGACTCTAACATCTCTACTGACTCTAATATCTCCTACTGACTCTAACATCTCTACTGACTCTAATATCTCCTACTGACTCTAATATCTCATACTGACTCTAATATCTCCTACTGACTCTAATATCTCCTACTGACTCTAACATCTCTACTGACTCTAATATCTCCTACTGACTCTAATATCTCTACTGACTCTAATATCTCCTACTGACTCTAATATCTCTACTGACTCTAATATCTCCTACTGACTCTGATATCTCCTACTGACTCTAATATCTCTACTGACTCTAATATCTCCTACTGACTCTAATATCTCCTACTGACTCTAATATCTGTACCGACTCTAATATCTGTACTGACTCTAATATCTCTACTGACTCTAATATCTCTACTGACTCTAATATCTCCTGCTGACTCTAATATCTAATACTGACTCTAATATCTCTACTGACTCTAATATCTCTACTGACTCTAATATCTGTACTGACTCTAATATCTCTACTGACTCTAATATCTCTACTGACTCTAATATCTCCTACTGACTCTAATATCTCCTACTGACTCTAATATCTCTACTGACTCTAATATCTTCTACTGACTCTAATATCTCTACTGACTCTAATATCTCTACTGACTCTGATATCTCCTACTGACTCTAATATCTCCTACTGACTCTATGACTCTAATATCTCCTACTGACTCTAATATCTCTACTGACTCTAATATCTCCTACTGACTCTAATATCTCTACTGACTCTAATATCTCTACTGACTCTAATATCTCCTACTGACTCTAATATCTCTACTGACTCTAATATCTCCTACTGACTCTAATATCTCCTACTGACTCTAATATCTGTACTGACTCTAATATCTCTACTGACTCTAATATCTCTACTGACTCTAATATCTCCTACTGACTCTAATATCTCTACTGACTCTAATATCTAATACTGACTATAATATCTAATACTGACTCTAATATCTCTACTGACTCTAATATCTAATACTGACTCTAATATCTCTACTGACTCTAATATCTCTACTGACTCCAATATCTAATTCTGACTCTAATATCTAATACTGACTCTAATATCTCTACTGACTCTAATATCTCCTACTGACTCTAATATATGTACTGACTCTAATATCTCCTACTGACTCTAATATCTCTACTGACTCTAATATCTCTACTGACTCTAATATCTCCTACTGACTCTAATATCTCATACTGACTCTAATATCTCTACTGACTCTAATATCTCCTACTGACTCTAATATCTGTACTGACTCTAATATCTCTACTGACTCTAATATCTAATACTGACTCTAATATCTCTACTGACTCTAATATCTCCTACTGACTCTAATATCTCTACTGACTCTAATATCTCTACTGACTCTAATATCTCCTACTGACTCTAATATCTGTACTGACTCTAATATCTCTACTGACTCTAATATCTAATACTGACTCTAATATCTCTACTGACTCTAATATCTCTACTGACTCTAATATCTCCTACTGACTCTAATATCTCTACTGACTCTAATATCTGTACTGACTCTAATATCTCTACTGACTCTAATATCTCTACTGACTCTAATATCTAATACTGACTCTAATATCTCCTACTGACTCTAATATCTCTACTGACTCTAATATCTCCTACTGACTCTAATATCTCTACTGACTCTAATATCTCCTACTGACTCTAATATCTCCTACTGACTCTAATATCTCTACTGACTCTAATATCTAATACTGACTCTAATATCTCTACTGACTCTAATATCTCTACTGACTCTAATATCTCCTACTGACTCTAATATCTGTACTGACTCTAATATCTCTACTGACTCTAATATCTCTACTGACTCTAATATCTAATACTGACTCTAATATCTCTACTGACTCTAATATCTCTACTGACTCTAATATCTCCTACTGACTCTAATATCTCTACTGACTCTAATATCTGTACTGACTCTAATATCTCCTACTGACTCTAATATCTCTACTGACTCTAATATCTCCTACTGACTCTAATATCTCCTACTGACTCTAATATCTGTACTGACTCTAATATCTCTACTGACTCTAATATCTCCTACTGACTCTAATATCTCCTACTGACTCTAATATCTGTACTGACTCTAATATCTCCTACTGACTCTAATATCTCCTACTGACTCTAATATCTCTACTGACTCTAATATCTCTACTGACTCTAATATCTCCTACTGACTCTAATATCTCCTACTGACTCTAATATCTGTACTGACTCTAATATCTCCTACTGACTCTAATATCTCCTACTGACTCTAATATCTCCAACGGACTCGGATCTTCTGTGTTTCTGTATAGTTTTATTTCATGTAGCTGATTCTCTCTCTGGTTCCTCCTCTGCTGCCTCGAATGCTGGACTCACGGACCTCTTCGCTCTGTTGCTTCGCAGCATTACTTCGCAGTATTACTTCGCAGCATTACTTCGCAGTATTACTTCGCAGTATTCGCGGTGTATGTTTCTCTTTAGACCTGACGCAGAAAGTTTTCCTGCTCTGACAGAAAGGAGGAACAGAGGAGGAGAAGGAGGGAGGAGATTTTCCAGCTGGAAACTTGGATGCCGACACAGAAACAGCAACTCCCATGCCCCCCCCCCCCTTCCCCCAGAGCCCTCAGAGACCCGGACCCCCGAGCCCTGAAACCCGGTCCCCCGTGTCTCCTCTTACCTTTGAAGGTGTCCGCTCGCGCGCCCGTTAATCCCAGTGAAAGCAGTAGAAGAGCCGCGGACAGCAGGAAAGTTCCGGTCCGCTCCATGTCCGCACCGAGACCCTCTGGAGCGCGAGGGAAAACTACCGAGCAACTTCTTCTGCTTCTCTCCTTCTTCTTCTTCTTCTTTTCTTTCTCCTTCTTCTTCTCCTTCCTCTACTTCTGCCGCGTCCTGTCTTCAGCTCAGACACACGGACGGTTCGGGTCTCAGTCGCTCCGGTTCCTCTCCCGTTTCTTTTTCCTCCGTTTCTCTTCAGACCGGAGAGAGAGACTGGCTCCGTTTACCGAGACCGCTGACGTCACAGGGGGCGAGAGACGTTAGGGGGCACGAGAGAGAGAGAGAGAGAGAGAGAGAGGGTGGGGGGCGTTATTCTATAATTATTTATTTCTCCATGTTTCAATCTTCAACACTTTTTACTTTTATTCTATTTCATAGTTTATCTTTTCCAACTGTGACAAACCTTCAGGGAGCTTTTCATTTTATTTCATATTTACCTTTAGTTTCATTTATTCCATCAGATTTAGTTTTTACTCAGCGGTTCTACTTATTACACGTGCCGTTTAAATGAATTTAATGTCATTTTAGATTCTGTGGTTAACTTATTTCGGGATGTGTGAGCTGAGACTTCAGATGATGATCAGTGAATCAGAGCAGAGGAGTCTGAGCAGGGCCGAATGCTGCCACCTGCTGGTTCCTGCAGCTGAAGACTTCTGAGCCATCAAACTGATGTTTTCCTTTTACATTCAGCGTTTCTATTGACCGAAAGACGTTTTTATTCACACACACTGTTAATCAGTGAGGCCACCATGATGTGAATGCATCATATACATTCATACATATTCAGATGTACACGTTCTTTATCCAGAGAGAGATGCAGCCAGACAACATGTAGAAATGTTGCGGAAAGAGTATGTTATATATTTTTATTTATTTAAAATGTCTGGGTGTGCGTGAACATGTGGATTCTGTCTGTTGGTGAGTCGTGACACTTATTAATACATTAAAAAGAAAAGTCAACACGTGAAAAGCAGAGGGTGTAAATAAAGGTGGAATGTTTGTCACATACTTCCTACAGATAGTTCACATGTTTAATGAGACTTCGTGTCTTTAAACGGCATCAAGTGACCAATGGACGCTCAGTAAATAAAAGCTGCTCTGTGTTTCAGCGAGGAAACAAAGTGCTCTATTCAGGGAGGATTTATTGCTCTGTGCTGCCACCTGCTGGACGACCTGAGGAAGGGCAGGAGAGAGGACACTATTACCACCACTGCTACTTTTTATACTACCACTACTACTGCTACTACTGTGAACAATAATAAGACACACAATTACTGGAAAAGAACAACTGAAGTCCAGTAAAATAAAGTTTAAAGAGATCAAACCAACTGCAAGTAAAACCAGCTTTTACAGTTTTTACATTCCATGACAGGTTTTATTAGATGTCTGTTTTCACATAACATGTTGAGAGATAGACTACTTGGCCACAAGTTTGTGGACAGTCATGTGTGAATTCAGTTAAGGGAAGTATGAAGTATGCAATGATTTTTTACAAAACACCATGCAGTGGAACAGGTAAGTCAGGTTTTATTGAATTCAACTGTTTATTGCATTTCCATGTTAACAGTGATATTAAATAAACGAAAGAAATATGAAGAATAGAAGTTTGATGTTATTCTCTGCTGTGTTGTTGATGCACTAATCGCCAGCTTGGTGCTGTTTGTTAAGCTCAACACTCTTGAAACAACTCTGCTCTTCTGGACTCTGGTGGCTAGACAGTGTTTAGAGAAATAATAATAATAATAATAATAATAATAATAATAATAATAATAATCTTTATTTGTAGAGCACTTTTCAAAAACAAGTTACAAAGTGCTTTAACAAGTGTAAAGACAATAATACCCAAGAGACAATTATACAAAAACAATACAAGATAAAAGCATGAAAACATTGAAAAGACTAAAATACAGATAAATATAAAATTAGTAAAATACAATAAAATAAAAGGGATAAAATAAAGTCAAATAAGATCGGGAAAAGCTCTCCTATAAAAGTATGTTTTAAGAAGGGACTTAAAAGAGTTCACTGACTCAGCCGACCTGATTTCCTCGGGCAGGCTGTTCCAGAGCCTCGGGGCCCTGACAGCAAACGCTCTGTCCCCTTTAGTTTTCAGTCGAGACTCTGGAACAGACAACAGACCTCTGCCCGAGGATCTCAAGGTACGTGCTGGTGCGTATGGGACTAAAAGGTCAGAAATATAACAAGGCGAGAGGCCATGAAGAGCTTTAAAAGTGATCAATAGAATTTTAAAGTCAATTCTAAAACATACTGGGAGCCAGTGTAGTGAAGCTAAAATAGGAGTAATGTGGTCATATTTCTTTGTTCTGGTTAAAAGCCTGGCAGCTGAGTTCTGGACAGTCTGGAGTCGATCAGTAGATTTTTGGGTTAAACAGGTGAAAAGGCTGTTGCAATAATCCAGGCGTGATGAGATGAAGGCATGTAAAATGGTCTCGGTGTCTTTAAAAGTTAACATAGATCGAATTTTAGCTATATTTCTAAGTTGATAAAAACATGATTGAACAAGCTTTGTGGTGTGCTGCTCGAAATTTAAATGACTATCAAACCAAACACCAAGGTTCTTTGCCACAGGCGTAATGTGATTTACTAGGGAACCAGCAGATGGCAGTATTTGATTTGCCATCTGCTGGGACCCGATGACCAGGATTTCTGTTTTGTCTGAGTTCAGCTGGAGGAAATTATTTGATATTTGGTCTGTGGATCTGACGGGCAAGTATATTTGTGTGTCATCAGCATAAATATGAAAAGAAATACCATGTTTATGGATAATATGTCCAAGGGGAAGCAGATACAAGGAAAACAAAATGGGTCCTAAGACCGACCCCTGAGGCACACCATATTTAACTGGACAGAACGAGGAGACATAGTTGTTTACAGACACGCAAAACTTCCTATTTGACAGGTAGGATGAAAACCATTCTAGGGCAGAACCAGAGATCCCCACCCAGTGCCTCAGTCTGTCTAACATGATGTTGTGATCAATGGTGTCAAAAGCAGCGCTAAGGTCCAGGAGTACCAGGACTGAGCACATGCCTTCATCAGCAGACATTAAAAGGTCATTGGTGACTTTAAGCAGGGCAGTCTCAGTGTGCTGTGGTACTTCCTAAAACCAGACTGAAACTTTTCAAATATTTTGTTATTAATAACAAACCCAAACTGTAAAAGTAAGGGGAACATGCTCTCAGGTAGTAAAAACGCCCGGTCCACCCAGGGTTGAACTCAACGCCGACAAAACAAAGCAATAGCAAAATGTTATTTATTATAAATGAATTAAAAGCAAATTACATACCACAAAGCCCGTTGTGCAATGTTGCACACCATTTCGAGGAAACATGTCGTTCAATCAGAAAGCCTTGCAATCCGGTGCAAAACGTTGAGACTGAACTCGCCCCAGCTCTCAGGTAATTAAAGCCCCATCTCTATCCATGGGCAAGTTCAGTGCCGACAAAACGCAGCAAAAAGTTTTTTTCCATGGAAATGGTGGTTCCCTGAACACCCCTCTGTGTACGCAAGCGCACTGAATTTTCCTGCCTTTTTAACACCGTTGTATTTACAAACCTGTCGCAGCTGATTGGGCAACACGCCCACCAAATGGGAGAAAACATGCCTCGAAGTCCGTTGCAGAACGTTGCACAATGTTGCAAGGAAACATGTTGTTCAATCTGAAAATGTTGCAAACCGGTGAAAAATGTATTGAGATTGAACTCGCCCCAGCTCTCTAATTAAAGCCCCGCCCCACCTCTACCCAGGAGCGAGTTCCATCTCAAAACGTTTTGCGCCGGTTTGCAACGTTTTCTGATTGAACGACATGTTTCCTTGAGTTCTGCAACGGGCTTCGAGGTATGTTTTCTCCCGTTTGGTGGGTGTGTCTTAGGTGTTATCCAATCAGCTGCCACAAGTTTGTAAAAACAACGGCGTTAGAAAGGCAAGAAAATGCAGTGCGATTGCGTACACAGCAGGGTGTTCAAGGCACAACCGTTTCCATTGAAAAAAACGTTTTGCTACGTTTTGTCGGCGCTGAACTCGCCCCAGCTCTCAGGTAAATAAAGCCCCGCCCCACCTCTACCCAGTTCTCAGGTAATTAAAGCCCCGCCCCACCTCTACCCAGTTCTCAGGTAATTAAAGCCCCACCCCTCCTCTACCCAGCTCTCAGGTAAATAAAGCCCCGCCCCACCTCTACCCAGTTCTCAGGTAATTAAAGCCCCGCCCCACCTCTACCCAGCTCTCAGGTAAATAAAGCCCCGCCCCACCTCTACCCAGTTCTCAGGTAATTAAAGCCCCGCCCCACCTCTACCCAGTTCTCAGGTAATTAAAGCCCCACCCCACCTCTACCCAGTTCTCAGGTAATTAAAGCCCCACCCCTCCTCTACCCAGTTCTCAGGTAGGTAAAGTTGTTGGGTTTTCTGTAAATAATATCACAAAGTACGATCTAGACCTGCTCTTTTATGAGTAGCGCTATGAGATAACTGTTGTTTTGGCGCTATATAAATGAAATTCACATCAATTGATTTGAATTAGGTAGTTAAAATCCCCACTCCCACAATTACCAAGCTCTCAGGTAGGTAAAAGCCCCGCCCCCACCTTCACACAGCTCTCAGGTAGTTGAAGAGGGAGCTGAGCCCCCCCTCCAACACCTCCTTCACGGGCTTCAGCAGCGGGTTGTGGATGATGTGCAGCCCTTTATCCAGAGGATGGCAGGCCAACCTCTCCAGTCGGGACAGCTGGTGCATCTCCTGAACACATCATCATCATCATCATCACCAAAGTCACTGGTTTTATTAGTATATAACACTGTCTATAACGCACCAAACTACAGTTTAATTTGGATGATTTCAAACTTCACAAGTGTCACGGCAGCTGCTCTGTTGGCACTTTACCTGTGGTACATCCTTAATGTCGTTAAAGTCCAGGTTCAGCAACTCCAGCCTGGAGATCAATCAAATCAACAGGGTTACGCTGAATGTAACGTTGAATGTAGTTTTGCATTCAGGGTTATCTACTGAGGGGATACCATGGTGAAGTGATTTACCTGGCGAGGTAGGTTACCAGGTGAGGTGGGGTTACCTTGTTAGATGGGGTTCCCCTTCGAGGGAACTCGAACTGCGTCGGTAACGACACTATGGCAACACCTCTGGGCGTGGCAGGGCTGAAAGTACTCCAATCCTATTGGCGTTGCTAGAACTGTGTGACAGCGTAACTGGAGGCATACATAAGCACGCCAGCACAACGGACACATAGCTTTTTTCTATTCAGCACCATTGACCATCAGATCCTATTGCAGTGACTGGAACATTTCATTGGCATTAAATTAACCACTCTATGCTGGTTTAAGTGCTATTTATCAGATCGATTTCAGTTTGTACATGTTAACGATGAGTCCTCCATGCACGCCATAGTTAGTCATGGAGTTCCACAAGGATCTGTCCTCGGACCAATCCTCTTCACTTTATAAATGCTTCCTTTAGGCAATATTATCAGGAAATATTCCATAAACTTTCATTGTTATGCAGATGATACTCAGTTATATCTATCGATCAAGCCAGATGAAACTCATCAGTTAGCTAAACTTCAAATGTGCCTTCAGGATGTTAAAACCTGGATGACCTGTAATTTTCTCATGTTAAACTCAGATAAAACTGAAGTTATTGTTCTGGGGCCTAAGCACCTCCGTGACGCATTATCTAAAGATATAGTTTCCCTTGATGGCATCGCCCTGGTCTCCAGCACCACTGTGAGGAATCTTGGAGTTATATTTGATCAGGACATGTCGTTTAAGTCTCACATTAAACAAATTTCAAGGACCGCCTTTTTTCACCTACGTAATATAGTGAAAATCAGGAACATCCTGTATAAAAATGATGCAGAAAAACTAGTCATGCATTTGTTACTAGCTAGTCCGTTAAGACTCTTCAGCTGACCCAGAATGCTGCAGCACATGTTCTGACAGGAACCAGGAAAAGAGATCATATTTCTCTTGTCTTAGCTTCTCTGCATTGGCTTCCAGTAAAATCCAGAATAGAATTTAAAATCATTCTTCTTACCTACAAAGCTCTTAATGGTCAGGCACCATCTTATCTTAAAGAACTCATAGTACCTTACTACCCCACCAGAGCACTGCGCTCCCAGAATGCAGGGTTACTTGTGGTTCCTAGAGTCTCCAAAAGTAGACTAGGAGCCAGAGCGTTCAGCTATCAAGCTCCTCTCCTGTGGAACCAGGTTCCAGTTTGGGTTCAGGAGGCAGACACCATCTCCACATTTCAGAGTAGGCTTAAGACTTTCCTCTTTGATAAAGCTTATAGTTAGGGCTGGCTCAGGTGAGTCCTGAACCATCCCTTAGTTATGCTGCTATAGGCCTAGACTGCCGGGGGATTTCCCATGATGCACTGAGCTCCTCTCTCCTCTACTTTCTCTCCCTCTGTATGCAACCTCATCCCATTATTGCATGTTACTAACACAACTTCTCCCCTTTCTGGTAGTCTTGTGCTTTCTCATCCCTCTCCTCTCTCCTCCTATCACTTCCTGCAGGTGTTTCTGGCTCTGGAGCTGTGGAGTCTGGATCTGTGGCTGCGGGTCACCTGCTGCCCCCGTGTTCCTGCTCGACACCCTCTGCTGCAACGACTATTGTTGCTAGTCCTATTGTTATTATTGTTATTATAATCATTAACACTACGACTGTTACCATTAACACTATTATAAATATCTGTACCATTTTTCATTTAGTCTATAGCAACATCACCTTTACTGTCTGTGCCTCTGTGTGGATATTGTGTAGGCTGCCTCCCTCCCCTCTCTCTCTCTCCTTCCATCCCTCTCTTTTTCTCTCTGTTCCTCTCCTGCCCTCTCTCTCTCTCTCTCTCTCTCTCCTTCACCCCAACCGGTGGAGGCAGATGGTCGCCCACCCTGAGCCATGGTTCTGCTCGAGGTTTCTGCCTCTTAAAGGAAGTTTTTCCTTGCCTCTGTCTCCTAGTGCTGCTCTTGGTGGGAATTGTTGGGCTTCTGTAAATAAAATCACAGAGTACGGTCTAGACCTGCTCTTTTATGAAAAGCACTGTGAGATAACTGTTGTTGTGATTTGGCGCTATATAAATAAAATTGAATTGAATTGGATCGTTCAGACCATTTCCCTGGCAGATGCGCGGGTTACCTTCACCTATGGCCGTAAGGGTGTACTCTACTCGAAGCATGGCGGTCTCTAGGGCCCTCCTTACAGGGGCATCGCTCCAGGATTTGTGTGAGGCAGCTGGCTGGACCACTCCTCACACTTTCATCCAGTATTACAGTCTCGACCTTCCTTCTGCACCCGGCACCCGTGCGCTCTCCTCTTAGTCGTGCCTACACTGGGGGGCAGGCGGAGGCTTCAGCGTGGCATAGTGGGTATTCTCGTTCCCATAGTGTCATCACCGACGTAGTTCGAGTTCCCTCGAAGGAGAATGTCTCGGGTTACGTATGTAACCCTTGTTCCCCAAGAAGGGGAACGAGACACTGCGTCGGTCCGCCACACCTCACCCTGCCTGGAGTGCCTTGCTTCATAGCAAAGAGCTAATGTGTCCGGTGTGCCGGCATGCTTATATATGCCTCCAGTTACGTCGTCACACGCTACCATTCTAGCAATGCCAATAGGATTGGAGTACTTTCATTCATGATTTCAGCCCTGCCACGCCCAGAGGCGTTCCCATAGTGTCGTCACCGACACAGTGTCTCGTTCCCCTTCTCAGGGAACAAGGGTTACATACGTAGCCCGAGACGCTAGTTACTTGGGGTTACCTTGGAAGATGGGGTTACCTTGTTAGATAAAGTTACCTTGTTAGATGGGGTCACCTGGTGAGGTGGGGTTACCTTGTTACATGGGGTTACCTTGTTAGATGGGGTTACCTGGTGAGGCAGCACAGAGCCTTAGGCAGAGAGTGGAGGCTGTTTCCCTCCACAATGAGGATCTTTAGCTCTACCAGAGCCTGGATATTCTCTGCTAGGTTCTCCAGACGGTTACAGGCCAGGTGGAGAAACACCTGTAGGGACAGAGAATGTGATTGACTGACAGGAAGACATTTTATACTGTCAGTCGGCAGAAAGTCATCTTAAGGATCCCTGTGGACTTGATGAATTGTGGATTTGGACATGCGTTGACTTCCCAGAAATGCAAGTGTGAATCTGTGAGCCTAAAAGAGCGATGAAGTCAGAGAGATTTTGATTCTGAGTGATGTGAACGTACCAGAGCCTTCATGTTGTAGACACAGCCTGGGATGTGAGCGATGTGGTTGTGACTGAGATTGAGTTTCCTCAGTCTGGTCAGATTGGAGAGAGAGGCAGGCAGTGAGGACAGCTGGTTGTTGGCCAAACTCAACACCTGAGAGACAACAGAGTCAAACAAAACTCTGTAAAGCCACGCATTCAGCTGATTACATTTACTCATAGCGACTTACAATTGCTATACAGAATATGTCAGGGGTCATGTGCCTCTAGAGCAACTAGGGATTAAGTGTCTTGCTCAGAGACACATGAGTTCCACTGGGAATTGAACCCAGGTCTCCCACACCAAAGGCATGTGTCCTATCCACTGCCCCACCGCCACCCCAAGCAGATAACTCACTTCCAGATCACAAAAATGATACTTGTTTGAAGATTTTTTAATTTAATTTATTTAACCAGGGGAAAAGACCCACTGAGATAAAATCTCTCTTTCAAGGGCGCCCTGGCCAAAAAAGGCAGCAAGTCAAGGAATGACAACAATATAATTAAAACATACCACTTTACATATACGCATATGTGACAGTAAGATCACACTATAAAAATCAGTACATTAAAATGTCTTCATGCAACTAAAAATGCACTAATGGAATACCTGGTCATTTAAAATATTTACATTCATCTTTAAAAACCTCCGTAATCAAGGATTTGAACTCCGCAAACGGTGCTAGCAGCTCCAGCTGGAGGATCCCCTGCAAAGAGTTCCAGGTTAATGGAGCACAGCATGAGAAGGTCTTTCACAACATTGAAGTCACCCTGGGAACTTTAAAGAGCAGCAGCCTGCTGGACTGGGTACAATGACTACTGACCGCATAGCTAAGGAGGCTACCAAAGTAATGTGGTACTTTGCCAAGTACTAAGGCCAAGATTCTGCCAAGAGCGAGCTATAGTGAATGTTATAAGCTTGATTTTTTGGGTATTGAAGACTAAGGAGAACTGTAATGAGCTGTTATTAAGCCTGGAGCTAGGCAAATGTATAACTATGTCATCTGCATAGAGATGCAACTTGCCTCGATGTGAATGTTTTCCTACATCATTTACAGAAATAGTGAATATACAGGATCAAAGATCGAGCCTGGGGGATTTAAACCGTCCATCATGTATCTGACAATGATGTAGGAGTGCAATGCAAAAATCAGTGGAGTACCCTAAATATCGCAATTACTGCACTCCAAAATGAGCTGATCCAAGCTGAGTCTGCGTCTGAATATAAAAGTTTGGAAGAGCAAACCAGCAGTAGTATTCATAACAGTTCTAGAAGTATTTCCCCAAGTATTTGCAGTACCTCCAGTTGTGTACAGGCTCCCAGCTCTTCAGGAACTTCAGTCAGTCTGTTTCTGTAGGCAAACAAGACTCTGAGTCTCCTCAGCTGTCCGATCTCTGCTGGCAGGCTGCTCAGCTGCACACAGTCAAAAACATCAGGCGCTCATATCAGGGCTGTCACCCTCACATTTTACTCTACTTACATCAAATGGAAAATTCAGAACAAATATTAAAAAGGAAGAAATGCCACATTTCCTGAATTCTAAAGTTCTAACAACACATTTCTGTTAAAATACATTATTTTATCTACTGGAAGGAACAAATTAATAAAATCTTCACATGAAAAATTCACATAAGGGGGCCCATTTACATGTGAAAGATCATATTTCAAGTTTTAAAATATGAATTTTCATGTCTTTTGAAACGAGAGACTCTATGGAAGCTGAATGGTGTGGCTGTGATGAAGGCTGCAGCCTGTAGGGGGCGCTTCACACTGTTAGTGTTGTTGCTCAGTGGAGTTGAACTGAAGGTTGACGAAGGGAGGAGGAAGGTGGAGAGAGGACAGAGAAGAGAAACTGGATCCTGGAGGATTAGAGGGGGATTAAAACCTTTATTTATCCAGGAGGCAGAGCAGCTGCCTGGGGAGGAGGCGGTGGTCGCTGCCTTGCTCACGGGCACGCTGACAGACTCGGACCTTCACGTTCTGGCTTTTAAGAGGGCCACTGAGTTTACGCTCATACTTCTCTGCCTGTGAAAACAGTCCTATAACGTCTTCTGTCCCAAATAACTATGCATCATGCAGACAGGCACTGTCAATTTAGGATCTATCAGGATATCTCCACCTCATCTGTCTTTCACAGCGACTTTATGGAAGATCAAAATCACTCTTTTACAAAGCTGCATCCACATTTTCATTAATATGTAACCCTGGAATATAACTATGGTTCACAAAATTGCAAACAAGCATCATCTCCTTGTTCTGTTCTACTCAGCTATCCTTGAGTCCATTATCACATCATCAGTTACAGTATAGGAGGGTAGCATGGACAGCCAAATACAAATGGAACTACAGCAGATTGTCTCCAAAGTATCCACTCCCCCCACTGTAAATTGAAGAAAAAGATCTCCAATCCATCACATCCTGCTCACCACCTCAGGGAGGCGCTACAGGTAACTTTCCACCAAGACCAAATGCTTCACAAACAGCTTATTCCCCAAAGCCATCAGGACGTTGAGCTCCCTTTAGTCGCTTCCTCACACACCATTCACCAACGTGATTAACCACAGACGCATTCACCACTCGTTAAACCGGAACTGAACCGGACCCCTCTAGTACCTGGTACCCTTTAGCGTTGTCTCCGGACTGAGAGAGGAATCCACCTTGATGAGTTTGTCTCTGAACATGGAGCCCTGCAAGAGGTACATTATCGAAGGAGGATTTTAGCGAAGGATTTTAATGAGCACCCGTCATGCCTGCAGTCATGTCTCCTGTTCATTTGTGTGAGAGCTGTTTACAACTGAGCCAAATAGTTGCTGAACTGGAAAAAAAGGTGTCTTTGCTTTATCAGCTGAGGGAGGAAGGACACCATATCCATTCCATGGTGGCCCAGTCTCGAAGCACCTCAGTGGCTGCAGGTGAGACCTCCAGCAGAGACCTGGATGACACTGCTCCCTGGACAATGCGGGCTCAGCCCCACACTAAAGACCAGTGTGTGCGAACAGGAGCCAGGCCTAAGACTGTCCAGTGCTCTACTCTAGTATTGGTTCAATTGGATCTGGTTAGTTTCTGTTTGAGCACTTAGGATCAGTGTATGAATGTGTGTGACTGGTGAATGCAGATGTAGTGTAAAAGCACTTTGAGTGGTCGAAAAGACTAGAAAGGCGCTATGCAAGTATGGAGCATTTACTCCAGGAAGGTGTTTCTGGGGTCAACACGGAGGTAATTTCCCTGCTAGTCCACCTCCAGCACCGGAGGTGGTGGCATCTCAAAAACATTCACAGTGCTTGCCTCCTCTCTTGGGCTCTGTCCAAGGCAATGAGGGGAAAAGGCAGACAGCATCCGCGGGGCCACTGTCACTGACATTTCTGCCAGGATATATATTTCTGCCGGATATACTGGAAGCCACCCCCTTGGTGGATACAGTGGTAACCCATGTGAGCACTAATGATACACGGAAGCAGCAGTCTGAGATTCTAAAACAGGATTTTAAAACCTCTAAACTGCAGCTGCTTCAAAACGCTGCTGCACGTCATTTGACTAAGACTAGTTAATTTCAGAATTGATTTTAAGATCCTTTTACTACTTTATAAGTCACTTAATGGTATTGGTCCAGAATACTTATCAGATTTGCTGTTACCTTATGAACCTACTAGAACCCTCAGGTCCTCCGGTAAAGGCTTTTTAATTATTCCTAAAGCTAAACTGAAACTGATGGTGAGGCGTCCTTTCAATGTTATGGCCCGTGTTTGTGGAACACCCTTCCTGATGAGCTGAGAGCAGCAGGAAATCTGGACATGTGTAAACGCAAACTAAAGACATACCTATTTAACCAAGCTTATAACTGAGCTGTAAGTTTTAACTAACTTTATTTATTTATTATATCATACTTTTACTATTGATGGGCTGCTTCTCTAGTGCTTCTTTTTCTGGGGTGCTGGGGTTTTAGTGTTTTAGGTGTTTTTACTCATTTGGCTGTTTGGGTTTGATCTTCTTTTTTTCCCAGGTGCTTATTATACTTATATCGGGTGGTACTATTGCATTATTGTTGTTTTTAAACTACTGTTTTTATATGGCTCTGTAGTGTGGAGCATTTTGTCTTACATGTGTTTGTATGAAAAGTGCTACATAAACAACAACTGATTGACTGATTGATTGAATGTGTTCTTGTATTGTTACACAATGCTATGTGGAGTATGTATGCATGTTGTATATGTACCTGATGCAGAGTTTAACATACTGTACCGAAAACAAACTCCACTGGCCTCTGTCATGTGGTTAATAAAACTGTCTGTTTCTGATGGAGGTGACAGCAACCAGATGTTTCACCTGGTTGCCCCAGAGGTTGAGCACCACCAGGTTGGAGAGCAGAGCCAGCTGAGGAGGAAGGACCTTCAGACTGTTGAGAGACAAGTTCAGCTTCTCCAACTCCAACAGCTCCCACAGTTCATCTGGGACCTCCTGCAGTACCAGAAAAAGCAGGTCAGGGACTGGATCTATAATCTGTGTTGATGCTGCTCTAATATGTTCAGAGGGGGAAACAAAGGTGGTCAGAGGCTTCTAAGTATTAAATGACTCTGCTATAACTAGAATATTTACAGCATCTATTTCCTTTAAACAGCGACCAGCCAAGTTGTTTATGTGTAGAAATACGGTTCTATGGTTGAGAAAAGATAATCCAAAAGGAAGTGGTCATCTGACGACAGGTAAAGCTCTGAAAATATCCTAAACACAGTGTACACTTGAACTGATCTAGATGTTTTCTTCTTTCAGGTGGTGAAGACACATTAGCTGCTGACCCTGTCCACAGCAGTACAGCCATCTACTGCAGCTGAAAAACACTGACTGCGTATAAGTACCTCATGCAGCCCCACTACAAAAACCCAGAACTATCCCTTTATTCGATCATCAAAAGATAAATGTTTCCTTCATGAACTGTGAACGTGTGTTCTCGAGAGCGGCAGCCATCTTGTTTGCGTTGGAAACAGTGGAGGCGTTAGCAGCTAGCGCTCGCTTGGTGGGAGCTGCTACTCTCCTGCTGGTGTCGCCGTCATACCTTCAGTCCTCGGCGAGCCAGACTCAAGACGTTGTATCCGAACTGTCTGACGGTGAATCGACGGATTCTGTCTGCTGACGTCAGGCTGTCCTCCATCCCCACGCTCCTCCTCTTCTCCCCCTTCACCTCCTCCCTACACACTGCTGCTCCCATCCTCAGTTTGCTGGCTTTGGTTCAGAAGCTGCATCCAGATGAACTCCTGCAGGTTAAAAAACGATTTATCCAAAACATTCCTCTAGCTGAACTTTGTCTGATGAGTTGGACAAAACTGACCACAGCTGTGTCCCAACACTGGTGATAGGTTCATATCTTTCCACATCATAGTCAACATCAAGTAAGATAAAAAGTTCATCAACCAAACCACAGAAGCTGACAAGACAAGCAAGGCAGGCTAAACAGGACAACACACTGCAACATGGGACAGAGCGTAAACACGCTACAATGACCTGACAAAGACTGTGGGAAACAAGCAAGGATATGTACACAGGGTTAACAAGCTGGGAGGAGACACAGGTGAGGGACATGAGGCCAACAAGACACAGGCAGGCAGAGAGAGAGCAGGGGGAAACAGAAAGACTAGCAGGCAGGGCAGATTACTGAGGGGGGAAGGACAAAACACAAGTTACTCAACACTAAACCTCAGGAGTCATATAAATAAACTAACACAAGCAGACAGAAAACAAATAAACTAACACCAACAAGGAACACAGAGCAGACATGTGCAAAACAACACAGAGCAGGAGTAAACACTTAAGACAAGGTACAGGACTAAGAACTAAGACACCGAACTAGGAACTAAGATACGAGACAAGACAGATACTAAGTAACTTAAAGATGTGGATGAATAATAATAATAAAGGCTACATAGAGACTAGAGCAGAATGATCAAAACCAGATTAATTAATGAAATCGGTAGAGAACATTAATAGACAAGCAGACAGAACTCAAGCATGATGGTACAGAAACTAATACATGAGACTGGAACAGAACTGAAATCAGGAAAATACCAAAACACCACTAAACACCAGCTGACAGATAATAACCAGACAAACAGTAACATCAGGTAGAGGACGCACACTAAAGGTAGCCAGCAAATTGAAACTAAGTCTAAACTGACAGCAAAAGGGATTCTAACTAATAAGACAGGGCGGCTAAGACAAGATAACAGAACAACACAGACCACAAAGACTGGATACAAGACCACAGACAGACAGGACTGACACCCAAAAGCCAACAGACTATATAACAGATCTCTAACTGATAAAAGAATAAACTCACAGAGAACTAAACGGAACAGATGATACAAAACCAAACCCTCAGAATCAAAACCCAAAAACACAGCACTCAGGACAGGATCGTGACAAACTACCACTGTTTTGGTGTTTAGGTGTGAGGTCATGTTGATTTAAACACATCAGTGTTAAAGTCTGAAACACAAACAGGGGCCACACTTTGTGTTGAAAAGTGGTTGGGACATCAGACATGAGACGTTACTATGCACAGTATTGATGAAAAGTTATTCAAGGCTGAAATATTTGAGGGGGGAGGAGTGTTAAATGTTCCTGTATTTAGCATCAAACACTCAGTTTACTGCATTCTGGAGAAATGTTCTGCACAAATTTATGGTGGAAATGTCTTTATCTAAATAAAGGGAAACACAAATATTCAGGTGGCAGGAATGTGTTGAAAATATCACAGTTTTCCCTTTTAGCTTAAGTTACTATTTTTGGACAAGGCACATTTATTTCTATTTTATATCTTTAAATTGCATTGCACGTTTTCTTATTGTGCAAATAAACTTTTCTTAAAGCATTTTTACTTGTTAGTTAACAAGCTATTTTTCAGAAATCGTTTAACAAATGTTTTCAAAAAGTGGTGGGGACGTGTCCCCAGCGTCCCCAGCAGCCCCAGTGTAAATATCACCTGTGAATGAGGTGAACTGAATGGATCTTTAAAGACAGCAGTGGCATTTTTTTCCATGCTGCCCCTTGGTGGCGTCATCCTGTTACGCTGATGATACTCAACACTTCTGTGTCTCCTGATGACACCAGCACCATCGAGGCCCTCCACGGGTGGATTTTACACAGTAAAGATCTTCCTTCAGCTCAACCAGGATGAAACAGATGGACTCGTGACAGAGACAGCAGCTGACCTCTATACCCACGTCCTACCCACCAGGCTGTGGTTTCATTAAAGACTCTGATTTAATGCCCACATCTACCCTTTATCACTAGAAAAATATCCTCTCTCCCAGGTTGATACTGACACACCCTTTTCATTTCACACATTATTATTATCATAAATAATTAGATTATAGCCGCTTTAAGACCTGTCAAACATGTTAGATTTCCTACCTCACAAAACATCTGCAGCCTTTCAGAGTAAAAATCCTGTTCACGTTCTCAGAAACATGAAGGTTGTTGTTCAGTAAAGGTGGAGAGTCACCTGAGCTGCTCACTGACTGATCAGCTTATTGATGAGTTCAGCGTGTGACCGACTGACTGACTGAGAGAGAGGGCGATCGAGCCAGGAGTGTGTTTCAGAGGGAGAGAGAGAGAGAGGGCTCTATTTGAGGACGAGCACTGACAGACAGCACACACACTTGCTGCTGTCAGTCAGTCAAAGAAGTTTTCACATCCTCTACTGCAGGAAAAGTACTAACACCACTCTGTGAAAATACTCCATTACAAGTTAAAGTTCAAAGCCTTCCTTCAGTAACAGTATTGCAGTAAAAGTACTCATGTTGCAGTAAAATCTTCTATTTCTGGATTAATGTTCCTGCTGCATTAATGTGGATGTTGCATTTTAACTCCTTTATATCCTGTTGGGTACTTTCATCTGCAGCAATGCATCATGGTCTATAAGATCATCACGTGTTAGTAGCGTCGCTGTCCTGTGAGAACCACGTATGTCGATGCATTTTCCAGCTGATCTGAGGGAGGTTTAAAGAGTTTATTCAGCTGAAGGAGGAGGAGGAGGAGGAGGAGGAGGAGCTCTTCATCCTGCAGGTTATCTCTAACACCTGGAGATACGGGGTTTTCACTGGACAGGAAAGGGACGAACATCTGTAACCTGTAAAGTAACAAAAGCTGAGAAGTGGTGGAGTAGAAGTATGAAGTGGCAAAAGTAGAAATATGCAAGTGAAGTACAGATGTGTAGGTAAGAGAAATGACGTGGGCTTCAGATTGTCATAATATTTGATGAGTAATAAACTGTGGAAATAAACATGGACGGGTGAAAAATATATTGTTTTGAAATTCTGATTTTTTTTTTATTGGGACATTTTCTTAGTGTCCCAAAGCACCAAACGTGGTGTGGTAATGTGAGACAGCATGTTGCAGGTAAAAGGCTATTAAAATGAAATTATCACACATTCCTATAAAGTGATACAAAAAGGAACCTCAGTGTGCGTCAACACAGAACCACAGAGATGCAGCCTGCGAGCTTTTGATGCCAATCTCTGTGTAGAAGGTGATGCATGCAGGTAAAGCCTGCTCACTTTGTTTAAGGTGTGCTTCAGAATAGAATGGATAAATAAATAAGATTAATATTTCTGAAAACATGTTGGAGGCTTTAATAATAATTTAATAATCCAGCCTGCTGACATTTGTTAAAATAAACAAACATGTTACTGAAAATGGTGAGAAGCGCTTTGTCAAAGTATCACACACATTTAATTTCTTCACATAATAAAATCGAAACCTTGAGGAATTCAGAAATGTATCACATGTTGGAGAGTTGTTTCGGTGTTTCTCATTAACGACAAGCTGCGATTCTAAACGGACAAACCTGCTCACACTGAAGATGAAGGGGGTTTAAAACATGTCAGCATGTGGATCCTGCAGCGTCACTGCTGTGTGACTGTGTGTGGTATCCCGTGTCCTGTAGACGTGAATGTAACACCTTCTTATTTCAGCCTAATAATAACTTCCATCAGGGTGAAACAGGAGCAGTCATTTAGGAAGAGACAGTTGATTTAAATGATGTTACACTGTTAATCCATTTCTTCTTCTTCTCCTCAGCAAGTATTTTATTCCAGTGAACTACAAACAGGCAAAGAAAGTCAATTTATAATGGTTAGAATGGGGTAAATGAAAAAATAATGGAATTGTTCTAGTTTGTTTGTTGGTGTTTTTATCATTAGCAGTTTTATTATTCCTCCCAGGTTTTTTATCGTTATTATTAGAGTGTTTGTGTTTGGTAACTGTACAGGATCTGTAAATTATAAAAGATTCTCTTTATTATTTTTATCAATAAAAAATATGAAGCCAAAGTTTTCAAAGGTTAAACTTAATCTGCAGCTGAGTGCAGGACACTGTGGTGATGTTGCAGCACCACCTGCTGTCCAAACCTACAAACTACCAGCTGAAGTCCTGAACCAGGAGTGACCTTAGAAGTTAGGAGCGTTTCTATCAACGCTTTTGTTTCTAAAAGCAGAGCCAGAAAGTTCCTCAGCGTTGTGTCTGTGGAGCTGAAGATACAGCCTGTAATATTACATTTATTCATTTAGCTGACACTTTTATCCAAAAAAAAACATGCCTCTGGAGCAACGAGGGGATAAGTGTCTTGCTCAGGGACACATTGGTGGATGGGTCACAGTTGGGGATTGAACTCCGGTCTCTCACACCAAAGGCATGTGTCTTATCCACTGCGCCATCACCACCCCAACACTGAGACATCACAAAGTGTAAGTGTTGGAAAGGACACAATGAAATCCTCTCAGCCTTGTGATGCTTCTGGGAAACAGGAACTGAACTAAACATCCAGTGACACGTTGAAGAGAGATCTTTACTTTCTTCTTTGGTCAAAATGCTGCTTTAACGTTTCGCTCTAAACTTACAACTCTTTGATGTTACACAATCAGATGAGTTTCACATTTTCACCAGCAGCTTCAGACAGACCTCCTACTTTGGCCCTCTCGGAGGCAAAGCAGATATCTAAGATATCACGCAGAGAAAATACTACAAGTAAAAGTCCTGCATTCACAACCTTACTTGAGTAAAAGCATGTAAGTATTATCAGCAAAATGTATTTAAATGTGGTACCACAAGTAAAAGTATTACTGTGTAATAAATGTTCCCTGGCAGTGTTTTACTATGATGTGGATGGATGATCATATTTTATAATAAAACAGCCTCATGGTGTATCAAAAAAAAGTCAACTATTCCTGTTTTATAGGCTGCAGTGTTGTGGAGAAACTTTTATAGAGGATATCATCCAACTGAGACTGAAGCAGGCTACTACGGCCTTTTTGTAGGGTTTTAAGATGTGATAGTAAACCAGCTCACCACTTCAAAACTTGTTTAGTTTAGTTTTATAGTTTTTATTTTTCTCACAGCCTGTTGCTTATGTAAGGCTGAATATTCTGAGCATGTACTTCGGTCTGTTGAAATTACGAGACTGGTCAAGTAGCGCCATCTTTTGCTACCTGGGCAGGTAATGTGGGGGAGTTTTCAGTAAATGTTGAGATTCAGTCTTTCACCACTATCTGAACACCTTTGATGGCATGAATGGTTTTTCGGTTTTGTTGCTTTATGAAGGTTATTTAGAACAATGTTTGGGACACTTTTCAGTGGATCAAATAAATGAATCTGATGTTTGAAGTTTTTTAAAGTGACCTGGAACGACGACTTATTCATTGCCCGAGGTGCCGACACACAGAAAGAATAAGGCAGGAATTGTCATAATAAGAAGGCATCAGATCAACACATTACTACAGACTACGCCTGTTCATTCATTCATTCACACTGTCTGAGATTTTCTGCCTGCCTGCCTGTGTCAGCTGCTGCTCTGCTACTTAGACCATGTCGTATTTCTGTAGAATATGCCGCTCTGCTGCCAGTAGACTTGTTCATGTCTGTGATTGGTCATCTGCTGCTAACTCCGCCTTTGCTGTTAACCTACTCATGGCTGGATTGGGAAACCCTGGACTGACCTACAGAGCTGATAACCAGCTTCATGTTCATGATTGTTAGGGTTAGTGAAGCCAGATGAAAAAATAGATCCTGGGTATGTTGAAATTGCTTTGTGGTACAGGGGCCAGAACTCGGATCAACAAAGCCAGGGAGCCTGATGACATCCACCCGAGGGTGCTTCAGGTGTGTGCTGAGCAGCTGGCAGCAGTTTGAGTGACCGCTCTAACTTCAGGCCTGTGACACTAACGTCACATGTAATGAAGACTTCCGAGAGACTGGTTCTGCAGCGCCTCAGGCCCCTGGTACAGGATGGCCTGGACCCTCTGCAGTTTGCGAACCAGGCTGACATCTACCTGCTTCACAGAGCTTAGACCCACCTGGAGAAGCCACACAGCACTGTGAGGATCATGTTCCTCCGCTTCTCCAGTGCTTTTGACACCGTCCAGTCCTTCCAGCTGGCTGAGAAGCTCTCGGTGATGCAGGTGGATCAGGACCTGGTGGCCTGGATCGCTGACTACCTCACTGACAGTATGTCAGGCTGCATGGCTGCCTGTCAGACGTCGTGGTGGGCAGCACCGGCACACATGAAGGAACTGTCCTGTCACCGTTTCTCTTCACGCTCTACACTTCTGACTTTTGCTTCGACTCTGGAACGAGCCGCCTCCAGAAGTTCTCAGATGACTCCTCCATCGTCGGCTGTATCACGGACGACAGCGAGGACGAGTACAGAGACCTGATGGAGAGCTTCATCGGATGGTGCGAAAGCAACCTCCTTTGGCTCAACACAGGAAAAACCAAGGAGCTGGTGATGGACTTCAGATGCAGCAGGAGGCTCCACACCCCTGTGAGGGGTGAGGGGGTAGAGATGCTGGACACCTACAAGTTCCTGGAGGTGCACCTCAACAACAAACTGGACAGACAACACGAGGCCCTCTACAGGAAAGGACAGAGCAGGCTGTTCGTCCTGAGGAGGCTCAGGTCCTTCAATGTGAGCACCAGGCTGCTGCAGATGTTCTACCAGTCTGTAGTGGCCTGTGTCATCTTCTCTGCTGTGGTGTGCAGGGGAGGCAGCTCAGGAGCTCCTTCAGCCACAGACTCATCCACCCCGGAGCCTCAAAGAGCTTTGGAGATTCTATTATGACAGTATTTGATTGTACAGGATTATTATTGTATATTGATTGTATATAGTGTTTATACAGTGTGTATATTATCTATACATCTACATAAGAATGCTAACTGATTTCACTTTTATTGTATTTTATTCTTTTACATTCCTCTGTGCTGCCGTGCCAACAAGAACTTAGAGTAATAAAGGTACAGCATATCTTATCCACCATGAAGAGGCTGAGAGGTAATAACAAACATTTCATATTGAATTGTTAAGTCCACTGGCAGCTAACGGACAGAAGTCGATGCTGGAGTGATGAGCTCCTTGCGCTATTAAAGACCACAACTGGCTTCTCTCGTACTTCTTGTGTTTCTGTTTGCTGCTGTCCTTCTCTGGTCAAGTTTACCAGAGAGAAATTGGACCTTCTGCTTATACTATACCACCGAATTTCATTTAACCTGAAACTCTCCTGGAGTTGTTAGTTGAAGGCAGAGATGGGGACTCGACTTGAGACTCGTCCTCAAAAGGCTTCAGACTCGAACATCGCAGCTGCTCCGCCATTCATCATAAACTTTGGCTTTAAAACTTCATACAACGAGACCCAAACAAAGACACGCTGAACGCAAATATGTGGTGAGTAAACATGTTTAGCTCAGCATTGGCCATCTAACGTTAGCTTGCTTCTTGCTTCAGCTACGAGCTACGGGAGGTTTACTCTGACTGTCCTTCGTTATGAAAAGATGAACGAGTGTTTGTTTACTTGCCAAACTTGTGGTGGTCGATTAACGTAATTATTTACGTCCCGCTGGCTGCCATCACGTTAATTATTGCCGTTGTCTGGAAAGAGGTTACAGGTTTATTGTTGATCATGTAACCTTACAGTTTTATTTAGTTATAACGTTCCACTGGTTTGAGAGTCTGGTGGTGTGTTGACTTACAATATTTAATAAGCTGTCAATAATTGCATTGTGCTCTGTAAATGAAAAACAGGTTACAGTTACAGAATTCCTTATAGCCATTCAGTTTTATTAGCAACCTGGATTGAACGCAGCAGGTGGTACAGGATTCGTAATAACATTGAGAGACTTGAGACTTGACTTGGACTCTAGCTCAAAGACGTGAGCATCTCTGGTTGAAGGAGCAGCGGCCTCTATGAAATTTCCCGGAGACGCAGAGGGAAGCAAACTGGTGCGCTCGTAAAACTGAGGCAGCCTGGATTTCTTACTGCACTCCAGTTGATACTCCTGGCAACGAGATAAATTAACTTCTGCTCCTCAACAGAACAAATATGCCCTGTGCTTCACTGAAACCTGGTTCAGTGAGGATATCCCGGACAGCTCACTTCACCTGCTGGGGTTCAATCTCCTCCAAGCGGAACGTGTAACTGAGCTCTCGGGGAAAGGGCAGGTGGTATCTGCTCCTATCTAAGCAAAGGTTGGTGTACAGATGTGAGTGTTGAGGAAATTACTACCCTGACTGATCAGATAACTACTGTGGAGAAAAAACATCCAGCTCTGCTCATTGTTCTCAGGGACTTTAACCTCAGCCATGGACTTCCAAAGTACAGACAGCATATTTGGGGTGGCTGTGGCTCAGGAGGTAGAGCGGGTTGGCCGTTAATTGGAAGATTGGCGGTTCAATCCCTGGCCCCCCCTGGTTGCGTGTCGAAGTGTCCTTGGGCAAGATACTGAATTACCCAATTTGCCCCTGTTCCGCCAGTGTGTGAATGTTAGTTTCTGTTTGAGCACTTAGGCTCAGTGTATGAATGTGTGTGACTGGTGAATGCAGATTAGTGTACAAATACAGAGCATATTAAGTGGATCACTGCTACACTATTTTAGAGGACGTCTATCGCTCTGTTCCCGTGTAGCTTTAGCTCTTTGATCACTGTCTGGTTCATCTTATCCCTACATACAGGGAAAAACTGAAATCTGCTAAACCTGTTGTAAAGTCTGTGAAAAGATGGACCAACGAGTCAAAGCTGGAGTTACAGGCCTGCTTTGACTGCACTGACTGGAGTGTTGTTGAGGCTGCAGCCACTGACCTGGACGAACTAACTGACACTGTGACATCTTACATCAGTTTTTGTGAGGACATGTGTGTGCCGACTAAAACCTTCCGCACATTCAACAACTACAAACACTGGTTCACAGCTAAACTCAAGCAGCTTCGTCAGTCCAAGTTGATGGCCTACAGAAGAGGGAACACAATCCTGCAAAACCAGGCCAGGAACACTCTGACTAAAGAGGTCAAAGCAGCAAAGAGGAGCTACGCTGAAAAGCTCAGTTCAGCCAATGAGAGGTGATTCCTCAACTCTGTGGAGAACAACCTACTTGCTGATGAACTTAATGCCTTTTACTGCAGATTTGATAAGTCTACATTCAAGCTCTCCCGCTCCAACATCAAACAGCCACCTTTACCCTGTGTCAACCTGCCACCCATCCTCACTGACCCTCGACCTATACTCTGTCTACCATGTCTATACATTACCATTCATGCATGTGCATGCTAAACAGGAAGCAGATCGTCTACTCTGCAGTTGCAGAAAATTCAACAACAGAAGAGCTACTAGCAAAGACATCAAAGTCAGAAACACTTATTTGTTATCCATGTTGCGTTCAAAACTGGTAGACCGGGCTGATGTTGCATGTTTTTGTCATATTATGCCAGCCTGATGAATCAGGAAGCCAAGTTTGAGTGTCTTATTCATCATTTTCAAAGTCCTTCTTTTTTACATGTCAGCACGCTTATGCTACGCTGGAGTCAAAACTAAAAACAGGTCAGCAGTTTTCAAACTTGTGTTTTAGGTGTTCGAATTTGCCATTTCCGCAAGGATTCAGCCTTTGAACATGGGGCATGTGTTCTAGCAGTGAGCACGTTTTGAAACTAAAATGTAGTAGTGTGGATGTCAAGATCAAGATAAACTCTATTGTGCCCTGAGGGAAATTTGTCTTGGGCCTTAGTGCTGCACAAGGCTGCAGTAACAATCAACAACTGCAAACGGACTTCACAATCACACGCATGAATACAGTCTGTTCTATGCATTTACATGTATGTATTGTATAAGTACAGTATATGAGACACTACCACCTCTCAGTAATTGTTGACTGAATCACTTAGAACCTGATAAATGCTAAAATGACTGAGTGGTTTTGTTCAGTTTCTCAAAAAATCATGGACAATAAAACAAAATAATAATAACCACAAATCTAGAAAAATAAAAAAAAACATTTAAGAATGAGAACCTTTATGTGAATAAGTCTCTGGATCTTTACGCAGATCTTCAACAGATCACTGGAGCTGTGTGAGGTTCCCTCCTGCTTCAAACGCTCCACATTTGTCCCGGTCCCAAAAAACCATTGGGTATCTGTCATCTGTAGCCATTTCAGCGACGTTGGCTGTGCAGCACAGTTGACTGTCCAGTGCTACGCCAAGGTTCAGAGCAAGTATTGAAGGTGGTAACTACGGTGTTCATGGTAGTCTCTAATCAGTTGATAAGGTGTTTCAGGAGGTCGATACTCCTGGAACATGTTAGCATGGTACTTGGTAGCTTCCAGGTTGTTGGTAAGGATCTTCAAGGTGGTAACCAACAATGTTTGAAGATGAGTGTGAGTAGAGGTTCAGATAAGAAATGTGTGATTTTCCAAGGAGGGTAAAATTAATGTCAACTGGACTGGTTGAACATATCTTTCAACCATATGTTTAAAAAAATAAAAAAAATAAAAAAATAAAAACGTGTGGCAAAAATGGAAGAAGAAAGACATGAAGAGAGGAAAAAAGGCAAGAAAAATAAGAACAATCACTAAGAAAACAGTGGAAAATAAAAGTAAAGCAATTGGTTAAGAAGCAGAGAAAAAGGACTGAAAGAGAACAGAAAAGATTCAGAGATCTTTTATAAAGGTGTGTTCAGGTTGACAATCTATGAATAATGTCCTCTTTCTCTTCAGTCCAGGTTCATTTAAACCTGTAGGGATGAACACAACAACACCTTCAGATCAACTCACACACGATCAGAGAAGTTCTGGCTGAACTGATTGGCTGTTATGTTTATCTCTCTCTTCCTGATAATTCTGAAGCTCATATCATAGACCGAAAATGCTCATCCAACCTCTACTGACCTTAGAGTGTCCAGTCTACATTGTGGACTCTCCATAAGATTGGACAGCAGCTTCATTCCTGAATCCTGCAGCTTGTTGAGGCTCAGGTCCAGCTCTCTGAGATACGAAGGGTTGGACTTCAGAGCTGAAGCCAGAGAAGCACAGCCTTCATCTGTGATCTGACAGTCTTTCAACCTGAAGAGAGGAAGATTTTATCAAACCATCTCTGTTTTTAAGAATCTGCACAGACGAAAAAGACATTCTGTACCTAAGGGTTTCCAGTCTACAATGTGAACTCCCCAGTCCAGCTGACAGGAGCATCACTCCTGAGTCACGCAGCTTGTTTGCCCTCAGCTCCAGCTCTCTCAGATAGGAGGGGTTGGACTTCAAAGCTGAGGCCAGAGAAGCGCAACTTCCATCTGTGAGCAGACAGCATGCCAACCTGCGAGAGGATAGGATATGAAAAAAACGCAGATTCCAGATTCCAAACAGAAGTAAATTATACTGTATAATCTACCTCAGAATCTCCACTCTGCAGTTTGCACTTCCCAGACCAGCAGACAACAGCTTCACTCCTGAATCCTGCAGCTTGTTGTAGCTAAGGTCCAGCTCTCTCAGGTAGGAGGATTTAGACTTCAGAGCTGAAGCCAGAGATAAGCAGCAGCTCTCTAGTAGTTCACAGTTATTAAGCCTGTAATTATAGGGAAAAAAAACTTGTATAACCTATACACAACAACAACAACCTAATATAACATATAATATAATCACATATTTCTATATTTGTCCCCTGCTTCCTCTGGCATGGTGCGCCAGAGTTCAGGCTACTGCCTGCAAAGGCCTCGCCTCCTCTGCCTTTTAGCCTAGACATAGGAAGTAATATTAGGAACCTACTAGTGCATTCGGGCGTGTATGGTTTAAACAAAATAGAATGCCTCAGAGGTGATCATTACCATCCTAAAACTTACTCCAAAGCACACAGGCAACCTATGTAAAGAAGCAAAAATGTTATGTGCAAACTCCTTGCTGGGTTTTCTGAACCATCTAAAGTCTGGACAGGTTTTTCTGACTCAGACATGAAAATAGGGAGTTAGAGGAATCTACTTGGGTTGTGATAATAGCATGGATAACAGTGCAACATAAGCAAAGAGACAGCAATGTCAGCAACTGGTCAGTGTTTGATTATTTGTTTAATTTGTTGTTGGTTTCTTTTAAATATGATTTTCTTTGAACTACTAGGCTGTTTCTCAGTAGAAGTGCTAATGTTCAGTCTATATTGTTATTTTAATAGTACTGCCATTTTGTAAAATTTGTTTATATTCCTTTATATAATATATGTTTTTCTTGTTAAAACAGAGATATCAGGAAATAGTGGAAACAATACACATGCACAAAATCAGAGTTGTTGATCATCCTATGCTGATTTCACAGCTTAGTGTGAACACAGTATTTTAAGATCAGGGTCCTAGTGGCCAATTGAATTTGGTGGTTGTTAAATTAGTGTATTGAGGTCAATGTAAATGTAAATGCTCTGTATTCGTATAGCGCCTTTCTAGTCTTCTGACCACTCAAACTCCTGTTACATTACATTGCATTCACCCATTCACACACATCCATACACTGATGGAACAGCCATTGGGGGCAATTTGGGGTTCAGTATCTTGACCAAGGACACTTCGACGTGGAGCCTGAAGGAGCCGGGGATTGAATCACCAATCTTCCGATTAGTGGGCAACCCCATCTCTCTCCGTAAATAGGAAAACCTGCATCTTTTAAAACACTGTTGCTCCATTCATTCTGCTATTAAAAAGACATTAAGAATTTCGAACGATTTATGTGGGGCAGTAAACTGCCTCAGCTTCATTGTCTTCCTTTCCTAAATTATATTCTTCTAGCCACATTATCTCACAAAGATTGCTGTAAATGACTTAAAATCCAGGCAAAACATTGAGAAACCTGTGAAGGACACAACAAAGGTTTTATTCTGTCAGTGTTTGAATTTAGAGAGATCACAATGAAAAACCTCCTGCCCAATGACAGACATACCCTAACACACACATACAAGAATGAAACTGACCTCAGAGTCTCCAGTCTACAATGTGGACTCTTCAGTCCAGCAGACAGCAGCTTCACCCCTGAATCCTGCAGCTCATTTCCACTCAGGTTCAGCTCTCTCAGATGGGAGGTGTTGGACTTCAGAGATGAGGCCAGAGAAGCACAGCTGATCTCCGACAAACTGCAGTCACTCAGTCTGAATAAAAATAAACCATTTAGTAAAATTAAATTCATAATCCAATCTAATCTTTGTAGCCTATCATTGGTGTCCTAATCACTGGGCTTTTCCACCTCGCCCAACTCGGGTTTACTGTAGGTATAGGTTCAGAGAGATATGGAGAGGCAGTTTTTACCAAACCCACACCAGCGGGAACTTTTAGGCTGTCCTTTTCTTTTAAGAGCTGAATTCATGAATCTCACCAGCGGTTGGTAATGCAGTTTTAAGCGCTAGCTTTGGTGATTTGATTTAACATTCCTACGCTACATGAGAGAGGTTTTATAGAGGAGACATGCCACCTTAAGAATCATCAATACAACTCTATAGGGAAAGCATGTAACAGCAAAGATGGCGGTTGTCCCACCCCTCCCGCTAGAAAGCCACCCGTCTTCTTTTAACAGCCAGGGTGGGAAACATATTTTAGCCAATTGTGTGGTTCCACTGACATTAGGGGTCTAACTACTCATGGGGCAAAGTTGTCCAACTTTTTCAGCGATTTTTTTTTATCAGATTTTCCTGTTGATTTTCTACATGCAGTTTTTATGTCCCAGTGAAAAGGGAAAGTGCAGTTCTGGCTGTCCTCCCATTCACTCAGATAGAGGCCTGGTCTTGTTAGTCCAAAAGAACTGCCTGGAAGCATCACCAAGATGGCTGCTGAGTGGCAGGACATGCCTATAAAGACTTTGGCTACATTTAGGCCAAGAATTACCAGTGTCATAAACACAGTTTTACAAGTCAAAATAAACTCAGCCAGACAACTGCTTTTGTCACCGATGGCACTTTTTGTTATAAATAGGACTATCTGTTCTGGAAAACAGTTTTTGAATTTCTCTAACAAGATTAATTCTCTCACTAAGTCATCTAAGTTTTTTTACATTAAATTCCTGGCACCATTTGTCAAACAGAACCCTTTTAGCGCTTGCAAATTCCGTGTATGTCTGGTTGGCAATTTTCTGACTAAATCCTGATTTTTTGCAGATAGACTTTAGGCACAAATTAATAAGCTTGCAACATACTGAGGGGTGGAGACAAAGGGTGTTTCAGCTCAAGAGCCCTGATGTGAAGATGCATAGCTAACACCTCAAGCTCTTTTCATCCAGTTTTCCACCTCCTTTATCCCAAGGGATAAACAGAGATCCCCTGTAGTTATACCACCCACAAAAGGTACAGAGACAGGGTCGGGTTCCACACCAGTGGCTGAAATGTCAGCCTTCTCTGACACTTCTGGCTCCGTCCTTGATGTGTTTCTCTCCGCCTCATCTGTAGGAGCAGCAATAGTAGGTAGCACACCTTTCTCCACCAGCTTTTATCATAAAACGTGTCTACATGTTGCCGACCAGGAACATGGACTGGAGCGAGAGTTTCAGAGTGGTGAGTTATTAATCTGTAACAAAAGTATCTTTTATCCATAAAGTTTTAACTGAGCTCTGTCTCTACACCACAACAACACTGTTTTTCCGCCGCTGTTTTTGAGGGCGTGTCAGACTAGCCGCTTGGCTAGCTTTATATGACGCGCATTTAGCTGGGATGAAAGTGAAACGGCTGGACTACAAATGAGCTGTTTTCAGGCACTTCAGAGCAGTGGGCGATGGGAACTCCCTTTGGGCTGGACTTCAGGCATTTTCACTTTGCAAACCTGTTACATGCACAAAAAAGACATATAACTCAATAAAGGGAGGGAAAAAGCCAAAAAGCAGAACACCACCTCTTTAACTCTGCTTTCTAGCGACCCTATGGAACCTGAACAACATTACAATTGGCCACCATTAACAAATCTGCTTTTTGGCATTTTTCTATCTTTTCACAATCAACTGCCACCAGTTGGAACCGCAGCCACCATTCACCTTAGAGGAGAAACTTAGGGGAACAAATCATAAAGATGTTATAACACAGACCTATTTGCATAGGAAATAGGACAGGCGGCAACATATACCATCCATCCATCCATCCATCCATCGTCAACCGCTTATCCTGAGTACAGGGCTGCGGGGGGCTGGAGCCAATCCCAGCTGACATCGAGCAAAAGGAGGGGTACACCCTGGACAGGTCGTCAACCCATCACAACATATCCCACATTTCACAAATTACCACAGTTGTAACAGTACATTATATACATTTTGCTTCGTCTTATAGCTTGCTTGCTTTAGAGTCATGTTGGTGTCGTAAGGCATTACCCTATTATTGTGATAGACTTCCTGCCCGGGATTCCAATGCTATTTAGTGCAATACCAGGCCCCCGGGAGTGGAGTAATAATAATAATAATAATCCTTATTTGTAGAGCACTTTTCAAAAACAAGTTACAAAGTGCTTTAACAAGTGTAAAGAATAATACAAAAAAAAGATAAGAGCATGAAAATTTAATATAAAATTAGTAAAATACAATAAAATAAAAGGGATAAAATAAAGTCAAATAAGATCGGGAAAAGCTCTCCTATAAAAGTATGTTTTAAGAAGGGACTTAAAAGAGTTCACTGACTCAGCCGACCTGATTTCCTCGGGCAGGCTGTTCCAGAGCCTCGGGGCCCTGACAGCAAACGCTCTGCCCCCTTTAGTTTTCAGTCGAGACTCTGGAACAGACAACAGACCTCTGCCCGAGGATCTCAAGGTACGTGCTGGTGCGTATGGGACTAAAAGGTCAGAAATATAACAAGGCGAGAGGCCATGAAGAGCTTTAAAAGTGATCAATAGAATTTTAAAGTCAATTCTAAAACATACTGGGAGCCAGTGTAATGAAGCTAAAATAGGAGTAATGTGGTCATATTTCTTTGTTCTGGTTAAAAGCCTGGCAGCTGAGTTCTGGACAGTCTGGAGTCGATCAATAGATTTTTGGGTTAAACAGGTGAAAAGGCTGTTGCAATAATCCAGGCGTGATGAGATGAAGGTGTGTAAAATGGTCTCGGTGTCCTTAAAAGTTAACATAGATCGGATTTTTGCTATATTTCTAAGTTGATAAAAACATGATTGAACAAGCTTTGTGGTGTGCTGCTTGAAATTTAAATAACTATCAAACCAAACACCAAGGTTCTTTGCCACAGGCTTAATGCCATCTGCTGAGACCCGATGACCAGGATTTCTGTTTTGTCTGAGTTCAGCTGGAGGAAATTATTTGACATCCATTTTTTTACTTCACAAAGGCAGTTGTTAAGTGAACTCAGCATTCCAGGGTCTGTGGATCTGACAGGGAAGTATATTTGTGTGTCATCAGCATAAATATGAAAAGAAATGCCATGTTTATGGATAATATGTCCAAGGGGAAGCAGATACAAGGAAAACAAAATGGGTCCTAAGACCGACCCCTGAGGCACACCATATTTAACTGGACAGAATGAAGAGACATAGTTGTTTACAGACACGCAAAACTTCCTATTTGACAGGCAGGATGAAAACCTTTCTAGGGCAGAACCAGAGATCCCCACCCAGTGCCTCAGTCTGTCTAACATGATGTTGTGATCAATGGTGTCAAAAGCAGCGCTAAGGTCCAGGAGTACAAGGACTGAGCACATGCCTTCATCAGCAGACATTAAAAGGTCATTGGTGACTTTAAGCAGGGCAGTCTCAGTGCTGTGGTACTTCCTAAAACCAGACTGAAACTTTTCAAATAATTTGTTATTTTCCAGCACAGTGAGCAGCTGTTTGGACACAATTCTTTCTAGAATCTTTGCAATAAAAGGCAGTTTTGAAATTGGTCTAAAATTATGTGGGAGCGAGGGATCTAAACCAGGTTTCTTTAAAAGTGGGTTCACGCAAGCCGTTTTAAAATAATCAGGGACACAACCAGTAGATAGGGAGCTGTTGAAAACAGAGATCAAATGGGGCCCAACAGAATCTATTACTTTCAGTAAAAATTTTGAAAAAGAAAAATAGTGTGTTCTCGCATCCTTAACCATTTTATTGTAGTTAATTAATAAATCCTTCAGACTGAGGTAATGGACTTGGAGACTGGATTTTTTCCATCTGCGCTCTGCTTTCCTGCATTCCCTTTTGAGGCTGCGAATGCTGTCATTTATCCAGGGTTGCTTACTAGCTTTAGACGTAGGCCTAACCTTTAGAGGAGCAGTAATATTTAGTGACGACAAGCAGATATGATTGAAGTGATCGACCAGATTGTTGGTGTTGTCAACAGGTGTTGGCTTTGGCTCTGAAAGAATGCGCAAAACTTTGAAACACTTTGTTCATTAAAGACGCGAGAACACACAGAGCTTGGTGAGGCGGCATGAGTAACAGGCGAATCGCAGCTAAAAACCATACATCTGTGGTCAGATATGGTCATGTCCACTAATTCCACAGAGGAAATGCTGACACTCAGGGTAAAAACCAAGTCCAGTGTATGACCACGGTTATGTGTTTGCCCTTTGACATGTTGTTTGAAGTTAAAAGAAGTGGCCATATTTAAAAAGTCAGTTGCATTAACATTGGTGGGGTCATCAACATGAATATTAAAATCGCCACAAAGAACAATTCTGTCATAATTTAAAACCAGAGTAGATAAAAATTCAGGAAGTTCTGATAAAAATCCTCCAGGCGGTTTTGGGGGGCGATAAATTATAACAAATATGATAGGTTGCAGCCCTCCAACTTTAAGAGTGAGAACTTGAAAGGAGTTAAATTCATCACAGCGTACTTGATGACATTTAAAATTTTTCCTATACACGCTCACTAGCCCACCACCACGACCACTGACCCTCGGTTGACTAAAGCAATCATATTGAGGCGGACACAGTTCAGCTAGCTGGCTATAGTCATTCATCTGCAACCAGGATTCAGTTAAAAACATAAAATCTAGATTTGCAGACAAGATAAAATCATTTAAGATAAAAGTCTTACTTGAAAGTGATCTCACATTGAAGAGAGCCATTTTAAATGAGTTTGTTCTGGGTGAGTAGTGACAGACACCATTCACCCAATTACAAGTCAGTGTGCCATCAAAATATTTTAATTTTAAAATAAAATGACTACACAATTACTGCTTTAAAACAAATTAAAATACACCATGAAGATCATCCAAATGTTAAATAAGGGAATACTCACACTAGGCCTGGGTACTTTGTACCGTGTCCCTGCACAATTGTTCCCCCATCACCACTCCCCCACTGGCCTGCACTTGCATTGCGTGTTGTGTTCTGAACCCGTGCCACGTCATCACTATGACTAGCTCTTTCGCACAGCACACTGGAGTTCATGTCCGAGTTCCGTGCTCAGACACGGTTAGCAATCACCATTCTAGAGTCCAACCTCACCGTACCCAATCCACCTCTTGAAGCAGGCCGGGTACAGAGTGATCACACTAGTCAAACAAACTGGACTTTGGGGTTTAAACATGCTCAGGTACTGGATCCAGTACGGATCACCTAGTGTGAGTACGTCATAAGTGGTGTCTGACCTGAGAGTCTCCAGTCTCCATTGTGGACTGTCCAGTCCAGCCGACAGCAGCTTCACACCTGAATCCTGCAGGTTGTTCCTGCTCAGGTCCAGCTCTCTCAGGTAAAAGGGGTTGGACTTCAGAGCTGAGACCAGAGAGCCACAGCTGATTTCTGTTAGTCCACAATTAGCAAGTCTGTTGATAAAGCAAAATCTATATTATAATATGATATGGTAAAAAAAAACTTTGACTTTTGTTTTCCGAACACCATCTACACACCACACTACAAATATAACCCAGCAGTTTTGGTTTAGTTCCTTTTTTGTTTTTTTGTTTGTTTACAAAAACTATTATACATTTCTACAAGATGAATTCTTTCAGATTTGTAAAGAAATTGTCTGTCTGTGACTATGTCATCTGGTGCCATGGTATTCCACCTTGGCATTTGGCAGGTGTGACATAGGTTTGCTAAGAGCAAGAGACTCTAAAAAGGAATCAAGCAACAGATACCACACTGCAGGAATATTGCAGGAAGTCTCACCAGTATTGGTTGTCCATTTCTTAATCAAAACATGCTAAATTGCATCACAAAAGTAATTTCAAAAATGTTTAGTATGTTCTGGTGTGCCGTTCTTTAAGATATTCAAAAAGCCACTTAAGAGGAGTGGAATAATATTCAACACACTACACTTAACAAGCTTGACAACTCTATGTAGCAGAGATGTCTCACACTGTATGAGACAAACGGCAGTTATTGGAGACAAAGGAACATTTGTAAAACAAAAATGTGAAATTAAAAGATGAATGCCTAATTTATCATGTTCAGTTTTTGTGTCATGTTTAAAATGTTTGGTCAGTTTAAAATCTACAAGAGCAGAAGACAGTAAGTGAACTGACGAAAGTGACTCCAGTCTGCAGTGTTGACTCTCTAGTCCAGCAGAAAGAAGCTTTACTCCTGGATCCTGCAGCCTGCTTCCTCTGAGGTCCAGCTCTCTTAGGTGGGATGGGGTGGACCTCAGTGCTGAAACCACCACTTCATAGTGAGTCTCTGAGAGCCAACATTCAGGAAGTCTGGGAGTACAGAATTAATTGAAAGTATGTGATTTAAAAGCATAATACACATGATGCACACTAGCAATAACAATGAATACTTTTAAATAGAAAAAGATCCAAATGATTTGGTCATATCAAGAAAGGTTTTTTCATATTGTAAACTATTACCAGAAACTGAGGAGAGAAAAATACATAATGGCAACAACTAAATAATATATATATAATATATAAAATATGTTTAGCTGATTATGATTGAAGTATTGTGTTTTATTTTGCAGACCTGTTTGTACAGAGTGAGCCTCATTCCCTCTCCTGAGCCGCAGTGTTTCTTCCATTAAAAACAACGGAGTAAGGTGGGAGGAAGGGAGGCCTGTACTATGAGGCCAGGTAACTGGCTTATCTAGGTAACTTCAGGACAAACTTTGTGACGATACGTATAAATTTACAATTAACCTGTGCTACCTGGATCTACCCGAAAGGTGATGGCAATTTACACTCCATCTCTTTACTGCCCATAGAAGGTTATCTCCATGGTTAACTTGATGTTACCCTATATGAATAGGCATAGTGGCTGCTTGACTGTTAATGTTGTAACAAAACCGCTAAAGTGCAGAAGTTCTTCATCTGGTGATGCTGTCATTTCCCTACATTTGCATATGCATTACCACCACCACCACCATCTGCACTGAGTAGAGTCTACCCTCATATACAGCTGGGAAAACCAAGACGGACACAATTAGATTTGTGATCTGTCCAACAGAGACAAGGTTGTTGAGTGTAAATGAAAGAGTCTTATCTGGATTTTATCTAGATAGAAGACACTTGAAATGACAAATAGAAATGGAGTCTTGGTGGCTGCAGTTAGTTGTGTCTCCAGATACCTGCCAGAAACTACGAAATAGTGATGGTAGCTGCTTACAATCTGGACTTACCGAGCTTTTCTGCAGTTCCTCACAGCTGGGATCAGTTTAAGTCGTCCCTGCCATGATGTGTTGTACTTCTCAATGTCTAACTCATCCAGAACCTCCTCTGACATCTGCAGCATGTAGGCCAGAGCTGAGCAGTGGATCACAGAGAGTTTCTTCTCTGATCTGTTCTCTGACTTCAGGAACTCTTGGATCTCCTGATGTACTGAGTGGTCGTTCATCTCCATCAGACAGTGGAAGATGTTGATGCTTCTGTCAGGGGAGATAAATTTAGCCTTCATTTCCTTCAGGTTGTTGATGGCTCTCTGGATGATTCCTGGACTGTTGTCTGTCTGACCCAGCAGGCCTCCTAAGAGTCTCTGGTTGAATTCCAGAGAGAGGCCATGAAGGAAGCGAACAAACAGGTCCAGGTGGCCATTTTTACTGTCGAGGGATTTCTCCATGACGCTCCTCAGGAAGACATCCAGAGATGGGTAATGGTCATTGTCCTTTCCGTTGTCATCATAATAGTCATCATAATCATTGTCATTATCTTCATCATCATCCCCATCATCATCCCCATCTTCCAGGAAGTCCTCCAGTACCTCAGTGTTCCTGCTGGTGTAACAGTGGAACATGTAGACTGCAGCCAGAAACTCCTGAACGCTCAAATGAACAAAGCAGTAGACTGTTTTCTGGAAGATCACACTCTCTCTTTTGAAGATCTCTGTACAAACTCCTGAGTACACCGAGGCCTCTGTGACATCAAGACCACACTGCTCCAGGTCTTCTTGGTAGAACATGATGTTTCCTTTCTCCAGCTGTTCAAACGCCAGCCTCCCCAGCTTCAGAAGAACCTCCCTGTCAGCCTCCGTCAGCTCCTGTGGACTCGTCTCATGTCCCTCATCGTACTTGTGCTTCTTCCTCTTTATCTGAACCAGCAGGAAGTGTGAGTACAGGTCAGTCAGGGTCTTGGGCAGCTCTCCTCTCTGCTCTGTAGTCAACATGTGCTCCAGAACTGTAGCAGTGATCCAGCAGAAGACTGGGATTAGACACATGATGTGGAGGCTCCTGGAGGTCTTGATGTGTGAGATGATTCTGCTGGACAGCTCTTCATCACTGACTCTCCTCCTGAAGTACTCCTCCTTCTGGGCGTCAGTGAAGCCTCGTACTTCCGTTACCCTGCCGACACACGAAGGAGGGATCTGATTGGCCGCCGCAGGTCGGGAAGTTATCCAGACGAGAGCCGAGGGAAGCAGATTCCCCTCGATGAGGTTTGTCAGCAGCAGGTTGACTGATGACTTCTGTGTGACATCAGACACAACCTCACTGTTGTGGAAATCCAATGAAAGTCTGCTTTCATCCAGGCCATCAAAGATGAACAACAGTTTCCAGACGGCGAGCTTCTCTGCTGGGACCTTCTGTAATGTTGGATGGAAAACATGGAGCAGCGTGAGGAGACTGTGCCGCTCATCATTGATCAAGTTCAGCTCCCTGAACGAGAGCAGAACCAGCAGACCGACATCTTGGTTTTCCGAGCCCTCTGCCCAGTCCAGAGTGAACTTCTGCACCGAGAAGGTTTTTCCAACGCCAGCGACGCCGTTGGTCAGAACCACTCTGATGGCTCTCTGTTGGCCAGGTAAGGCTTTAAAGATGTCCTGGCACCTGATTGGAGTGTCATGGAGGGTCTTCTTCTTGGAAGCTGTCTCAAGCTGCCTCACCTCATGCTGGGTATTAACCTCTTCACTCTGTCCCTCTGTGATGTAGAGCTCAGTGTAGATCCTGTTGAGGAGGGTTCCACTTCCTGTTTCATCACTTCCTTCAGTCACACGTTCACATCTCCTCCTCAGACTGATCTTATGTTCATCTAAAACCTCCTGCAGACCACCTCTCACTAAAGAAGAGAAACAATGTGAGATGAAACAAAGATTATGTGGTGATTATCCACAGAAGGTTAAAAAGGGCAACTGGACTTGGTTGAAGATACTGGAAGACATTTCGGCCATCATCCAAGAGAGAGTTCTTCAGTTCTGACTGACTGGTAGGGAAACTCAGTTATTTTACCTCTGTGGGGTTGTTTGCCAGGATCATCGATACCGCTGTTTCGTTAGTGCTCCTGGCTGTAGTAACGGCAGTTGTTATGGTCGTTAGGACCACCTGTGGCCAAGTCTGAACAACCATCGTTGGCATTTTCGCCTGAGGCCAATAGGTTACGTTTGTTGAGTTTCCTGGGAAGTGATGAAAGGACAGCATTGTAAGTGGGGGATAAGTGGTGGCGTAGACCCCCTCCTCTGTTCAGCAATGGCTTTTCAACCCAGGTGTAGATGGCTTCCTTGTGCACCTGGTGATCCTCAAACGTGTCCTTTATCCTTCAGATGTAGGTAGACTGCTGTGTCTTGACCTGAGGAGTTGGCCTTCTGTGTTCAGCCATGCATTTGTAGAGGTTAAATAGCTGAGTTTCCCTACCAGTCAGTCAGAACTGAAGAAGTCTCTTGGATGAGGGACGAAACATCTTCTATTATCTTCAACTAAGTCTTGTTGCCCTTGACTTTAACCTTCTTTGGATAACTATGACCTGGATGACTGAGAATCTTCACAGACATATTTGATAACTTTTGAGTTTGTACAGCTGAACTACACACCATTAGGCAAAAATTTCTATACAAGATGTCTGTCTGATAGAGCTGTAGCTAAATTTAAGGATGCGATTCCATCAGCTCTAAATACATTATCTAGTCACAAAGTAACGGAGGACTCCTATGCTAATTTCAGTCCCTCCCAAATCGATCATCTTGTTGATAGTGCTGCAGGCTCGCTGCGAATGACACTCGACTCTGTAGCCCCTCTAAAAAAGAAAATACTAAAACAAAGACGGTTAGCTCCATGGTATAATACTGAAACTCGCAAATAAAAGCAAATATCGCAGAAACTTGAGAGGAATTGGCGTTCCACCAAAGTGGAAAATTCTCGTTTAATTTGGCAAGATAGTCTTAAAACTTATAGGAAGGCCCTCCGTAATGCCAGAGCAGCGTACTACTCGTCATTAATAGAGGAAAATAGGAACAACCCCAGGTTTCTTTTCAGCACTGTAGCCAGGCTGACAGAGAGTCACAGCTCTATTGAGCCAAGTATTCCCATAGCTCTCAGTAGTTACGACTTCTTGAGCTTCTTTAATGATGAAATTCTAGCTATTAGAGACAAAATTCACCAAGACCTGCCCTCAACTGGCACCGACTTATCTCTTAACTCAGGAACCTTAGAAACAGCTGTAGAACCAGATATGTTTAGACTGTTTTGCTTCACTCAATCTTTACCAACTAACTCCAATAATTTCTTCATCTAAACCATCAACCTGCCTCTTAGACCCCATCCCGACTAGGTTGCTTAAAGATGTTTTACCCTTAGTCAGCACCTCTATACTAGATATGATCAATCTATCTCTATCAACAGGCTATGTACCACAGTACTTTAAAGTAGCTGTAATTAAACCTCTTCTGAAAAAGCCCAAACTTGATCCGGATGTTTTAGCCAACTATAGACCTATATCTAACCTTCCATTTCTCTCTAAGGTTCTGGAGAAAGCAGTTGCTAAACAGCTGTGTGACTTTCTACAGAGCAATAGTTTATTTGAGGATTTTCAGTCAGGATTTAGAGCTCATCATAGCACAGAGACAGCACTGGTGAAAATTATTAAACGACCTCCTTATTGCATCAGACAAAGGACTTGTCTCTGTACTGGTTTTATTAGATCTTAGTGCTGCATTTGATACCATTGACCATCAGATCCTATTGCAGAGACTGGAACATTTCATTGGCTTTAAAGGAACCGCTCTAAGCTGGTTTAAGTCCTATTTATCAGATCGATTTCAGTTTGTACATGTTAACGATGAGTCCTCCATGCACGCCAAAGTTACTCATGGAGTTCCTCAAGGATCTGTCCTCGGACCAATCCTCTTCACTTTACATTTACTCATTTGGCAGACGCTTTTATCCAAAGCGACTTACATTTGAGGAACAACATACAAGCATCAACAGAGTATCAAATACAGATCTACAACTGACAAAACATACTAGTAAGAGCAGCAATAAATACTAGTAAGAGCTCATAGTACATATCACATCAATGGGGTACATACTTAGGGAAGGAAGTAAGAGTTAACAAAAAGTGCAATTAAAACAAAAAAAAGTGCAATCAAAACAATAATTGTAAGGAGATAGAAGAAGAAGAGCACAGGAAGTGCATGTTAGAGGTTAGGAGTTAGAGGTGTTATCAGTGGAAGTGTTCTCGGAAGAGATGAGTTTTCAAGAGCTTCTTGAAGTTAGAGAGGGACGCTCCTGCTCGGATGGCGTGTGGTAGCTCGTTCCTCCATCGTGGTGTCACAGGTGAGAACAGGGACTGGGATTGCTTTGTGTGAAGGGATGGCAGAGCCAGGCGGCGTTCGTTGGAGGAGCGTAACGGCCGAGAAGGAACGTAAGTTTGTATTATGGAGTTTAGGTAGATGGTGCAGACCCAGTAGTCACTCTGTATGCAGCATTAGTGACTTGAATTTGATTCTGGAGGCCACGGGGAGCCAGTGGAGGTCACTGAGTAATGGAGTGACATGAGTCCTTCTGGGCTGATCAAAAACCAGACGCACTGCTGCGTTCTGAACCATTTGTAAGGGTTTCACCGCACAAGCTGGGAGATTTGCAAGGAGGGTATTGCAATAGTCGAGGTGAGAGATAACCATGGCCTGTACCTGGAGCTGGGTGGCGGACTGAGTGAGGTAGGTAGTGCATTTAGAATGCACCTGTGGTTCCTAGAGTCTCCAAAAGTAGACTAGGAGCCAGAGCGTTCAGCTATCAAGCTCCTCTCCTGTGGAACCAGGTTCCAGTTTGGGTTCAGGAGGCAGACACCATCTCCACATTTATATATATAAATAAAAATTAAATGGTGCTTATTTTCATTACTAATATAAAAACCATCAATATCAGAATATCTGAAGAAGCAGACAGATGTCCAGTCTTACTTTGTACAGAGCTGCTCTGACTGGCTGTCTGCAGTCCAGCTCTGGTTCTGGATCTGTCTCCACACTGGGGACAGGAGGAGTGTCCCGATGAAGCAGACTGGTCCCAGTATGAGGTGATGCACCGTCTGCAGAACCAGTGTCCACAGCTGGTAGAGACTGGATCCTTCAGGACGTCCTGACACAAAGCACAGCAGGACGGCTGCTCCTCCACAGGAACAGGACTCCTCTTCCTCTCTCTGTGGACACAAAGACATTTCTTTAGAACTAATAATAACAATATGCTTTTCATAGCACTGAAGGACACATAATAGATCAAAACAGTAAGGAGACAAATACAATAAAGACACAATTAAGATTAAGATAAAATAGAATAGAGAAAAACAATTTAAAAAATAAAAGAAAGTAGTTCATCATGAAGCTGGTGGAGGGTGGAGTTATGTGGGGTAGGCCTTTTGAAATAAAGGAAAAGTTTTAAAGGAGGATAGAGACTCCCTCGTACGGATGAATAGAGGGAGGGAGTTCCAAAGGTGAGGTGCACAATAGCTGAAGGCTCTGAATTGAACCCCATTGTGGACATGTGGGCAGAAGGAGTTCAGAGAGATAAGGAGGAGCAAGATTATGGAGAGCTTTGAAGGTGAGGAGAAGAACTTTAAAATCAATACGGTATTTAACAGGGAGCCAGTGCAGTTGTTTTAGAAGTGGAGTAATGTGTTCAGAGGTTTCAATTCAAATTTCTGTTTCTCACCACAGTCATTGTTTAGTCAGCTACAAACCCACAAATTTACCATTACATATAACACGTGAAAATGGCGTTGAAAATTGATGATTCGCAATCAAAAAGGCAGATGTTGTAACTGAGTCCTGCCCTGAACACATCTACATGTCAATCATTACTCAGTGTCCACCTAATGGCAACAGAAAATAAGCCATTTCTAATAAAAACCTTTTGATTTAAATGGCACAGCGTGGTCCACACCTTGTACTGGTACACATCATATAATTAGCGGGTGTTGTCTAGCGCCACCTAGGGGACACAGGAAGTTACATTTAACTTGTTTGTGACAAGTCCAAAACATGCGATAATTTAGAGGCGTGTCTCGCAAACTCCTGCTGCTGCTTGTAGATTTAATCTTCTGTATAGAGCCAGAATGACTGTCTACAATGATCTAAACATTTTGCACTGGATCGGGACTGATTCAACATATGTAATTAGAAAGATGGCTACATATTATTTGACTTTGATTTCAAGTGTTGTACTAAGAACATACTGGGGGGAAAATGCGAAGATTGTGTCTTTTGGGCTTGTAGTACATGATTCCTCTCTGTAGGGAGGACTGGATTAATGTCAGCCTCTTTTGTCACCTCAGTAATCGCTTCAAAGCAAAAGAGCAGATTGAAGCTCAAAAGCGGTTTTCATCAATGGAGGTCAGAACAGAAGCTGCTCAACTTCAGCACGTTAAACCACATGGAAACATTCTTCTGTTTAGATGCTGCCGCGGCCCTTCACATGTAGGTTACCACAATTACTACAAGCTGAGGCTCGGAGGAACTCTTTTCTGTCTTCTGTTTAATAAAAGAAAGAAAATCACTGACTCAACAGTTGTGAGCTGTCTGCTTGAAGTAAAGAATACTTTGTGCAGTAGAACCAGCCTCTTACTTTGTGTCTGAGGGTCCAGGTTCATGACTGAAGTTTGGAGGAGACTGTTTGGACCAGTCACTCTTCATCGACAGACAGCTGGATGCTGGAGACCCTGCTCTCCACCTGTGGAAACAAAGAATTCATGTCAGAATGATTTGTGTTGTTCAGCAGTTCACCTTGGTTGGCTGCAGCTCCGAGCTACCTCCACCGCTACCGGCCTGAACGCCACCTGGACTCTCGTCCACAGCTGAAGACGGAGAGCAACATCCCTTACCAGTTTCTGTTCACTGAACCTGTGGATCATTCAGATCAGTAAAACCGTCCCCCTAACTGTGGTTTGTGTGGTTGCCATGGTCACACAGTGGTCAACAACCACAGTAAAGTCTGTAAAAGATGTCTGGTTGTAGGGCTGGAGAAGCAAAAGGTGCACAGGTTAAGCATGTTTATTTGCAGGTTTAGATGCAGGGGAGACAAGTGTACGAAGGAGAAGATAAACGGACTGCTTCTGAACCGTCACACGTCTGTAAGGACCCGGGGCGGCTGGGACAGAAATTCAGCCACACCAGCCCACATTACCGCGCATCCCCACTCACAAACACACTCCACTACTTTGTCTACAGATGGTGAAAAACTATAAGCAGTAGTTCTACCATAGGTAACAGATTTGTAACATTTAATGGGACTGGCACACGTTTATATCAAATCTACACGTATGTTAGTAGTAGTATGAATAAAAACAAGTCTGGTAAACGGCAGAAGTAGAAAGGTTTCTGGTTTTCTGTTCTGACAAAAGGAACTTTACTGATAATCAGATGATGTTGCACTCTCTCTGATCAGGTGTTTAATTATGACTGAATGTCCCATTTTACTAATCGAGTGCCCACCTCAGGACCAGGCCGGCTGCTGCCAACTGGGCCAAATGTTTTATTCTTATTATTAGGCATTTTATTATTATAGCTAACCATAGTAAACTTGTGCAAGTGTATTTTTATATATATATATATATTCAGTGTTTCCAACAGAATGACAGTATATCTCCATTTCTAGTAGCTTAAGTTGTTTTGTTTAACCATTTTGAATCTACTTCATTCTCCACCTTTGTTTTAGTGGTTACTCACTAGCCTACTCGAATCTGCTCTCTTTGCCTTCAGTCCTGACATCCACACATCTACACCTCTGCTGCAAACACAGCGGCCTGCCCTGCCTCTTTCTCGCTCCCTCTGTGTGTCGCCCTGTTTGGTTTTCTCCATCAGTGGCTGAAATGACACAGCACTCGCAATTCTGTTGTCAGCCGCAGGTGCCTGGAGGACGCTTGTGGTTAATAAGAAACCAACGTTTTACCCGAATAAATCTGCATCGATGTGTTCACTGTTGCTTTACCTGGTCCCTGCTGGGGAAATATCCGCCGTGTCTGCGTCTTATTGCGTAGGCCAAAAGACAGCATCTGTTGGCTTTCTCTGCAAAGTGCATAAATGGGTCGCCACATAAACTCGGGCGGCCGTTTTGTACCCGAGTGGCCCGCCCAAGTAAAGCCTGTGTGGGAAACGCTGATATTATAATCAATCTGACCGGCCCACCCCAAAACAAATGGTCCAGCCCCTCTGGCATTAACTGCCAGATGGCCAAACCGCCCTGATAAAGACCGAGACGCCTGCAGCTACATCATGTCGTTTGTGTCTCTGACTTTCCTTCCTGTGTTCCCTCTGTAATACCAACATGACAAACAACACAAGTTATTGTGTTTGTTCTGAAACTGGATGTTTGTCGACGAGTTAAAAGACGACTCTGTAGAGTCCGGATCCTTTAGTGGGTCAGGTTTCATCAGGTACATTCAGTGACATCAGTGCCTTACTTTGTGTCTGAGGGTTCATCACTGCAGTCTGGAGGCCTTTCTGTGGACCCGTCCCCCTTCATGGACGGACGGCTGTCCTCCTCTTCCTCCACATCACTCATCTTCAGTCGGTCTGAGGGAAGCAGGGACAGCAGGGACAGCAGAGACACGGCGGACATGAGAGAGAGAGACTCACCATTTACTCCCCAGGCCAGAGGAACACAGCAGCCCCCCACCTAAACAAACCCCCTCACACAGTGCAGGGGCAAAGACTAAAACTCCTCCAGATGTCAAATATATGGTACAAAAGAGGCAACATAAAGGAGTGACGGATACTGGAAGCCAGCAAATCAAAGTTTATCAGACGTTTATTCAGACGTGTGGTGGCCAACAACCACGCTGCTGACATGAAGTCAGACTCAGCAGTCTGTGGAGATGACGTCTCTGTGGAGATGACGTCTCTGTGGAGATGACGTCTCTGTGGACATCTTCTCGGTTTCACTTCCATCAAGAACAAACGCTTTGTTCACAAGTTCTTCTGACTCATGCTGGATTAACAATAAATAAAACAATCTTTATCTTTCTGTAGTTTCTTTTCTTGCTGTAACAGTTGGTCAGTCTGTTGGCTGATGTTCTGCCCTCAGCTGTGAGCTCACTGAGGAAACTTCCTGTTTTATATAAAGTTCTTTCTGCTAAAGTTACAGTCTGACAGTGAACTGGTAAAAATGTTAATGAACACTCACATCTTTTCTTCTTTCTGCACGCTGCTCTCTGACTGAGCGCTTCCTCCTTTAGACACTTCCTCCTTTCTTCTCTGACTCTGTGGCGCCCCCTGTGGTGTCAGATGTACCAGCACAGAGTCCTTCCTGTTCAAACTGAACTCCCTCTGGAGGAACAAAGCTTTCCATGCTGGACTCAGCTGGACAGATGTGTTTCTCTAAGAGCAGCAGAGCGACCGTGCTCTCCTCCAGCAGGATGACAATAACAGAAACAGCGGCAAACTAGGACACAGGGATCATAAGAGACACAACCTAAACGAGAACACAGACTAAACCCACACAATGCAGACAAAGAACCAGAAGCAAATACTAAGACATGAACTAAGGCACAGGACGAGGAACAAAGACATGGAACCAAAACCCAGAGAAACCAAAATCAGAACCCAGAGTAAAGTAGACACAAGACAACAGGCAAGACAGATCCCCAAAACACAACAGACCAAAATAACAGATAAACTGACCAAAACTCAGAGTGCAAACTAGACGTGGCTGACAGGCAGAGCGTGACAGGAACTTGAGGACTATAGACTGGCATCAGGACTGAATGTCGAAGCGGCCGAGGTGCAGGCAGGTGCTTGTAGAGACTAACGGGCACCGAATGCCGCCATATCTACAAGCATAAGCTGGACATCAGACGCAGGAGCCATTCTCGACACGTTTTTGGCAACTGCCAGCAGGAGGAATGTGAGCCTATTGATGCATTTGTTACCAGACGGAGGGAACAGCCTGCTTCCTGTCAGGCCTGGCGCTGATATCAGCCATAGAAACATGCCGATGCAGAATGACAGACATCAGGATAAAGACAATGAGACAGGAAAGGTCTCTGGAGAGTGTCCATGCAACAGAAGGCCGTCAGCAGCGGCCTACACCCAGGTATGAACGCAGGGACAAGCTTCAGGATCAGACCCGGGTCATACATGCAAATCCTGTGGAAACATGCACGTTCTATATTGTTTTTGTTTATAGTGTGTATTTATGTGTTCTCTGTTCTGTAGCATATGTCTTACTTTATTACTGTGTTTTTGTAGAAGTACGCAACATCGTGAGCGAAGTACAATCCTGAGTCAAATTCCTCGTACGTGCACACAGACGTGGCAAATATAACCGATTCTGATTCTGATAGAATTCAATAAAAAAAACAACAACAGTGGGGCGTTGCTCACGTCAGCGTACACCACAGAACGGACTGCAGTATCACTGGCCCTGCAGCGGATGGAGGAGAGGGAGACAAATCATATGTTATTGCAGCTTGTCTGCTCCTCTGAGTATTAAACCTGGCATCCACTGATCCTCTGGGTTCCTGCTCACGTCGGTGTGGCCAAAGGAACACGCAAAACCCACCATGTAGACCTAAGGACCCCACTAACTAAAGCTGAGGCTGAGTCCTTTATCAGGACGTCAGCACTGGGACGACAGTGGAACTGGAAGGCAGCTGTATAATGTAGAGAGACAGGTTGGTGCTGGGAGGACGAAGGGAAGAAAATGTCACTCGTCTGAGAACAGATCATGCAGTCGGTATATAAAATAGTCAAGCACCCAACTGTGAAATGTACATATTGGAAGGAACCAGTACAGCTGAACATGATACAATATCACACATCAGGACGTCTCACAGCCAACATATATTGTTATATATTTAAGTTTCTTAAAGAAACTGACTTAGATCAAATATTTGTTTATTTATTTTACTGCTTAATTTCTCGTTCCACACTCCAGTCCAGTAGGAGGCGGTGATGCACCATTAAACCGACCAGAAACACTAAAGAGGAAGAAGAAGGGCGTCCCACACCTTCAACAAGCCGGCATCGGTGCTCGATCAGCACTGGGGGGTTTAACGAGCAGCTACCACGTGAACGCGCAACGGAGTGGAAGTAGGTGGGAGAGGAAGGAGCCGTAGTTTCCGAAGAAAGGAGGTGAGTTCATCAACATTATCATCAGTTCGCTGTCAGACTGTAGTAAAAGACCTTTCTGCCATTAAAACAGGAAGTTTCCTCAGTGGCAGAACAGCCCACAGACTGACCACCGTTACAGCAAGGAAACGCGCAGTTACCGGTGAAGAGCAAATAAATAGTAAGGGAGAGAGAGATGATTGCCTCTCATTCCCCTCTCTCTCTCACACTGCTGGCCGCCGGTGTTGCAGCCCTACTGGTTTCCAAACTAACTGGTCGCCGTGCGCGTGCGCGTGCGCGTGTTGGGCGCAGCAGCTGCGGACTGCCTCCATCCCCAGATCCGTCACACATTCACAAACATGTTCCTGGCGAGTTTCAAGTCACATCTTTAATCTACTGCGGAGATCACGACTGTAGAAGTGAGCTCTACATCAGAGCCACATACGGAAAAAGAAATGAAAGAGGGGGGGGAGGAGGTCGCACCCTGGAGAAAAAACCCTTGATAAACATTCGGATATTTTCTTATATCGTAAGTAAGCAGCTGCTTCAGATCAGCCAAAACAAAACGCTTCCTTGATGCTGATGCGCTTCAGCTAGAAACTGGATCATGTGAGTGTTTGAGGCTCTGTAATGTAGCGCTCACTTCTACAATCATATTCGCCACAGTTGATAAGAGATGCGACCTGAAAAGAAATGAATATAAAAATATTTAGCCTAATGTTGACTTTTTGTTTCACAGGATTGATTCAAAGGTCCTGGCCCTCCTTTCACCCCAACCATGTTCTCACTCAGTCTTTTCTGTTAAATAGTTTATCATACTAAGGTTAAGGATGCGAGAACACACTATTTCTCTGAACTCATTACTACACATAAACACAATCCCAAGACTGTGGATCAGCTGGTAAACCCAACCCCTCCTTGTGCCTCAGCTGGAAGTAATGATGACTGTGAATTGTTTTTATCTTATTTTACCAATAAGGTGGTGTCAATCAGAGCCTCTATTACCCCCGCGGCCTCTTACTCAGAGGTTCCTCACCTGCAACAAGAGAGTTTTAACCAGTTTTATCCCATCGACTTGTCGAGCTTTTAAAAACAGTATCACAAATGAGAGTGTCCTCCAGCCCACTTGATGTAATACCTACAAAATTTTTACTGAAAGTAATAGATTCTGTTGGGCCCCATTTCATCTCTGTTTTCAACAGCTCCCTATCTACTGGTTGTGTCCCTGATTATTTTAAAACAGCTTGCGTGAACCCACTTTTAAAGAAACCTGGTTTAGATCCCTCCCTCCCACATAATTTTAGACCAATTTCAAAACTGCCTTTTATTGCAAAGATTCTAGAAAGAATTGTGTCCAAACAGCTGCTCACTGTGCTGGAAAATAACAAAATATTTGAAAAGTTTCAGTCTGGTTTAGGAAGTACCACAGCACTGAGACTGCCCTGCTTAAAGTCACCAATGACCTTTTAATGTCTGCTGATGAAGGCATGTGCTCAGTCCTGGTACTCCTGGACCTTAGCGCTGCTTTTGACACCATTGATCACAACATCATGTTAGACAGACTGAGGCACTGGTGGGGATCTCTGGTACTGCCCTAGAATGGTTTTCATCCTACCTGTCAAATAGGAAGTTTTGCGTGTCTGTAAACAACCATGTCTCTTCATTCTGTCCAGTTAAATCTGGTGTGCCTCAGACGAAACAGAAATCCTGGTCATTGGGTCCCAGAAGATGGCAAATCAAATACTGCCATCTGCAGGTTCCCTAGTAGTCAATTCCGCATTTTAATGCAGAGCTTTAGCTGCTCCAAATTAGACCTGAGCGTGGTGTGCCACTGAAATAGGATACAATAAATGACCCAAACATTTAAATCCGTGAATCATTTGTTCATGTACTGTTCGCTGTGCTGTGTACCGTTGGATGTACTGACCACTGTGAGTGAATTACTTTGATACAGAAAAAGTCTTTAAAACCGGAGGATTCTCTGGCAAGTTCCTGTCCCCACACACGCCTTCAGTCAGTTACACTGAGTAGCCTACTGCCTACTACAAAACACTAACTTAAAACCCATTTAACTTGTTAGTAGTTGTTTAGCCTAAACCAGGTACGCCGCCGCCTACCTGTTGCTGCTTGTTTATCAAGTGTAAAACACAAAGTAACTTCCTTACAAATTCCACTTTGTCGTTTCCTATTTCTGACTTGATGCTTTTTGTGTTGGATGATGGCTGTAAATCGTTAAGTCCATGCTTTAGGCCTGCTGTGCTGTGGGCACTGTGTTGATAATAAAGTCATGTTTTCACAGTCAGATCGTCCCTGTTTAGAAGGATTCCCGTGAGATAGTGCGAGGGGGCCGTAACACAGGGGTCAATATTGCCGAAGCCTCGAGAAAAACACCTTGATAAACACGTTGTGGTATTTTTAAGATGGCTGAAGGTAACCAGTTGTTTTAGACCAGCCCAAACAAAGTGTTACCTGGATGATGACGTGCTTCATCCATACATGACTGGAAACCCTTCAGCTGTGATTGCTCGGTTTGCTCGCAGGTAACGTGGAGCCGTAGGTGCAACCTTTAGCTCAGGTGAGTTTGAATCCAGCTTGACATGATTTAGTAAAAAGTCTTATCTTTTTCCGTATGTGGCTCTGATGTAGAGCACACTTCTACAGTCGTGATCTCCGCAGTAGATTAAAGATGTGACTTGAAACTCGCCAGGAACATGTTTGTGAATGTGTGACGGATCTGGGGATGGAGGCAGTCCGCAGCTGCTGCGCCCAACACGCGCACGCGTACGCGTACGGCGACCAGTTAGTTTGGAAACCAGTTGGGCACACAGTTGAGCACATTATCCTGAGTAGCCTGTACTAACTGGAGGACACATTATAAAGCCAATAATACTAAAGAAAGTAGCAGAAGGTCGCGGCCTCATCCTGTTGGGTCTAAACTGTGCCCACCATGTGGCTGAAGGAGTGCAGCCATCCTGCCAGTCCTGCAGTGCGCAGCGTGGGTCACTAACAAACATGTTCATTAAAGTCTAACAGTAGGGAAATGAATCAGTGACCCCGACAGATGCAGGGTTTCACTGCTCCCATAGGAGCTCAGACCTCCTCATGGGAGCTGAGCTCCTACTGGTTCCCACTGACTCCAACCTGGGGTTTTGATGTTGGCGTGCTGTGCGTTTTCTCCTCCACACATGGGGCCAAGCAGGCAGAAAGCAGGTTTAGTGAAAACTCTTGTGTGTTGAGATGAGGGAAACTGTGAGTTTCTGTTCCAGAGAGCGAGATCAGATAAACTGATCCTGTGAACCTGACCTCCTCAGGAGGAGCTTTACTTCTCTCTGACTCCTCCTGCAGAGCCTGAAGCAGCTGACATTTCCCACATCAAAGCTCATATCCGAGAAACATGGATATCCCGGTTAGAGAGGCTGCTAGTTTTTACCCAAACATGATGCTGAGCTTTATTTCTCAGCTCAGAATCAAACTGTCCTTCTTTAACACTGAGACTGTGAGGACACGAGGACCGATGTCAGCTTCAGCCGAGACACTGTGAGCGCCATGACTGCAGGAATAAAAGTGATCAGCGATCTGTCGTCGCACTGATGGAACATTCCTATGGTAGTTATCATGGTGGAGATGATCTCTGAGTGAGGATGGCCAGGAGCGGCTGTGTACACGGTGTGGAAGTGCCGTAGCAGCATGAACATTTAGCCTATAGGCTAGTGAGTGGACAGGATTGCATAATGTGAGATATGTAGCCTCCGTATGAAGTCTGACATGCAGGAAACCGTGTCCTTCCACTTTGACTGTTTAAGCACCAGGCATCAGCGATGTAAACACAGAGTCCGCCTCCTCATCTCGCCGGAGCCTTGCGCTCTGGCAGAACACGGTGTGCCCGCTGCAGGTCTGTGTAAAGATGTCTTCGACTTCCCGGTGTTTGGCTGCACGAGTCCCATGTCCTCCAGACCGGACATTTACCAGGAGCAGGCTTACGTCCAAGCTGGGCCAGCATGGCTCCGGCTGTCTTCCCTCTCCTCTGGTGCGATCACCCGCCGTGGTGCCTGGTCCTGATTAAAGCCTACATAAATATGCATATTGAGCAGTAGTAGGCTCCTATACCAACACAGGAAATACTCAGAAGTAGAAAAGTAGTCCTCAAAAATTTTCCTCACTGAGCCACTGTATATGGAGCTTCACTGATGAGGCTTTTTTTCATCCCTGCGCACGCACATCCATCAGGATCACCTGAACTGATTCCGATCAGCTGTCCACCTCAGGCTCAGGCAGCTCAGAGCTCCTGCTTTCTGAAACAGGGCCCTGGTTTGCTCTTTCTCCTCCTGCTTTTTTTTGATTTGCTGGCTTCCAGTATCCGTCACTCCTTTATGTTGCCTCCTTTGTACCATATATTTGACATCTGGAGGAGTTTTAGTCTTTGCCCCTGCACTGTGTGAGGGGGTTTGTTTAGGTGGGGGGCTGCTGTGTTCCTCTGGTCTGGGGAGTAAATGGTGAGTCTCTCTCTCTCATGTCCGCCGTGTCTCTGCTGTCCCTGCTGTCCCTGCTTCCCTCAGACCGACTGAAGATGAGTGATGTGGAGGAAGAGGAGGACAGCCGTCCGTCCATGAAGGGGGACGGGTCCACAGAAAGGCCTCCAGACTGCAGTGATGAACCCTCAGACACAAAGTAAGGCACTGATGTCACGTTGCACAAAAACTCTCCAGCTGACACATTAAAAGTGCACCGTTAGAATATGTTTAGACAAGACGGGGCGGAGGTGTGTTATTTATCACAAGGCAAATCCAATGGTCCTGTGTTAATGACTTGGACTGTATCGGTCTTAAATGAACTCTCTCAGCCCAAATGTCATTCACTGTGATTGTAATATGTAGACCACCATCTGCAAAAAACGTGTTCTATGATGAGTTGAAAATCCTTTTTAAAGAGTGTGATACTAACAATGAGATAATTTTATTAGGAGATTTCAATATAAACTAGCAGAGGATCTAGCTTTATTTCTTAAATGAATTAGCTCTGAAAGAGCAGGGATTTTCCCTACCACCGATCCTAAACATGTTAATCGGAACATGTTTATTAGAGATAGACAGAAAAATTGAGTGAAAATATTCCCATGTCAATTCAACAACTGTTATCAGAGTTACTCTGTTAAGATCAGTGTGATATAAATCATGCAGGAAAGCCTGCTCTTGAAAACCTTTAAAATATCTTTTAAAAATGAACCGGGGTTTTACCTTGGGGATTTTAAATTTAATTTTTTTATTAGTAGAGTTAAATGTTACAAAACACAAACACATTAGCTCAGAACAGATACAGTGAAGAAATAAAAAACAGAAAACAGACAAATATCAGGTACAGTCATCCAATCAGTCAAATGAAAAATACTGAAGTTGACGAGAGGCCAGCAGAGGCCCAATATACGGTCAGAAACAGACTCCATGAGGGTGGTATGAGGGCCCGACGTCCACAGGTGGGGGTTGTGCTTACAGCCTAACACCGTGCAGAGAACACCAAGATTGGCAAATTCACCCTGTGCTCTTCAGATGAAAGCAGGTTCACACTGAGCACATGTGACAGACGTGACAGAGTGGCATTTCTTTGGGGGGCCGCACAGCCCTCCATGTGCTCGCCAGAGTTAGCCTGACTGCCATTAGGTACCGAGATGAGATCCTCAGACCCCTTGTGAGACCATATGCTGGTGCAGTTGGCCCTGGGTTCCTCCTAATGCAACACAATGCTAGACCTCATGTGTCTGGAGTGTGTCAGCAGTTCCTGCAAGAGGAAGGCATTGATGCTATGGACCGGCCCGCCCGTTCCCCAGACCTGAATCCAACTGAGCACATCTGGGACATCATGTCTCGCTCCATCCACCAACGCCACGTTGCACCACAGACTGTCCGGGAGTTGGCGGATGCTTTAGTCCAGGTCTGGGAGGAGATCCCTCAGACCATCCACCACCTCATCAGGAGCCCAGGCGTTGTAGGGAGGTCATACAGGCACGTGGAGGCCACACACACTACTGAGCCTCATTTTGACTTGTTTTAAGGACGTTACATCAAAGTTGGATCGGCCTGTAGTGTTTTCCACTTTGATTTTGAGTGTGACTCCAAATCCAGACCTCCATGTGTTGATAGATTTGATTTCCATTGATAATTTTTGTGTGATTTTGTTGTCAGCACATTCAGCTATGTAAAGTAAGGAGTATTTAATGAGATTATTTCATTCATTCAGATCTAGGATGTTATTTTAGTGTTCCCTTTATTTTTAAGAGCAGTGTACTTTAGGTAGGGGTCCCAGGTTAAGTAGAAAGTGTCTATTGAAGTGTGAAGCATACATGTGATATATTTGCTGGGAATACACTCCTGTCTCGCCTTGTGCCATGATTTCTTGGAGGGGGCAGTGTCCTTGATCCAAAAAAGCAAATTAGTCTTACTGGCAGCAAATGTTAGTAGGTTATAAAGTTGCTTGTGCTTGGGCTGAATCTGAGGATCCGTGAGGCCCAGGAGGAGATATTTTGGATTGAGCAGTATGGTAGTATTAAAAATATGGTACAAGTCTTTGACCACGCCAGACCAGTAATTCTGTATTTTTGTACATGACCACATACAGCAAAAATGATCACCAACTTCAGTTTTACATTTCCAACAGAGTGGGGATAGTTCTCCAGTAAATCCATCTTACTAAGGACAGGTTTTATGTGTCCAGTGTAAAATCCTACACTGAACAGATTTTGTTTGCGGCCTTGTCCCACACATCTAATCAAACCTGAGGCTCAATAGAGATACCCATGTCCTTTTCCCAAGCCTGCTTTGCAGCCACTAAAGCAGAAGGAATATTGGAGAGTAATGCTTTATAAAATACACTAACAGATTTCTTACCACTATGAGAACACAAGGCAGTCTCTACAGTAGACGGGTCATTGTTCGTTAATGTGGTATCTTTAATTTGCAGGAATCACCCTCTCCAAACCAAACTGCTGCTGTGCCTGCTGGAAAGACAATAAAGACTGATTTTTGAATAGGTCCCCCACCTTTCTGATACCCTTTTTGAACCATAGTTGAAAGCCATGGTCATTACAACCAGGCAGGAAGTCTGGATTTCTCAGAAAAAGGAGTAAGAGGAGAGGTGCATTCAAAACATCCCTCCACTTTACGAACCATCATCCAAGCCTTTACTGTGTTCAGAGAAATGGGGTTAGAGCAGAGTTCACTATCTGAACTTTTCAAAATGAGCAAGTTCCAAAGAGGGCAACTAGACTGAGAAGATTCAATATCGTGCCATGCTGAAGAAGGAACATTTTTAAACCAGTGGAATGTTACACACAGGAGCACTGCCAACTGTTAAAACCTTTATGTTAGGCAATCCACTTCTGAGAAGTTTTGAGGTGAGAAATCAGCTGTGTAGATTTAGAATATTGAAAGTTTTACGAGAAGTGATGGCGGAACAAAAATGTGCTTGAATATTTTTGGAGTTGAGGAGCTACGCAAGTGGCTGCGGGGGAAGCCTGCTGTGACCCGCGGGAGGAGCGTGTGAGGCCGGCCAGCCGCCCGCTCACAGAGCCCTCTGCTCCCGCCGTCACACAGAGCGCTGCAGCAACAACGGCAGAGGAAAAAAGGATGAAGGCATGTGCTCAGTCCCGTACTCCTGGACCTTAGCGCTGCTTTTGACACCATTGATCACAACATCATGTTAGACAGACTGAGGCACTGGGTGGGGATCTCTGGTACTGCCCTAGAATGGTTTTCATCCTACCTGTCAAATAGGAAGTTTTGCATGTCTGTAAACAACTATGTCTCCTCGTTCTGTCCAGTTAAATATGGTGTGCCTCAGGGGTCGGTCTTAGGACCCATTTTGTTTTCCTTTTGATCTGCTTCCCCTTGGACATATTATCCATAAACATGGCATTTCTTTTCATATTTATGCTGATGACACACAAATATACTTGCCCGTCAGATCCACAGACCCTGGAATGCTGAGTTCACTTAACAACTGCCTTTGTGAAGTTAAAAAATGGATGTCAAATAATTTCCTCCAACTGAACTCAGACAAAACAGAAATCCTGGTCATTGGGTCCCAGCAGATGGAGGTCTGTTGTCTGTTCCAGAGTCTCGACTGAAAACTAAAGGGGACAGAGCGTTTGCTGTCAGGGCCCCGAGGCTCTGGAACAGCCTGCCCGAGGAAATCAGGTCGGCTGAGTCAGTGAACTCTTTTAAGTCCCTTTTAAAACATACTTTTATAGGAAAGCCTTTCCCGATCTTATTTGACTTTATTTTATCCCTTTTATTGTATTTTACTAATTTTATATTTATCTTAAACGTGTATTTTAGTCTTTTCAATGTTTTCATGCTTTTATCTTGTATTGTTTTTGTATTATTGTCTCTTGGGTATTATTGTCTTTACACTTGTTAAAGCACTTTGTAACTTGTTTTTGAAAAATGCTCTACAAATAAAGATTACCCCGCCTTTCGCCCGATGCCAGCTGGGATTGGCTCCAACCCCCCGCGACCCTGTACGCAGGATAAGCAGTTGACGATGGATGGATGGATGGATACCTTGTTCCTTACGACCCGCCCTTCTCTGCTTCCGATTGGCTAGTAGTCCTTACCTGGGAACTCTATACGACTCTATCCAAGTAAAGTGGCTACAGCATTTAATACTGCATTGATTCAATAAAAACTTTGACTCAGAATTCCCCTGTATTGAAATATTCTGTTGCTCCTCTAAATATTAATGCTCCCATTTTGACTTTTAGAGGTGACCAATAACAAAATGTGCGCGAATGGAGGACAAAGTATGTATATGGGATTGACAGTATTTCTTAAGTCATAATGAGGCACTCATTTGTCCTATTGTAAAAATTATTAACCAGTCCATTAATGGTGGAGTGTTTCCAAGTGCTTGGAAAACCGCTGTAATCACACCAGTGTATAAATCGGGTGACCATATGGCTATCAGAAATTACAGAGCCATCAGTATCCTTCCATCAGTATCACAAATTGTGGACAAATGGATCTCAGAACAGATAATATCTCATTTAGATGCTACGTAATTCTCATTAAATCCTATGCAATTTGGTTATCGAAAACATCATTCCACTGATCCAGCCAATTTATTTTCGCCAACTACGTTGGCGGCTGTGGCTCAGGAGAAAGAGCGGGTTGCCCGTTAATCGAAAGGTGGTCCACCAGTGTTAGTTTCTGTTTGAGCACTTAGGCTCAGTGTATGAATGTGTGTGAATGGTGAATACGATGTAGTGTAAAAGCGTTTTAAGTGGTTGAAAAGACTAGAAAGGCGCTATACAAATACAGAACATTTACATTTTTGGAAACATTAAGGCTAAATTGGACCAAGGAGGTGCAGTTGGGGCGGTCTTCCTTGATGTGAAGAAAGCCTTTGTTACAGTTAATCATGAGGTTCTAAGTTATCAAAGTTAAATTTTTCACCCAGTGACATCAAATGGAAACGATCGTACCTTACAGAAAACAATGTGTTCGCATAAACTTCTCAAATGAATGATAATGACTTATATGTACCTCAAGGTTCAACTTTGAGTCCTGTTGTTTAGTCTGTGTATTAATGACCGACCTGAAGTTTGTCCATCTGGAGTAACTTATCAGATGTACGCAGATGATACCGTCTTATATTTACATGCTAAAAACAAGAAGCAAGCTGCTAAGGAACTATCAGCCTCTATGGTCAATATCTCTAATTGGCTAACAAACTCTTGTTTACATCTCAATACTAGCAAAACTGTATGCATGTTCTCAAAATCTATAGAGATCCAGACCCAGAGGTTACTGTAGCAGGAAGAACGCTGATAGTTGCGCATGAGTTTAAATATTTAGGCATTATATTAGAAACACTGGATAATAAGTCAGTCATATCAGTTCCCATTTTTTTAAACTGGGAAAATATGGTGAAATTTGCTGATGTCTTGCTTGTGTATAAAATGTTCCATGGTTTAACCCCCCCCCCTCCACTCAATGAATTCACAATATACAAATACCTTCGCGTTGCCGGCACCACTCCCTTCACGTCACTTCACGCCGCCCGACAAGAAATCGTGGCTTTACGCGTCTTTGGATTGACTTTGTATGTAAACTCACCACCTGAAAGCACCATTACAAAGGGAGGATTGTAGTGAAAGCATTGTGGTGTCAGGTGTGACTGTGCAGCAGCTCTGTTTTTGCTCTGTGGGTCACAGTTTGTGACCGAGTGGTAACGTAGCTGGTAGAGTTTTGCAATAATAAAGCTTTGCAGGAAATATCCACTTTTCCACTTATGACTCGGTTTTCCTTATTCTGATTCACTGTAACTTATAATACTGTTTTCAAACCTGTCTTAAGTGAATTTTAAAAGATAGATTGCGTTTTATAAGATCAATAGATTTTGATGTGTAGTATTTTTACTTTTGATTACTTAAGTATTTTTAAAACCAGGTACTTTTTTTACTTAACATTTTTCATGTGGTATCTGTACTTTTACTTAAGTATGAAAATTGAGTACCATCACCTCTGCATCTGCCAGAGCCACTTCCAGAGGTGACTGTGCTCGTTTGGCTGAACATGAAACCATTTGGGCGGCTTGGTAGCTTCACAGCAGGAACGTTCTTGGTCTGAACCAGCCGTGCTGCTGGTTTGCATGTTCTCCTTGAATCTGTGTGGGTTTCCTCTTAAGCCATGTCCACACTACTGCTAGTAGCAGCTAGTGTGTTTAGTTTAAAAATGGAGAAGTAAAACAAATACGATCTCCGTCTACACCAGCGTTTTAGCTGCGCATCAGAGTTGATCTCTGTCTACATTAAAACAACTGAAAACGCACATCTAGTGCCCATTCAGGACCACTGGGCATGCGTGTGCTAGTGTAAACATGAAGCAGATGGTGTATTACCTAGTTACAGAAGATTTGGCGAAAGAATAAAGTAATGCAGACGAAGAATCAGACCAGATTTTTTTGCATACACCAATAACGAACTGGGACTGTTACTGAATGTAACACGGGAGTATGGTGTTGGAAAACAGACTAGGAGTCGTCGCAAAGTAAACTGCAACATGCACAGTACAAGTGCAGGCAGATAGGCTAAGTGTTATTTGCACAGAATAGTCTATTTTAACAAAAACCGGGTCAGTAGTGTCGTGTTTCTGCTTTGCATGACTTACAAGACCCAATCAGAGAGCCGAGCATGAGCGGCTGTGTCATCGTTTCTATTCACTAAAACGCCCTCTGGAGTTTTGAAACGCAAAACGGGGTCGTCAGTCCAAACTTCTCTGTTTTAGGTCTTCGTTTGGTGCAAACGTAGCAAAAGGTCTCTGTTTTCATTTTAAAACACAGTAGTGTGGAAGGGGCCTTACAGTCTCAAAAGATGCAAACAACTCTAAAGGTGTGAATGTGAGCATAAATGGTTGTTTGTGTCTGTGTGTTGGAGGGATTTGTGCAGTGTAGGGCTAAGACTAGAAGTAAAGGTGGGGTGAGTTGCCAGTTGGGTGGGCGAGCCCTTGGTGTTTTGACCTCTATTGATGAAAACAGCTTTTGAGCTAACGCTTTAATCTGCTCTATTGCTGTAAAGCAATTACTGAGGTAACAAAAGAGGCTGTAGGTGAAACTTACTGGCCCAAAGACATGCCATGCCATGTACAAGCCGTTACACGAAATCTCACAAGCATCACAACAGAGATAATCCATGTCATAAGGATTGTCTGAGATTCTTTTGAAGTGTATGTGGCCCACCGGCTTGGAGTAGTCCATCACAGCATAAAACGTGTCATTTCCTGTTGCCAGCAGGTGGTGCTATGACTATATAGATGTGTTTAGGGCGGGACATATCAAATTCGGTACAGATGTGAGCATGTACACTGAAGTTGCAGCAACTTCCTGTTTTGTGGCAAATCATTTGTTTTCCATGCCACGGACACGCCCATTGACACAGATAGCACAACTTTTCATATCAATGCCTTTAGACTGCACAGCGAAAATTTGAAGTTGATCGGACAAATTCCCTAGGAGGAGTTCATTAAAGTTCAGAGCATGTAAAACATGTGACCAAATGACCATTAAATTCTAAATATCCGACTTTCTGTTGGGTTAAGGCTATTGCCCCAAAAGCATTTTTTTATATGTCCTGTCGATGAAGGGTCTCTTCCTATTGCCAGCAGGTGGGGCTATGATTATGAGTTAATTTTGTCCTTAAGATGTGTTCAGGGATGTGTTAGATGTGTTCAAACTTTGCCCCCATGCCACGGACAAGCGGCCACACGAAAACTCACAAGCTTCACAACAGAGCATTGTGCAGAGAGCAATGTCTTAAGGCCATTGAGCACATGGGAACTTCATCTGGCTTTAATGGTCAATAATATGACAATTTATCAAGTTTGGAGCTAAAGAGCAATTAATCGGTCCAGTGTTATATGTAATGGTACATTTGTGGGGTGTTAGCTGACTAAACAATGACTAGTGAGAAATAGAAATGTGAATTTAAACCTGTAGTTTTGTTGCAATGTGGTTGTGTGTGTTTTATGTCCAATCAAATGCTTTAGAAATGTCTTTGTGTCCACAGAGAGAGGAAGAGGAGTCCTTTGTCTGTGGAGGAGCAGCCGTCCTGCTGTGCTTTGTGTCAGGTCGTCCTGAAGGATCCAGTCTCTACCAGCTGTGGACACTGGTTCTGCAGACGGTGCATCACCTCATACTGGGACCAGTTTGCTTCATCAGGAGACTCCTCCTGTCCCCAGTGTGGAGAAAGAACCAGAGCTGGACTGCAGACAGCCAGTCAGAGCAGCTCTGTACAAAGTAAGACTGGACATCTGTCTGCTTCTTCAGATATTCTGATATTGACTGCTTTATATTAGTAATGAAAATAAGCACCATATGTCTGTGAAGGTTCTCAGTCATCCAGGTCATAGTTATCCAAAGAAGGTTAAAGTCAAGGGCAACTGGACTTAGTTGAAGATACTAGAAGACGTTTCGTTCCTTATCCGAGAGACTTCTTCTGTTGGTAGGGAAACTTAGCTATTTAACCTCTGTGGGATTGTTAGCTAGGATCGTCGATACCACTGGTTCGTTAGTGCTGCTGGCTGTGGTAACGACAGTCGATATGGTCATTAGAGCCACCCGAGGCCAAGTCTGAATAACCATTGCTGGCATCTTCACCTGAGGCCAAGAGGTTACGTTTGTTGAGTTTCCTGGGAAGTGATGAAAGGACAGCATTGTAAGTGGGGGATAAGTGGTGGCGTAGACCCCCTCCTCTGTTCAGTTACAGCTTCTGGGGCAGTGGTGGCCCAAAGGTTGAAGAAGCAAGCCTGTGACCGGGAGGTTGCCGATTCAGTCCCCGGACCAGCAGGATTGAATCTGGGTGTGGAAAGTGAGTTGGGTGTGCCCTCCCTCATTTACCACCCTTGAGCAAAGCCCATAAGCCCTCCTGTTTGTACTGGGCAGCTTCCAGGTGTGACTGTGTAATGGTTTCCTGAAAAGAGAGGCTTCCTCTCAGTGAAGCTATTAAAAAAAACAGAGGAGGGGGTCTACGCCACCATTTATGCCCAACTTACAATCTTTCCAGGAAACTGAACAAACGTAACCTCTTGGCCTCAGATGAAGATGCCAATGATGGTTGTTCAGACTTGACCTCAGGTGGTTCTAACGACCATAAGAACTGGTGTTACAACAGCCAGGAGCACTAAAAAAACCAGTGGTATCGATCATCCTAGCTAACGATCCCACAGAGGTTAAATGGCTGAGTTTCCCTACCAGTCAGTCAGAACTGAAGGACTCTCGCTTGGATGATGGCCGAAACGCTTCCAGTATCTTCAACCAAGTCCAGTTGCCCTTTTTAACCTTCAGTGGATAATCACCACACAATCTTTGTTTCATCTCACATTGTTTCTCTTCTTTAGTGAGAGATGGTCTGCAGGAGGTTTTAGATGAACATAAGATCAGTCTGAGGAGGAGATGTGAACGTGTGACTGAAGGAAGTGATGAAACAGGAAGTGGAACCCTCCTCAACAGGATCTACACTGAGCTCTACATCACAGAGGGACAGAGTGAAGAGGTTAATACCCAGCATGAGGTGAGGCAGCTTGAGACAGCTTCCAAGAAGAAGACCCTCCATGACACTCCAATCAGGTGCCAGGACATGTTTAAAGCCTTACCTGGCCAACAGGGAGCCATCAGAGTGGTTCTGACCAACGGCGTCGCTGGCGTTGGAAAAACCTTCTCAGTGCAGAAGTTCACTCTGGACTGGGCAGAGGGCTCGGAAAACCAAGATGTCGGTCTGCTGGTTCTGCTCTCGTTCAGGGAGCTGAACTTGATCAAAGATGAGCGGCACAGTCTCCTCACGCTGCTCCATGTTTTCCATCCAACATTACAGAAGGTCCCAGCAGAGAAGCTCGCCGTCTGGAAACTGTTGTTCATCTTTGATGGCCTGGATGAAAGCAGACTTTCATTGGATTTCCACAACAGTGAGGTTGTGTCTGATGTCACACAGAAGTCATCAGTCAACCTGCTGCTGACAAACCTCATCGAGGGGAATCTGCTTCCCTCGGCTCTCGTCTGGATAACTTCCCGACCTGCGGCGGCCAATCAGATCCCTCCTTCGTGTGTCGGCAGGGTAACGGAAGTACGAGGCTTCACTGACGCCCAGAAGGAGGAGTACTTCAGGAGGAGAGTCAGTGATGAAGAGCTGTCCAGCAGAATCATCTCGCACATCAAGACCTCCAGGAGCCTCCACATCATGTGTCACATCCCAGTCTTCTGCTGGATCACTGCTACAGTTCTGGAGCACATGTTGACTACAGAGCAGAGAGGAGAGCTGCCCAAGACCCTGACTGACCTGTACTCACACTTCCTGCTGGTTCAGATAAAGAGGAAGAAGCACAAGTACGATGAGGGACAAGAGATGAGTCCACAGGAACTGATGGAGGCTGACAGGGAGGTTCTTCTGAAGCTGGGGAGGCTGGCGTTTGAACAGCTGGAGAAAGGAAACATCATGTTCTACCAAGAAGACCTGGAGCAGTGTGGTCTTGATGTCACAGAGGCCTCGGTGTACTCAGGAGTTTGTACAGAGATCTTCAAAAGAGAGAGTGTGATCTTCCAGAAAACAGTCTACTGCTTTGTTCATCTGAGCGTTCAGGAGTTTCTGGCTGCAGTCTACATGTTCCACTGTTACACCAGCAGGAACTCAGAGGTACTGAAGGACTTCCTGGGGAAAGACTGGAAATCCAAGAAGAGTCCCTCATCTCTGCATGTCTTCCTGAGGAGTGTCATAGAGAAATCTCTTGAGATTAAAACTGGCCACCTGGACCTGTTTGTTCGCTTCCTTCATGGCCTCTGTCTGGAGTCCAACCAGAGACTCTTAGGAGGCCTGCTGGGTCAGACAAAGACCAGTTCAAGAATCATCCAGAGAGCCATCAACAACCTGAAAAAATTGAAGATTGATGAGATCTCTCCTGACAGAAGCATCAACATCTTCCACTGTCTGATGGAGATGAACGACCACTCAGTACATCAGGAGATCCAAGAGTTCCTGAAGTCAGAGAACAGATCAGAGAAGAAACTCTCTGAGATCCACTGCTCAGCTCTGGCCTACATGCTGCAGATGTCAGAGGAGGTTCTGGATGAGTTGGACCTGGAGAAATACAACACATCAATCGGGGGACAACAGAGACTGATTCCAGCTGTGAGGAACTGCAGAAAAGCTCGGTAAGTACAGATGTGATTAACATAAATCAGTGTAGATCAGCTGTTTAGTTCTTCAGATAGACACACTAAACCATTTTGTTGTGTTTTGTCACAAATGTTCTTGAGCTGTTTCAAAAGCTGTGGTTGTTTATTTCCGATAATTGTTACATTTTAAAATTTCTCTTTTTATTTATCTTCCTCTGGGTGACGAAGGTGACATGCAAACCTATAAAACACATGAAGGACTTTAGAGGTTGTGGTTGAGGTTTCATCTCAGTAGCATATGATCACAACATATAGGAGTATTTCACAGTTATTAGTGAATGCAATGTAGCCACAGACAGTGGGTCTCTCCTTATCCTTGTTGACTGATTGTTCTGTAGTTCTGTTTAGGACTGTCCTTGACACTACTGGTAGCATGAGGCTGGATTTGCAGCTGAAAAATCGGGCCCTACCACATTCTGTATGCCACCCAGCTTCTGGTACAGGCCATGGTTATCTCTTGCCTCGACTATTGCAATGCCCTCCCAGCAGGTCTTCCAGCTTGTGCGGTGAAACCCCTTGATCAGCCCAAAAGGACTCATGTCAGTCCATTACTGTGTGACCTCCACTGGCTCCCCGTGGCCTCCAGAATCAGATTCAAGTCAATAATGCTTGCATACAGAGTGACTACTGGATCTGCACCATCTACCTAAACTCCATAATACAAGTTTATGTTCCTTCTTCCAACGAACGCCACCTGGCTCTGCCATCCCTTCACAAAAAGTGATCCCAGTCCCTGTTCTCATCTGTGGCACCACAATGCTGGAATGAGCTACCACACGCCATCAGAGCAGGGGCGTGCCTTTCTAACTCCAAGAAGCTCTTGAAAACTCATCTCTTCCGAGAACACTTCCTCTTATAACACCTCTAACATGCACTTCCTGTGCTCTCCTTGTTCTATCCCCTTACAATTATCTTGTATTGGTTGCACTTTTTTTGTTAACTCTCACTTCTATTCCTAGGTATTTACCCTATTGATGCTGTTAACTCTTACTAGTATTTATTGCTGTTCTTACTAGTATGTATTGTCAGTTGTAGATCTCGTGCTGTATTTGATGCTTTGTTGATGCTTGTATGTTGTTGTTTCATCTCAAATGTAAATCACTTTGGATAAAAGTGTCTGCCAAATGAGTAAATGTAAACAAAGCAAAAAAGCATGATAGATGCAAAACACACGATGAAACAAATTAAGACAGGGCTGATTTTAAAACCAGGACATGCAGATGGGCCGGACATTTTGCTCACGAGTTGGGATGCAGAGACATTTGCATTATTTGAAAAGGGGGGAGTGTCAGTGAGGGACCCGGACCTTGTTGATGAGACTAGCTGCAGATGGCAAGAAGCTGTTCTTGTGGCCAGAGGTTTTGTTATTGATGGACCGCAGCCTCATGCCAGAGGGGAGAGTCTGAAACAGTTGTGTCCAGGGTGGAAGGGGTCAGCTGCAATCTTTCCTGCATGCCTCCTTGAGGTGTCCAGATCCTGAAGAGAAGGAAGATTGCAGCCAATCACCTTCTCTGCGAACGATCAGACGACCAGATAGTGATGGAGGAGGTGAGAATGGACTCAATGATGGTGGTGTAGAAATGCACCATCATTCATTGTCAAGCTGAACTTCTTCAGCTGCTGCAGGAAGTACATCCTCTGCTGGGCCTTCTTGGTGCTGGAGGTGATGTTCAGCTCCCACTTGAGGTCCTGAGAGATGATGCTGCCCAGGAAGTGGAATGAGTCCACAGTGGCGACTGGGGAGTCACACAGGATGATGGGGGAGGGTGGGGCTGGGCTCTATCTGAAGTCCACGACCATCTCCACGGTCTTCAGAGCGTTGAGCTCCAGACTGTTCTGGCTGCACCAGGTCACCAGATGGTTGATCATCCCCACCTGAGATGAGCCCAGTGAGGGTGGTGTCATCCGCAAACTTCTGGAGCTTGACGGACGGAAGAGAACAGAAGGCGAAACAAAGCAGCCATGAGATAAACCGTAATGATGGTCCTGAAATCAGAGACATGTTTTCTCAGCTGCACTTGTTGCATCCTGTCCGTCAGGAAGTCTGTGATCCACCTGCAGATGAAGTCAGGCACGTTCAGCTGGGAGAGCTTGTCCTGCAGCAGGGCCGGGATGATGGCGTTGAAAGCAGAGCTGAAATCCACAAACAGTATCCTGGCGTAGGTACCTGAGGAGTCCAGTTGCTGGAGGAAGGGCCATGTTTACTGTATCATCTACAGACCTCTTGGCTCTGTAGGCAAACTGCAGGGGGTCCAGGAGAGGGTCTGTGATGGGGATGGTGGACTGGGGCTGGAGCTGAGCGGAGGAGTTACGGGGTATGGTGTCCTATTGACTCTCAAAGCGGCAGTAGAACTGGTTCAGCTCATTTACCAGGCAAGAATCGTTGATGGAGTGGAGGCCTTTGGGTTTATAGTTAGTAATCTGTCTGAACCCCCTCAAGACAGAAGTGGCGTCGTTTGCAGAGAACTGATCTTTTAGTCTCTCTGAGTACAGTCGTATAGGTTCATGCACCTCCTTGCTAAATCTGTACTTTAACGCCCTGCACCCGGTCGTGTCTCTACTCCTATATGCTTCCTCCTTTTCCAGCCTTAGCTGTCTAAGTTTGAACTAGGGTTTGTCATTGTTATAACTCACCCTGGCCCATGTTGGTAATCACAGAAACTAATGTAGGATCATCATCATGACGTGATCAGAGTGTCCCAAAGCACTGTGGGGGGCCGCGTGATAGGCACTGCTCACTGTAATGTAGCAGTGATACAAAGTGTTCCACTCTCTGGTTGGACACTGTATTTGGGGAGTTCTTGGATCAGGTTTTCTTTGTTAAAGTCACCAAGAACAATAACAAGAGAGTATGGGTATGTCTGCTCCACACACAGTATCCGGTCGGCAAGCATGCGCTGTGCATCGCGCATGTTGGCCTGCAGTGGAACATAAACACCCACCAGAGTGAATGAAGCAAACTCACAGGGGAGCAAAATGGTTTACAGTTAATGATAAAATATTCCAGATCAGGAGAACAGTGCTGCTGAATCACTGTCACGTCGGTACACCAGCCAATGTTGATAGAAAAACAGACACCTCTACCTTTCGTTTTGCTGGAGAGTTCTGTGTCACGGTCCGCTCTGTACAGTACTTATCATGCAAAAAAAAACAGAGCGCACCTAACTCCAAGGCAGCTATATGCAGCGCCATCTTGGTTGTAGGTTTATACAGCTTTCATTTTAGCTTGTTTGTAACAGTTAGCTTACATTATTAGCCAAACTAGCGCTGTGCCTTTGTAAAACCAAAACACAGACAGCTGAGGTGGATGGGAGACTGAGCACATTAAAATATTGTGTTCTTAGTTTTGGAGAAAGTGGCAGACCACTCGGCCCAATCTAGAGTCCGGAAGCAATGTTCTCCTCAAAGATCAGCAGCTGATAAGGAATGAGTGGCCCCTGGGAATAGTAACCCAGGTCTTCCCGAGCAAAGGCAACAATGTGCGCAAAGTGGAGATTAAGGTCTCCCGAAAGGATTGGACTAACTGGTTTCTGAGACCGCTGTCAGATATTGTTCTTCTTGTTCCTCCTAAATAGATTTTTGTAACCTTCTGTTTCATTGTTATGATAAATATTGGCCTTTGAGCATGCCAGGCCGGCATTGTTGAATGGTATTTTGATAATAATTTGTGGTTTTGTATTGAAGTTTCACAACTTTGATCATTTTTAAACCAGTTGACAACATTCACGTCTCCAGAGTCGTAATGTGAAGAAGATGTTGACACTTGCTGCCAGTGTTCTCGCTGATGATGCGAGAGAAAGATACATAAATGTAAAGATTTTCTCTTCTTCATCTGCAAAATTAAAGCAAAACAAAGACTTAAAGTATGCAGGTATGAGATAATTATTGTTTCATGTCAAACACAGAGAGATCAGATTAGCTGAACCACTGATGAGAGCAATTTTATTTATCAAAAGAGAGACGTTGAACGGTTTGGTCATCAAATGCATTAAGTTAATTTAAAATGTCCTCTTTCATAATAACATATTTTGTAATGTATGTGTCCTGACAGACTTTATGGCTGTAGACTCTCAGAGACTCACTGTGAAGTCATAGCCTCAGCTCTCAAGTCCAACCCCTCAAATCTGAGAGAGCTGGACCTGAGTGGAAACGGAGATCTGCAGGATTCGGGATTGAAGCTGCTGTCTGCTGGACTGGAGAGTCCAAACTGTAGGCTGGAGTGTCTCAGGTCAGTTCACTTATTGTAACGAAAAACAGAGAAATAAAAGGTTTGACAGGACCGTTTTCAGCTCCCACAGACTCACATTGTGTGGTCCATCAGTCAGTGAAGATGAAGCTGTAGAGTGTGTGAGGATATAAACAGGCTGCAGAGAGTTTTGAGTGATAGGTTTGATAAAGAAAAGAAAAACATGAGTTCTGGTTCTGCGGCTCATTAGAACATATCAAAAGGTGGGTGCAGCACTTTTCAACAAACAAGTATTGCACCTGCTGAAAGTCACAGATGTTTTGAAAATAAGTGATATTTAAGAATTCTTCTTTCAAGTTCTTAAACCTGTAAGACCCACAGTTATAAAATTTCAACATCACTTTTAGCTCTCCCAAAAGTACATCTGCAAATTGTTTTTTTGAAAGACCACATTTCGATAGCCTCTTGTTTAGCCTCACAATGCCATTGGATACTAAATGTGGATATAGGTCTGCTCATGAAGCCATGAACTCATACGACCTGCGAACATCCCTGGAAGAACATCTCCTTGTTTCGTTGGACCGGATATATCAACATTGAAGTGAGTATATTCCCTGAAATATTTTTTTGTGATTGTTACAATGTCTAGTAATTATGCAATGTATGCATCAAATTAGATTTTCAGATTGTTATGTCTTTGTTGTAATTTTACAATGTTGGGTGAGAATGGTAGTCAAAATAGCATGTGCACCTTGCACATTACATGGAGACACTGCCCTTCTCCAATGTTCTAAATGGACAGGCCCAAATGTTATGAAATGTGGAGGGTTGCATGTATGGTGCATTGTTCAGGGACAAGTGTGAATGTTCTGCAATTTAGGGATGGAAGAGGTCTGTGGGGTTGCATATTACTTTTAGTATGTTAAGTACAGAGAGCACATAAGCCAGAAAATATTGTGTGACTTCAGTGGAATGTATCACATGAATATGATTAATGTGCATTGAAATTATTTATATTTGAACTACTCTAACTCTTACAACTATTATTTCCCTTTCAGAATGACACTAGCATGAAGAGGTGTTTACTACAGTCTGCATGACTCTCCTAAATGGAGAGAGTGATGTTGAGATGAATTCGTACAAAATTTTATTTAAGTGATGAAGAGACAGATGAATATGTCAATGAAGTGGACAAAGAGAGTCAGACACCCGCTGATTGTCCAGCTGATGATGATGATGAGAGCATCAAACCAACGAAACCAACGATGCCCTGGGACAGGTATCACTTCCTGAAAAAGGATTTCATCCCTTCTAAAGCTGATTTCTCTGGTCCGGACATCAGCAGTGGTGCTCATGCTGAACAGGAGACGGTTCCAGGTGCAGCAAGCATCCTCTATCGTCCTGGTAAAAATTTATTTCTGCTGTTTACCATATTTAATATTTCACTGATTATAGCATTTTCAAATGTATGTTTGACATTGCAATTGATTCCTTTCCAATCTTATTCAGACAAACACAGCTGTCAACACACCAAGGAGAAGGCGGCCATCTTCAGCCAGTGAGAGCCCTTTGACTGAAGAGACCATCCTCAGATATTGGGGATCCATTAAATGGTGTCCCAACCAAGAGGTCACGTAAACCACCAATGGATGTGCGCAGGGACATGGTCGCACATTTCCCAGTAAAGACAAAGTCCAATCTCTGTCTCTGTTTTTAGAGGATAGTAACTGCTTTTGGGACTACCATTGTAAATGAACACTGGTTCTTTACCAAATTTTCATTCTGTGTTGTATATAATATTTTATCCAGTTGTTTTATTTTTAATAAATTCTGATTCCTAAAAATATGACTATTACTTGATTATTATTCATGATATTTACCATTTTACACTTTCACACTCAGTGTGGACAGGAGGAATGATTACTGCCACCAATAACTTTTTAAAGAACATATTGCATGTGGCTGTTGTTTTTAAGACATACTTGAACAAATGTGGACGTCTCCTTTTAATGACATTGACCAGCTGTGCTGCCAAATACAGTCAGAAGAAGGTCATGTGAGAAATGAAATAATGAACAGTTTTTTTTACTTAGGGCTGGGTTGAGGCATTGACCGAATCAACGTCATTGATTATAAAAATACCGGTTTAGCTGCTCTGCTGGCGACCTGGACTCGTGTGCTACTGGTGCTGCTGCTGTTTTTATTTATTTGTTGTTTTTACTCGTCTATTGTGTTTTTTTTTTTTTTTGTATTGATTGTGTGAGTGTGTACGAGGGTACAGAGGAGCACCATGGCGTTATTTGCACAAGGACTATTATTGGCATTGATTGTCTGGCAGCTTCTGAGGATGTGTCAAAGTTTTCCACACTTGGAGGGTGGGCTACCACTCATCTACGCCAGAGACACGTTGTTGTCTCTCTGCTACACGGGAACAACATCGCCGCCCGCAGATTTATTCAACCTGTCCAAGCATTTAAAATCCTGGCATCTTGGAGAAAACTACGGAAGAGAGGCTGACGTGGGGGGACCCGACAGCGTCTCCGCCGGAGAGGCAATAGACCTCCGCTGCCCGACATAATCCTGAGCAACTTTCACTCTCTTAGGAGCAAAATGGAGGAGCTCCATACCAACATGAGGGTATGTTTTGAATACCGCAAGGCGGGTTTGCCGCTATTTACGGAGACTTGGCTCCACGAAGACATCCCCAACTCCTTGATTGAGCTGGAGGGTTTCTCCATTGTCTGTGTAGACAGGGATTAAATTTCGGGGAAAAGTTGAGGGGGAGGTATCTGCGTGTTTGAGTGAAAGCTGGTGCAGGAACTATTCTGAGAGAGCGACTGTGTGCAGCCCTGATATTGAACTGCTGTGCATTTCTCTAAGACCCTTTTACCTCCCGAGGGAGTTTGGCAATATTGAGGAATCGATGAAGAATTACATAAGAAAAAGCGGTTTTCAGCTGGAAAATCACGCTGAGAAAATTCTTATCCACCTGAGAGGCAGAGCAAAGGATGTTGTGAGATTTGGGATAAGAAATTGTGAACTTGATGTCCACCATAACCCATGGGCCATCTACGGGCTCCTGGTCAAACATTTTGGCTCAAGCCATTGCTCCACAGTGCCCCTAGCTGACTTTTACTCTACCCTGCCAAATGACCAAGAGGACCCCTTTGAGTATTAGCTTAGACTGAACAGAGCTGCTGAAGATGCTGCAAGCTTCCTTAGAGAGCAGGGTAAAACGTTTGACAACCCAAGTGTTGAAGTCACACGTATGTTCATCAGACATTGCCCCAGCAGAGATTTGGCTCTTACCTTTAGGTCCAAGATGATTGACAAGTGGTCAGCTCGTGAGGTTCAGGAAGTACTTGACAAATACCACCTGGAGAAGGGACTCAGGTCTACTGGGAGGAATAGACAAATCAGCATGAATCAAGTCGATGTCAGCCCTAACACTCCTTTAGTTTCAGACATCCCGGAACAGAAACCAGCCATGTTTCCTGTGTCACCTACCTGGCCACTCAAGGGAGGGGAGACGTCATCCTCCACATTTTCAGCAGGGAAACTGAATGATCTGCACACAGGGGAGGACAGCGCAGATCAAGTGAGTGAGCCTCCCACCTTGGATTTGACAGACATTAATGATTATGAAACATTGTATCACGCCTACAGCAGCGTAATGCCATCACAAAAAACACTGATTGTTCAAGGCCTTTAAAGACTTTCAGAGACTGTGATAGCCATTTCTACACAGATGTCTACTGATTGTGATCATGTTCTTAGAGCACTAGTGGACAGTGGATCTATGGTGTGCACTATAAGTGAAGCAGCCAACACTAAACTTTCACAGTCTGTCCTTAACATTGAAAAGAGAACTGCTGAGGACTTTGTTATTGTTGGTTGTGGGGGTCATCTGGTCACACCTTGTATGACCTCACTGCTTCAGTTTATGGCTATAAGGTGATAATTCCTGTTCTGGTGGTGCCAGGCCAAACCGATGACCTGATCCTTGGCAGTAATGCTATCAAGTGGCTCATTTCACAGATAATAGTGCCCAGGCTGATAACTTGCCCCATTTGATATCTGTGTTGTCCTGCTCAGACGGATATGAAGCAGTGCCACTTAAAATCGGCACGGCTAAGCTCAAGAGATGTGTCGCTCTACAACCGATGTCTGAACATTTGGTGTGGGCTAAACTCCCACCATCTGATGTTTCTGCAGTGGGAAGTACAGTCATCATCGAACCCACGCACAAATTCTAGTGGGGAGAGTTGTCACCTCGTTCTGGGGGGATGGCTGGGTTCCAGTCAAAATAGTAAATCTTACTGAAAAGCCACTCACCCTTAAAAAGAATGCAAAAGTTGCAGATGTGTCACCCTGTCTTTCTGTGCAAGACTTACCTGAGCCAGATCGCATCCAATCCAGTGCACAGTTCACACAGAGCTCGTCACCTGCACCTAGGTCAGACGATGAAATATCACAAATTTCGACTGACATGAGCTTGCGGGATTTGAACCTCTCTTCCTGTGAAGTCTCCCCTGAGTGGAAGGATAAACTGCTGGAGATCATTGAGCAGTATGAGTCCATCTTTTCGAGGCACAAAATGGACTGCGGTGAGGCAACAGATTTTGTACACAGAATCTGGCTAGTGGATGACAAGCCCTTCAGACTTCCATACAGGCGGGTCCCACCATGCCATTATGACAAGCTTCGGACTGCTCTGAATGAAAGTCTCAAAGTGAGTATTCATCTCCTCTCGTCCTGGTAGTCAAGCCAAGTGGTGATCTTCGCATCTGTAATGACTTCAGGTGGTTGAACGCAAGAACAGTGAAAGACTTACATCCCTTGCCTCATCAGACAGATGCCCTCGCTGCACTTGGTGGCCATGTCTTTTCAACAATGGACCTCACATCAGGGTTCTACAACGTCAGACTGCATGAAGACAACAAAAGGTACACAGCGTTTTCCTCCCCATTTGGCCTCCATGAATATAACATATAACAGTCCTGCAACTTTTATGCAGTTGATGATGTCCATCTTTGGTGATGAGAACTTTACAAATCTGTTATGTTATCTGGATGACCTTATGGTCTATGCACCATCTGAACGGATTGAACTTGAGCGTCTCCAGATGGTTTTCTCGTGCCTTGCCGCCAACAACTTGAAGCTCTCACCTAAGAAGTGCTACTTCCTTCGCCGGTCTGTTAAGTTCTTGGGACACATCATATGTGGAGATGGTGTTAAGACAGACTCGAGTAAAGTGCAAGCTATAGGTGATGTGCAGGAAGCCGACCTGATGGAATCTGATGGGGAGACACCAAGTGCTAGGAAAATCAGATCTTTCTTGGGAATGGTTCTCTACTACCACCATTTCATTGAGGGATGTTCTGCCAAAGCTAAACCACTGTTCCGCCTTGTGGCTGAGTCCGCCACTCCATGCAAAACAAGGAGAGGCCATAAGCCGAAATTCAAGAGAGGCCATGTTAGACTGTCTCCAGCTGACTGGACTGTTGAGTGCAGGGCAGCATTCGAAACTTTGAAACATGAGCTTGTGCATAGTGTCACCTTGGCCCATCCAGATTTTAATGCACCATCCATTCTTGCTGTGGATGCCTCCTTTGATGGCCTAGGAGCCGTCCTCTCACGGTTGCCTCCTGAAGGTAATGTTGCCAGACCAGTGGCGTTTACCAGCAAGACTCTATCATACTCCCAGCTGCACTATCCAGCACATCGGCTGGAGTGTCTTGCTCTTAAATGGGCAGTCTGCGATAAGTTTAGCCACTGGCTGAAAGGTCAATGTTTCACAGTCTGGACAGATAATAATCCATTAACATACATCTTGACTAAGCCTAGGTTAGATGCATGTGAACAGAGATGGGTTTCAAAGCTCGCAGCATACAGTTTTGATCTGCACTATGTCCCTGGCACAAAGAATGTGGTTGCAGACGCACTAAGTAGGGTGCCATTTGTCCAGTCATGCATAGGCCACCGTCTTGTAAATGAACCTTATGCCGTCTTGCTGAACCAAGTGAGTGAAATGGTGGCTGAGACAGTACAAGATGCATTTAGATATACTGCTGCTAACTGCCAGTTTGTTGTTGATCAGCCCACAGATGATGCGGTTGTCACCCTGCTCTCCCCTCAGGGGTCCCTCTCCCTACAGGATGTCTCAGCTGTGTTAGAGGCGCATGACTCTGGAGGCCGAGTGAGAGGCACGAGACCAGCTACTCCCCAGCTTGTCAGTGTCGACCAGACTGCCTCTCTACCCAGAAGTAAACTGGTTAATCTTCAGGAGCAGGATGATGTCTTGGGTAGGGTTCTCTTTTACATCCAGCGTCACAGGAGGCCCACTAGATGTGAATGTGCCGGTGAGTCTTGTGGAGTGATAAAAATGTTGAGACACTGGCCCAAGCTCTCCATCAAAGACGGCATGTTGTACAAGGTGAAGAAAGACAGGCAAATGAACATCCACCAGTTTGTTGTTCCAGACTCCCTCAAGGCCCAGGTCCTCCACGGCCTTCATGACTCAGCCGGTCATCAGGGACAGGCTTGCACACTCTATCTCGCCAGGCAGAGGTTCTTTTGGATAGGAATGGAACATGACATCAGTAATCATGTGAGGAACTGCTTTCGATGTGTGGTTGGCAAGACCCCAGAACCCAATGACCATGCTCCTCTTGAAAGCATTTGCTCCTCTGAACCAATGGAACTTGTGTGTATCGACTTTTGGACTGCTGAGCAGACGGATAAGAAGTGTGTGGATGTTTTGGTTGTCACAGATCACTTTTCTAAGCTGTCACATGCATTCCCATGTAAGAATCAGTCAGCAAAGCATGTTGCCCGTCGTCTATGGAATGACTTCTTTTGCATATATGGTTTGCCAAAACGCATCCATTCGGACCAGGGAGCCAATTTCGAAAGCCAACTCATTAAAGAGCTCCTGGAGATGGCTGGTATCTAGAAATCGCATACCACCCCGTACCACCCTATGGGGAATGGAGTTGTCGAGCGATACAACAGGACTGTTGGGAACATAAGGGCCCTGCCTCCCCATTCCAAAGCCAGGTGGCCACAAATGCTTCAGATGCTGATGTTCTGCTACAATTGCACTGAGCATGAGGCAACGGGTTTTGCGCCCTTCTTTCTCATGTTTGACAGGATTCCACGTCTTCCTGTTGATGTTCTATTCCAGCATACTCTCCCCAGCGATGCTGTTGTAAGCCACCGTGAGTTTGTCTCTCACCTGAAACGTGACCTGTCTGAAGCTGCCCGCATTGTCCGTGAAAACAGTTGAACGGAGCAGGCTCAACAAGCAAGGAACTACAACCGCAAAGCAAAAGGGTCTCCCCTCGCTGTTGGTGACTTGAGTCTTGCTCGCCAATCGTGGTGAGAGAGGGAAGAGGAAGATTGCAGACAAGTGGGAGACCACAATTTATGAAGTGAAGTCTGTGAAACCTGGAATCAATGTGTACTGTATCAGTGACCCAGTAACATCCAGAGAGAAAGTTGTTCACAGAAACCTCCTACTCCCGTTGAGTTTCCTGCCAGCAGGAGGTCACGACATTTTGGAGTCAGACTGCTCATCTGGCAATGGAAGTGGATAAAGTGACCTTATGGTTCCAGTTGACTTACAGGACGGTGAGACAAAGACACTTCAGTGGTTACTGCAGATGGATGACGCTAGTGATGAGGATGCTACAGCTAGCCGTCCCGATCGCTCACCTGTTGTAGCTGTGAGTGCCCGCCTCTCAGAGGCTGTAGTGTATGTGGTCCCACATGCTGTGTGAGATCTTGCAAACCCCTGATTCATCAATGACTGCTGAGCAATCACCTTCCCCTGAACCCTCTGCAGAATGTGTGGTGTCCGAGGAAGGATCCTCCCCGCTCTCAGTGGAAGGAGCCCATTGTGTCCCCTCCCCTGAACATGCAACTGACACACAGCCAGGTGCATTCACACTGGACCATGTAGTTTGCACACAGCAACCTCCACTCTGCACTAGGGCAGGTAGACCTGTTAAGCCCCCAGCTTGACTCATTTGTGAAATGAACAGATTGTAGATGACTCAGCTAAAACAGTTGATTCTTTGTTTTCTTTTGTAAGGAACATGTTTTCTGGATAGATTGCTTGTGTATGTCTTAGGAGTTTTTAAACTACTTTATCTGAAGTATTTGACAAGCATCTGTTATTGAGCAATGTATACAATGTGAGAGGTGTACACGGCATCTTTTGTGTCTTTGTTGGTATGGGGCTTGGCCACTCCCTTACTGACTGAATCCCAAGTGGAAAGTTTCTAACTGACTTGAAATGCATTATGCTCCTAGTACAAAACTACTGTTTGGTATTTAAAGGTAAAGTTGTGTGTTTTTTTTATTGTTCCCCAATTTAGCAGGATTTAAGGGGGGGTGTATGTAACATAGTTAAAAAGGTTCAGGTTAAATCCTACTAAATGGGATTACTGTGCCACCTGCTGTCATAAAGTTGTACCTGCAGCGAACTCTAGTAATGGCGAAGGATTATGGGTAATCCTCAAAGCAGCGGAGGATTTTCCCTTAGGTAACGTGTCTGTGAATGTCCGTGGACTAAACAATGCTAACTCACTTGAAAAGCACGTAAAAGTTAAGCTAGATTTCTTTAGTTGAATAATATGTATTGTTGATTAATTTCGCCATGTTTTTTTTTATAAAGTCAACTATCCGTTTGTGTTTTATTGCCAGTAGAAAGTTTTTCCAGTGTAGCTAGCTAACTTTAATATGATCATGATGATCTTTTCAGACAGAGCATGCGCTGTTTGTCCACATGAGATGACTATTGAACACTGTTGTCCTTTGTCATGAATGCAGGTATGTAACCGTATGTTGTCATAAAGTGTTGTTTATGTTTGAACATAAGATTGAGGTATTTTCTGCTGTTTGGTTGCCTCCTGTATGTTGAATTGTAACGAAGTTATATAATTGTTTGCACATAATTGTTAACATAAAATGGAAAAATTTAAAGGTAACTGTAGGAAATCTGTGTAATTACATTGTTCTCTGTTGTTTCCTCATTGCAAGATTAAGGGTCAATTTGGTGTCTTTTATTTATTTAGTTTATATGAGTTTAAATCCACTATACGATCAATGTGTCAAACTGCACTTTACTTTTGTGTAGAGCAAAAAGCAGCAGAGGATTTTCCCTTAGACAGAGCATGCGCTGTTTGTCCACATGAGATGACTATTCAACACTGTTGTCCTTTGTCATGAATGCAGATGTGGAATAAACCTGCTGTTACAAAAAACCTGAGGGCTCCTAGAGATTCTATCAGGCACATATATATATATATCTATCATCTGACACACAGGGTCTGTTATAACACAGCAGTGACATGGAAATCAGACTCGTTTTAAAATGTGCCACTATGATCATTATTCTAATGAGCTTTGTGTGTCTTTTTTTCAGTATGATTGAATAAAATATAGAATACAATTACACAATGACAAAGTCCCTCTACTCATTTTTGGGAAAGGCTCATTGAATAGAACATAGTAATGTTGAGCTCTACGTTTAAAAACTGAATACATTGGATTAGAAATGGATTTTTATCTCCATCATTTATTCTTTATTCAGATTGGCTGGCTGCATGTTGTCAGAAAACAGCTGTGCTTCTCTGGCCTCAGCTCTGAAGTCCAACCCCTCCCATTTGAGAGAGCTGGACCTGAGTCACAACAGGCTGCAGGATTCAGGAGTGAAGCTGCTGTGTGGTTTTCTGGAGAGTCCACACTGTAGACTGGAGACTCTGAGGTCAGTTCACTGACTCTCTGTTACTATTGTAGATCTGATATGTTTAATTAACAATTGAAGCTAATTTCTTTTCATGCATAACTTCCATTCATAAAGCTATAAATGTCCTTTTGTTCGTATTTTCATGTTTCTTGTACTAAATTTAGTCTGCAGTCACAAAGACTTGTTTCATAAAGAAACTGTAGAAAATGTCTGCTGTTAGTCGTTAAAGTAAATGTATGTTTATCATTTTTGGTAAATGGTCACGTCTGTATACAGAATATCCTCTGAACTAATATTTGTTTTAAACTGATCAAGTTTACGTGTTAAAGTAGAAATATTTCTTTAATTGGGTGATGTCTGTAGAAGGCTCATCTTGGCTCATTTTAGGGAAAAGCTCATTGATTAGGACATATTAATGTTGAGCTCTGCCTATAAAACCTGAACACATCTGATTGGATTAGAAATGGATTTTTATCTCCATCCATTTATTTTTTATTCAGATTGTGCTACTGCAGTTTGTCAGAGATCAGCTTTGCTTCTCTGGATTCAGCTCTAAAATCCAACCCCTCCCATCTGAGAGAGCTGGAGCTGAGAGGAAATGACCTGCAGGATGCAGGAGTGAAGCGGCTGTCTGCTAGACTGGAGAGTCCAGACTGTAGTCTGGAGACTTTGAGGTTAGTTCACTGACTCTTGTCGGAGATAGAAAATCAGGACTGGGCGAGACAAAAAAGTCTGAATTTCTTCTTGAACATTATCTCTCTTTAGCAAAAAAGATTGCGAAGTGCAAATAAGTTTTGGCCCCAAACGCAAGCCACGGCAAACAGGCAGAAAGAATTCTTGTGATTTATTAAACAAAAGCAGACAAACTTGCTGAAAGTGGTCAAACTCTCGGTGAATACACAAGTAGGCAGTGTTACATGCCGGGATGTGAGGAAGGAGATACGGAAACGGAAGGAATCACACACAGCATGAGCAACAGAGCAACAACAAGCTACAATTATCTGACAGGGACTGGACAGAAACTCAGACAATTTATACTCTATAAACTTGCAGAGAGAGAGAAACACCAGGTGAGACACATAAGGTAATCAGGGCAACAAGACACAAAGTTAGATACAAAACACCAGACACAGACAACTTCAAAATAAAACAGGAACCAAACAGGCACACATCTAAAACACAACACAGACCAAATAACCCAAACCGTGACAAAATATTCACTGGAGGTGATCGAAGATTAATGCAGTATAGAGTTTTATTATTTTACAAGAGTAACAACCAAGGTTGAAATGCCGACATATATATATGGCATGTCAATATACAATATACATATATTGATTCTTTAGAACGCACGCACACAGATCAAATCATATTACCAAATGCAGCTATTTAAAGGATCAATATAGTTTTTCTCCTCTAGTCCCAGACTGGCCTGAGATCAGCAGCATGTTGTTGATCTGTATTGACATGAATAGGTGTATGAATGTTGTGCTGACATTTGGATGATGTCTGTAGAAGGCTGACATTATGATGATCCACAATAACACAATGACAAAGTCCCTCTACTCATTTTAGGGAAAAGCTCATTGATAAGGATATAGTAATGTTGAGCTCCACATTTAAAACCTGAACACATCTGATTGGATTAGAAATGGATTTTTATCTCCATCATTTATTCTTTATTCAGATTGAGGGGCTGCAGTTTGTCAGAGATCAGCTGTGCTTCTCTGGCCTCAGCTCTGAATTTCAACCCCTCCCATCTGAGAGAGCTGGACCTGAGTGACAACAAGGTGCAGGATTCAGGAGTGAAGCTGCTGACTGCTGGAATGGAGAGTCCACACTGTAGATTGGAGACTCTAAGGTCAGTTCACTGACTCTCTGTTACTATTGTAGATCTGATTATTAATTAACAGTTGAACCTAATTTCTGTTCATACATAACTTCCATCCATAAAGTTGTAAATGTCATTTTGTTCATATTTTCATGTATATTGTATTAAATTTAGTCTGCAGTCACAAAGACTTGAGTTTCTTAAAGAAACTGTAGAAAATGTCTGCTGTTAGTCATTAAACTAAATGGATGTTTCTAATTTTTGGTAAATGGGCACATCTGTATACAGAAGATCCTCTGAACTAATATTTGTTTTAAACTGATCAAGTTTACTTTTGCATTCTGTTGGTTTCAATGTGTTTTCAGAAATAATGTCTGATCACTGATATTGATCCTTCAGAACACACACACACACACACACAGATCAAAGTATGCTACTAAATGCAGCTATTAAAAGGATCAATATGGTTTCTCTCCTCTAGTTCCAGACTGGCCTGAGATCAGCAGCATGTTATTGGTCTGTGTTGACATGAATAGGTGTATGAATGTTGTGCTGACATTTGGATGATGTCTGTAGAAGGCTGACATTATGATGATCCACAATAACACAATGACAAAGTCCCTCTACTCATTTTAGGGGAAAGCTCATTGATTAGGACATAGTAATGTTGAGCTCCACATTTAAAAACTGAACACATCTGATTGGATTAGAAATAGATTTTTTCTTCATCATTTATTCTTTATTCAGGTTGAGGGGCTGCAGTTTGTCAGAGATCAGCTGTGCTTCTCTGGCCTCAGTTCTGAATTTCAACCCCTCCCATCTGAGAGAGCTGGACCTGAGTGGCAACAAGGTGCAGGATTCAGGAGTGAAGCTGCTGACTGCTGGAATGGAGAGTCCACACTGTAGATTGGAGACTCTAAGGTCAGTTCACTGGCTCTCTGTTACTATTGTAGATCTGATATATTTAATTAACAATTGAAGCTAACTTCCATCCATAGATTGGAGACTCTAAGGTCAGTTCACAGACTCTCTGTTACGATTTCAATGTGTTTTCACAAATAATGTCTTATGACTGATATTGATCCTTCAGAACACACACACACACAATCCACCCATTTTTCAAGTGGGCAAAACTACTGGAACATGTGACTGCCAGATGTTTCTTGTTGCCCAGGTGTTGTCTTTTAGGATGATTGTACAAACATTACATAGTTCTGCATGACTAGTCTAAGTTTTCATCCTTGATTCAAACCTATAAAGACTGCATTTCCTGTTAAAGATGATAAACCAACGTGAATACCAAAGAGCTGTCTATGGGGGAAAAGCAAGCCATTGTCAAGCTGAGAAGGAAAATCGACCAGAGCCATTGGACAAACATTGGGCATAGCAAGCACAACAATTTGGAATGTCCTGAAAAAGGAAGAAACTACTGGTGTACTGAGCAACAGACGTCCAACAGGTCGACCAAGGAAAACAACAGTTGTTGATGACAGAAATATGGTGAGATCTGTGAAGAAAACCCCCAAAGCATCAGTAAGTGACATCAGCAACGACCTCCACAGTGCAGGGTGAAGGTATCACAATCCACTGTTGGAAGAAGACTCAGAGAGCAGAAATATAGAGGCCGCACCACAAGATGCAAACCACTCATCAGCAGGAAGAATCGGAAGGCCAGAGTGAAATTTGCAAAGAAGTACAGAGATAAGCTGCAATAGTTCTGGAACACGATCTGATGGACTGATGAGACCAAGATTAATCTCTACCAAAGTGATGGAAAGGCCAAAGTGTGGAGAAAGAAAGTAACTGCTTATGATCCGAAGCATACAAGCTCATCTGTGAAGCATGGAGGAGGTGATGTCATGGCTTGGGTGTGCATGGCTGCTTCTGGAACAGGCTCATTAATATTTATTGATGATGTCACTGAGCATGGTTAACAGCAGAATGAATTCAGAAACGTTTTGTCTGCCATTTTACGGAGAAATTCATTGAAACAAATCGGGAGGAAGTTTATCATGCAGCAGGACAATGACCCAAAGCACACTGCCAAGAAAAAAAGTGGAAGGTTTCAGACTGGCCAAGTCAATCAGCTGACCTTAACCCAATAGAGCTGCATTTCACCTCCTTAAGAGGAGACTGAAGGGAGAAACACCCCGAAACAAACATGAACTGAAAGAAGCTGCGGTAAAACCCTGGAATAGCATCACAAATGAAGAAAGCAACAGTTTGGTGATGTCAGTGGGTCGCAGGCTTGAGGCAGTTATTAGAAGAAAGGGTTCTGCCACCAAATATGAAATGTTATTTTACTGTAAGATTATTTGTTCCTTTTGCTCACCTAATAATGCTGCGGTCTAATACAAAGGTTGGTATGTTCTGAGTTGTTTAACACATCTAGATGTGAATACCAGCAAATAAAAGCTGAAATTCTCTTGTCTCATACTCACCTTTTGATCTTAAACACAAATGTCTTCAGTGAACAACAAAAACAAAGGAATTTACCTTACCGTTCCAGTAATTTTGGAGGGGACTGTTTAAAGTGAACTAGTCGAGATGGGGAATGTATGGACATCTGTTCAGGACCCCTTGGCATTGCTTTTTAACGCCCTGGCTACCCCTTTTGCATCATTGTTTGACATCTAAGACTCCATGGTGAAGGTACTGACAACAATTACGCAACGCATGGAAAAGTTAGAAACTTTCAAAATGTAACTAGTAGTTAACATTGTGAAACGTCAAAGTTTTGGTGTTTGGCTTATAATAACAACTTAGGTGACGTAACTTACCTAAGTCAAGTTAAGTTACTTGCATAACTAACATAGCTTAAAAACATTCAGTGATGACTTTTTGTTTCACATAGTTAACGAGCACCGGCCTCCTGACTGAAAGTCCGGTTTCTGGTTCACCCATCCACCCCAACCACCTTGTTACTTAGACTTTTCTTTAAATAACATCTAGCAACCTTTCGTGTTAAAGAATAACACTACAGGGCTTCCCCCTGTGCATTAAGCTATGATCCTAAGGGGTTCCCCAGTGCATCACAAACTGATGCTGTGACCATGCGTCCATATGTGAGAACATGGGAGTGAGAACGGGTTGTCAAAGCATATTTCTAAAATGCAGGTGTTTGAAGGATCAATATAGTTTTTTTCCTCTAATTCCAGACTGGCCTGGGATCAGCAGCATGTTATTGATCTTTGTTGACATGAATAGGTACATGAATGTTTTTATGACATTTGGATGATGTCTGTAGAAGGCTGACATGCTGTGTGCACATACCGAAAGCAGCCGCCAGGAGCTGACAGCCCATGGGCGGGCTGTTGGAATATTAAGAGGTTAAGACTTGAACACATCTGATTGGATTAGAAATAGATTTTTATCTCCATCATTTATTCTTTATTCAGATTGAGGGGCTGCAGTTTGTCAGAGATCAGCTGTGCTTCTCTGACCTCAGCTCTGAATTTCAACCCCTCCCATCTGAGAGAGCTGGACCTGAGTGACAACAAGGTGCAGGATTCAGGAGTGAAGCTGCTGACTGCTGGAATGGAGAGTCCACACTGTAGATTGGAGACTCTAAGGTCAGTTCACAGACTCTCTGTTACTATTGTAGATCTGATTATTAATTAACAGTTGAACCTAATTTCTGTTCATACATAACTTCCATCCATAAAGTTGTAAATGTCCTTTTGTTCATATTTTCATGTATATTGTATTAAATTTAGTCTGCAGTCAAAAAGACTTGTGTTTCTTAAAGAAACTGTAGAAAATGTCTGCTGTTAGTCATTAAAATAAATGAATGTTTCTAATTTTTGGTAAATGGGCACATCTGTATACAGAAGATCCTCTGAACTAATATTTGTTTTAAACTGATCAAGTTTACTTTTGCATTCTGTTGGTTTCAATGTGTTTTCAGAAATAATGTCTGATCACTGATATTGATCCTTCAGAACACACACACACACACACACAGATCAAAGTATGCTACTAAATGCAGCTATTAAAAGGATCAATATGGTTTCTCTCCTCTAGTCCCAGACTGGCCTGAGATCAGCAGCATGTTGTTGATCTGTGTTGACATGAATAGGTGTATGAATGTTGTGCTGACATTTGGATGATGTCTGTAGAAGGCTGACATTATGATGATCCACAATAACACAATGACAAAGTCCCTATACTCATTTTAGGGAAAAGCTCATTGATTAGGACATAGTAATGTTGAGCTCCACATTTAAAACCTGAACACATCTGATTGGATTAGAAATGGATTTTTATCTCCATCATTTATTCTTTATTCAGATTGAGGGGCTGCAGTTTGTCAGAGATCAGCTGTGCTTCTCTGACCTCAGTTCTGAATTCCAACCCCTCCCATCTGAGAGAGCTGGACCTGAGTGACAACAAGGTGCAGGATTCAGGAGTGAAGCTGCTGACTGCTGGAATGGAGAGTCCAGACTGTAGACTGGAGACTCTAAGGTCAGTTCACTGGCTCTCTGTTACTATTGTAGATCTGATTATTAATTAACAGTTGAACCTAATTTATGTTCATACATTACTTCCATCCATAAAGTTGTAAATGTCATTTTGTTCATTTTCATGTTTATTGTATTATTGTATTATGTATCATCTTTACCAACTAACTATCTTTACCAACTAACTTCAATAATTTCTTCATCTAAACCATCAACCTGCCTCTTAGACCCCATCCCGACTAGGCTGCTTAAAGATGTTTTACCCTTAGTCAGCACCTCTATACTAGATATGATCAATCTATCTTTATCAACAGGCTATGTACCACAGTACTTTAAAGTAGCTGTAATTAAACCTCTTCTGAAAAAGCCCAAACTTGATCCGGATGTTTTATCAAACTATAGACCTATATCTAACCTTCCATTTCTCTCTAAGGTTCTGGAGAAAGCAGTTGCTAAACAGCTGTGTGACTTTCTACAGAGCAATAGTTTATTTGAGGATTTTCAGTCAGGATTTAGAGCTCATCATAGCACAGAGACAGCACTGGTGAAAATTACTAATGACCTCCTTATTGCATCAGACAAAGGACTTGTCTCTGTACTGGTTTTATTAGATCTTAGTGCTGCATTTGATACCATTGACCATCAGATCCTATTGCAGAGACTGGAATATTTCATTGGCATTAAAGGAACCGCTCTAAGCTGGTTTAAGTCCTATTTATCAGATCGATTTCAGTTTGTACATGTTAACGATGAGTCCTCCATGCACGCCAAAGTTACTCATGGAGTTCCTCAAGGATCTGTCCTTGGACCAATCCTCTTCACTTTATATATGCTTCCTTTAGGCAATATTATCAGGAAACATTCCATAAGCTTTCATTGTTATGCAGATGATACTCAGTTATATCTATCGATCAAGCCAGATGAAACTCATCAGTTAGCTAAACTTCAAATGTGCCTTCAGGATGTTAAAACCTGGATGAGCTGTAATTTTCTTATGTTAAACTCAGATAAAACTGAAGTTATTGTTCTGGGGCCTAAGCACCTCCGTGACGCATTATCTAAAGATATAGTTTCCCTGGATGGCATCGCCTTGGCCTCCAGCACCACTGTGAGGAATCTTGGAGTTATCTTTGATCAGGACATGTCGTTTAAGTCCCACATTAAGCAAATTTCAAGGACCGCCTTTTTTCACCTACGTAATATTGCGAAAATCAGGAACATCCTGTCTAAAAATGATGCAGAAAAACTAGTCCATGCATTTGTTACTTCTAGGCTGGATTACTGCAATTCCTTATTATCAGGCTGCTCGAAAAAGTCCATTAAGACTCTTCAGCTGATCCAGAATGCTGCAGCACGTGTTCTGACAGGAACCAGGAAAAGAGATCACATTTCTCCTGTTTTAGCTTCTTTGCATTGGCTTCCAGTAAAATCCAGAATAGAATTTAAAATCATTCTTCTTACCTACAAAGCTCTTAATGGTCAGGCACCATCTTATCTTAAAGAGCTCATAGTACCTTACTACCCCACCAGAGCACTGCGCTCCCAGAATGCAGGGTTACTTGTGGTTCCTAGAGTCTCCAAAAGTAGACTAGGAGCCAGAGCGTTCAGCTATCAAGCTCCTCTCCTGTGGAACCAGGTTCCAGTTTGGGTTCAGGAGGCAGACACCATCTCCACATTTAAGAGTAGGCTTAAGACTTTCCTCTTTGATAAAGCTTATAGTTAGGGCTGGCTCAGGTAGTCCTGAACCATCCCTTAGTTATGCTGCTATAGGCCTAGACTGCCGGGGGATTTCCCATGATGCACTGAGCTCCTCTCTCCTCTACTTTCTCTCCCTCTGTATGCAACCTTATCCCATTATTGCATGTTACTAACACAACTTCTCCCCTTTCTGGTAGTCTTGTGCTTTCTCGTCCCTCTCCTCTCTCCTCCTATCACTTCCTGCAGGTGTTTCTGGCTCTGGAGTTGTGGAGTCTGGATCTGTGGTTGCGGGTCGCCTGCTGCCCCCGTGTTCCTGCTCGACACCCTCTACTGCAACGACTATTGTTGCTAGTCTTATTGTTATTATAATCATTAACATTACGATGGTTACCATTAACACTATTATAAATATCTGTACCATTTTTCATTTAGTTTATAGCAACATTACCTTCGCTGTCTGTACCTCTGTGTGTATATTGTGTAGGCTGCCTCCCTCCCTCTCTCTCTCCTTACATCCCTCTCTCTCTCTCTCTCTCTCTTTCTCTCTCTCTCTCTCTTTCACTCTCTTCTCTCTCTCTTTCTCTCTCTCTCTCTCTCTCACCCCAACCGGTCGAGGCAGATGGCCGCCCACCCTGAGCCATGGTTCTGCTCGAGGTTTCTGCCTCTTAAAAGGAAGTTTTTCCTTGCCTCTGTCTCCTAGTGCTGCTCTTGGTGGGAACTGTTGGGCTTCTGTAAATAACATCAGAGTACGGTCTAGACCTGCTCTTTTATGAAAAGCGCTGTGAGATAACTGTTGTTGTGATTTGGCGCTATATAAATAAAATTGAATTGAATTGAATTATTAAATTTAGTCTGCAGTCACAAAGACTTGTGTTTCTTAAAGAAACTGTAGAAAATGTCTGCTGTTAGTCATTAAACTAAATGGATGTTTCTAATTTTTGGTAAATGGGCACATCTGTATACAGAAGATCCTCTGAACTAATATTTGTTTTAAACTGATCAAGTTTACTTTTGCATTCTGTGGGTTTCCATGTGTTTTCAGAAATAATGTCTGATCACTGATATTGATCCTTCAGAACACACACACACACACACACACAGATCAAAGCATTCTTCTAAATGCAGCTATTTAAAGGATCAATATGGTTTCTCTCCTCTAGTTCCAGACTGGCCTGAGATCAGCAGCATGTTATTGGTCTGTGTTGACATGAATAGGTGTATGAATGTTGTGCTGACATTTGGATGATGTCTGTAGAAGGCTGACATTATGATGATCCACAATAACACAATGACAAAGTCCCTCTACTCATTTTAGGGAAAGCTCATTGATTAGAACATAGTAATGTTGAGCTCCACATTTAAGACTGAACACATCTGACTGGATTAGAAATATATTTTTATCTTCATCATTTATCCTTTATTCAGATTGAGGGGCTGCAGTTTGTCAGAGATCAGCTGTGCTTCTCTGGCCTCAGCTCTGAAGTCCAACCCCTCCCATCTGAGAGAGCTGGACCTGAACTACAACGAGCTACAGGATTCAGGAGTGAAGCTGCTGTGTGGTTTTCTGGAGAGTCCACACTATAGACTGGAGACTCTGGGGTCAGTTCACTGGTGCTCTGTTACTATTGTAGATCTGATATGTTTAATTAACAATTCAAGCTAATTTCTGTTCATGCATAATTTCCATTCATAAAGTTGTAAATGTCCTTTTGTTCCTATTTTTATGTTTCGCGTGCTAAATTTAGTCTGCAGTCACTAAGACTTGTGTTTCTTAAAGAAAATGTAGAAAATATCTGCTGTTAGTCGTTAAAGTAAATTAATATTTCAAATTATTGGTAAATGGTCACATCTGTGTACAGAAGATCCTCTGAACTAACATTTGTTTTAAACTTTATTTGTTTACTTGTTGAGAGTAGAAATATTTCAATGGATAAAGTAAAATTATTATACAAATGACTTAATCTAGCTGGTCCAATAGCTATCATCTGAGTTTTTGCTGAGTTAAATAGCAGGAAATTTGCTGATAACCAGCTCCTCACAGCAGCCAAGCAAGTCAATAACTTGACCGAATCAGATGCATGTCCTGCAATAACTGGCATATATATTTGTAAATCATCAACATAGCAATGAAAAGCTATCCCAAAAGAATGAATGATCTGACCTAGTGGCGCCAAGTATAACGAAAACAACAATGGACCAAGGTCTGAACCCTGTGGAATCCCGTGTTGAAGTGGGGAATGGTTGGAAAATGTGTTGTTATAAAACACACATTGAGATCTTTCTGAAAGGTAAGATCTCAACCTTTTAAGCACCTGGCCAGAGATGCTGAAGTATTTCTTGATTCTTTCCAAAAGAATAGTGTTCCACAGTATCAAAAGCCACGCAGATGTTAAGTCTGAGTCAGCAACCGACAGATCATTTACAGCTTTACTTTGTGAGTGCTCGAAAAGCAGAATGCGGCAGCTCAAAAAGGATATTAAATGAGAGAAGGCCAAATTAGAAACATGTCTATAATTTTCCAACGAGTTTATATCCAGATATGGTTTCTTCAATAATGGTTTAACCACTGCAGATTTGAAGCAAGCTGGAAAAACTCCTGTGGAGAGCGAAAGGTTTAAAACAGCTAAAACATACAATCGTAATGTTGGCCTTAGTTCTTTAATAATCCAGGCAGGCAAGGGATCCAAAGAGCAAGTGGTACCTCTTGCAGTCACAACAATTTTAGTTAACTCCGCTAAAGAAATCGGCTCTAACTCAGAGTGGCCCTGTCCTGTAGAAAATGGCCCCATGATAGCGCAGTCTAATCGGTATCGTAGGTCGGATGTCCTCAACTCTCTCATAAAAATACATCATAAAATCATGTGATGACAAATCTGTACTACTTACTGGCTGCTGACACTGTGTAAGTCTATCAACAGTTTCAAATAAAAGTCCAGGGTTATGCTTATTATTCATAATCACATTATTTTTTAATTAAAGGCCGCCTTTGCAGTAGCCGTCCTACACACACACACACACACACTGGCCTGAGAACAGCAGCATGTTATTGATCTGTGTTGACATGAATAGGTGTATGAATGTTGTGCTGACATTTGGATGATGTCTGTAGAAGGCTGACATTATGATGATCCACAATAACACAATGACAAAGTCCCTCTACTCATTTTAGGGAAAAGCTCATTGATTAGGACATAGTAATGTTGAGCTCCACATTTAAAACCTGAACACATCTGATTGGATTAGAAATGGATTTTTATCTCCATCATTTTTTCTTTATTCAGGTCGAGGGGCTGCAGTTTGTCAGAGATCAGCTCTCTTGCCTTAGCTCTGAATTCCAACCCCTCCCAGAGAGAGCTGGACCTGAGTGACAACGAGCTGCAGGATTCAGGAGAGAAGCTGCTGACTGCTGGACAGGAGAGTCCACACTGTAGCCTGCAGATTTTGAGGTCAGTACTGAGTTGAAATCAGCCCTTTCTGATGAGCCCCTTGTTGGTCTCGGAACTGGTACTTGTGTCAGTAGCATCCAATAAAAGATCCACTATTTCCAGGCACAGTCTCTTCTTGCTAAGTGAGAGTTGCAGGCGTGAGAGGAGCATTGCGTTCGTTCAGGCTGAGCACTGATGTCACATTTTCAGTGGCTCATCAGCTTCTTAGCTACCAGCTGACCAGTAATATCCAATCATATCCATACAGGTGTCTCCATTATAACCTGACACTACTCACTGATTACTCTCACGCTGATATGCTCACACCAAGTATTTAGTATTGTAGTATTTAATGCACTGTTTATTAAGAGAGTTCAGTTTTCCTCATCACTGCTCAGATTCATTGTGATCTTCCTCAAAGAGAGCCTTTTCTGACAAATATATCTATCATCAGGGCTAAAATCGAACTGCAACACAATATGTCACATTTTCCCCAATTTAACTGCATTACTAGTAAATGCTTTGGTAATTAATACAGAAACTACAATGTGCTGTTTAATTTTAGTTTAGGGTCAGCCAGCCACTCCATCCCAGGCTACCCTGTTCACGCAAACCACCAGACCACTAATGGTGTAGACTAACCCTATTTGTTAATGTAACTGGTTCCAAACTAGGTATAGATTTGGCCACTATGTTCGCGTGGGAAGAAATTTATTCACTTTACAAAATGCAAACATTCAGGACAGACCATTTAAATAACCTGTCTGAACACTGTTTTCAAGGCAGCTATGGGTGCACCCTCAAACACTCCAGAGAAATAGCCTAGCCTGTACCAATCATAGCACATACACATGTAAAAGGATAGACACAATACACCAGTAGCCTAGACTTTTGAAAAAGAGAATGAGATATACATAGTTTGCTCAAATGTTTAAATGATTATCTCTATATACAAACACCAATCATATCAAAAGTATAGTAGTAAAAAAACATACAATGTTCAATCACAGGTGTCCAGAAAGAAAACAGACCATCTATCTTTCAATAATTTCTAGAAGATATATTGTCGGTGTTTTCTAGCCTATAAAGAAAATACAGTTGCACGGGCAGAGATTCAGTAGGCACAGAAGTTGTTGCCATGGTTCTTAACGCGCTCGCCTGCCTGTCTGTTCACGAGGAAGCGGTTAATTCCCGCAGATCAAAAACAGTCAGCAGGCAGAGCGTTTCTCCCCGTCTGAAAAGTTCTTTGGACATGTTAAACGCTAAAACATGTTGCCAGGTCGTGGAAGTTCTTAACACCAACCTAGTAGCGGTCGCAATATTTTGCAGATAAACAGAGAGAGAGAAACGCAGATATGGTGGATGCATGGATTCTCTGGCTTGTTATGGCCAATGTTAAAAAAAAAAGCTTGCTATAATTATCGCAGCTGCTGGTCAAGTTGACAATTACTGTCATACCAAAACGGCCCTCAGGCCACTGGGAAATCACTTGATGAAGACTTGCACCCTCCTTGTTTTTCAACATTAAATTAAAAAAAAACAATTGCAGACTTGCAGGTCTGATCAATGTTTGCTATAAATGATCAGTTCCTTTAAGTAACTGTATCTGAAGTGTATTTTTGTACAGACGTCTAGCTTCCTCAGTGTTGAAGGTTCACTGTCACATTGACTGGAGTGCAGAAGATGAGTGTTTGTGTGGAGAAAGAGGAGGAAAGATCAGAGTCTGCAGGATCGAGATGTCTGTCTGTGAAGAGTGACTGGTCTAAAGAAAGACCTCTCGTCTTCAGTAAAACGCTTATTGAAATCCTCGGTCCTTATCCTGCTTGACCTATCAGCTGCCTTTGCCTTTCAGTGTATCGTGGCAAGGACAATTATCCTCTTTGACTGTCTGACCATTTTAACTGTCTTCATTAGAGATAACTGCTGTATGTGTTTTTTATTACAGGGTGGATGACAAAGAAAACAAATCTACACGTGACAGACATGAAGGATGTGAGTAAAAGCCCACTGGAATATCTTAAAGAAAATGTTATTAAAGCCAACTGGAAGATTGGTCTCTGCATGTTTCATGGCTCTGGTTAATCCCAGTAACATTGTTCTGCTCTGCATGTTGGGAAAGATGATGTCTTGTTGCTGTGTTGCCTCACTGCAAGAATGTATTGAATCTCTGTCCTTGTTACATGTGATTGTATGGACTTGGTTATAACTTTGCATCTTTAGACTTTTAAACATGACTGTGGTCTTCTACATCTTGACCTTATTCGATGGTTTTCCAGTAGAGTTCAACAGGACACATGGGGTAACGACCTGCTCCAAAGGGCCCTGGCCAGCCTTGAACTGGTTACAGTGGTTACAGGTTTTTGAATGTTGGGTCACCAGGACGTCCAAAAGTGAGTTTGACGTCTGCTTCTGCTTCTCTCCATCCGATGTCTCTGATCACCACCAGATCCGTCTGAGGACGCCAGAGAGGATCAGCTGTGTCCTGATGATCCAAGAGGTTGAAGCAGCAGCAGCTTCTGTGTGGAGAGGCTCTGAATACAAAGGTCACTTTTTCACTTGAACATTTTTATTTTTCAGTGATCAGATTCAGTTTCCTTAGTTTTACCGCCCCCAGGGTTTAATATTTCTTAACTTCTAAACTCCTCCCACTCCTAATTCCACCGCTTCATCTATGAAACCTCTAGCTGCTGTACCAGAGCTCTGCAGGTTTCACTTGTGCAGGATCATTCCCTGAAGAATAATGATAATTTAGTCATTTTGACAACAGATAAGCAAGTGATGTCTCTGACTGACCCACTGAGTCCTGTCTCACTTTAAATATTAGCAAGACTGCATGTATGTATTTTTCACTCAGTAGAAAATATTTTCATCATCCTGAAATCTTTTTAGGGTGACAAGCTTCAAATAGTCTCAGACTTCATGAACCTTTAGATAATTATCGACTCACACATAACCTTTAAGAAACAGGTGAAGGGTCATCCATGTCAAACTGAACCTTAGCGTCTTCAGATTCATCAGGAACCAGTTGTCACCAGCTGCTGCTATGTTGCACTCTGTTTCCTCCACACCGTCATATTGTATTACCACATGGTCCTGAGCAGCAGAAACATTCTAAGGCCCATGCACAGTTTATACAAAAGAACTCCAAATACTGGACAAAAAGACAGTATCCAAATTAAGAACACTGGTGTCAGTGTGAGTTGGAGATGTTCATTCATGCTTTTATTTCCTCTTGTTTAGATTACTGTAACAGTCTTTTTACTTGTTTGAGCAAGAAGGAGCTTTACCGTCTCCAGGCTGTTCAGAACTCTGCTGCAAGGCTTTTAACTCACATTAACATAAGAGTACACATCACACCTGTTTTAGCAGCACTTCACTGGTTACCAGTCCAGTATAGAATTCAGTTTAAAATCCTGGTTCTTACTTTTAGAGCCTGCATGGTCAGGTTTCTCCCTACATCTCTGAGTTGATACAGCTTCATACTCTGACCCACAGATTGAGGTCATCAGGTCAGAGGCGGTTAGTGGTTCACTAAACTCATTTTAAAACCAGAGGGGATCGATCATTCCCAGCAGCGGCACCGAGGCTGTGGAACGCTTTGCCTCCCTTTCCACGTGCTGTGAATTCTGTTGATTCTTTTAAAAAGCAATTGAAGACGCTGCTATTCAAGCAAGCTTTTAATTAGACGTGCATTTTTTATGGTTAGTTTCTATGTTTTCCATTTGTATTACATTTTCCTATGCATTGTATTTTACTTTGTTGTATTGTATTACATTTTATTGTGAAGCACTTTGTGATATTTATCTGTGAAAGGTGCTAAACAAATAATTTTTTGTTTATTTACTATTAACCACAAAGTAGACATACCAAAGGATTTTGTTGTGATTTAATGTTTTAAATGAATGTCTATTCTCTGTAACCTGACTCAAATTTGAACATTTGATGCCATTATTCTTTTGTGGATTTGCCTGCTCAGGGACAGCTGATGAAATTTAGCTACCAAGCTAACTTATAGACAGCTGATAACTCTCCAATGTTCCTGTTAAATAAAAAGACAAACTATAAATAGGAAAGAGTACACATAGTAAAAGTGAAGAAGAAAGGATCCTGTCACATGAACCTTACTGTGAGAGATGAGAGAGGCCAGTTTCTGCTCCCACCTCAAGGTGTTCTGTAACTAATTTAGTGCCTTTTTCAATTTTAGGAAAAGTCAAGTTTCACTCCTGAAATGCTGACTGACTCTGGAAAGACTTCATACAGGTAACTAAATCATAAAATGCAGAATAGTCCTCTCACACTTTAACCTACGCTTCACCTCCTCACAGTGATTAAACTTTAACCTACGCTTCACCTCCTCACAGTGATTAAACTTTAACCTACGCTTCACCTCCTCACAGTGATTAAACTTAACCACGCTTCACCTCCTCACAGTGATTAAACTTTAACCTACGCTTCACCTCCTCACAGTGATTAAACTTTAACCTACGCTTCACCTCCTCACAGTGATTAAACTTAAACCACGCTTCACCTCCTCTCAGTGATTAAACTTTAACCTACGCTTCACCTCCTCTCAGTGATTAAACTTTAACCTACGCTTCACCTCCTCTCAGTGATTAAACTTTAACCTACTCTTCACCTCCTCACAGTGATTAAACTTTAACCTACTCTTCACCTCCTCTCAGTGATTAAACTTTAACCTACGCTTCACCTCCTCTCAGTGATTAAACTTTAACCTACGCTTCACCTCCTCTCAGTGATTAAACTTTAACCTACGCTTCACCTCCTCTCAGTGATTAAACTTTAACCTACGCTTCACCTCCTCACAGTGATTAAACTTAAACCTACGCTTCACCTCCTCACAGTGATTAAACTTAAACCACGCTTCACCTCCTCTCAGTGATTAAACTTTAACCTACGCTTCACCTCCTCTCAGTGATTAAACTTTAACCTACGCTTCACCTCCTCACAGTGATTAAACTTTAACCTACGCTTCACCTCCTCTCAGTGATTAAACTTAAACCTACTCTTCACCTCCTCTCAGTGATTAAACTTTAACCTACTCTTCACCTCCTCTCAGTGATTACACTTTAACCTACTCTTCACCTCCTCTCAGTGATTACACTTTAACCTACTCTTCACCTCCTCTCAGTGATTAAACTTTAACCTACGCTTCACCTCCTCACAGTGATTAAACTTAAACCTACGCTTCACCTCCTCACAGTGATTAAACTTAAACCACGCTTCACCTCCTCTCAGTGATTAAACTTTAACCTACGCTTCACCTCCTCTCAGTGATTAAACTTTAACCTACGCTTCACCTCCTCACAGTGATTAAACTTTAACCTACGCTTCACCTCCTCTCAGTGATTAAACTTTAACCTACGCTTCACCTCCTCTCAGTGATTAAACTTTAACCTACTCTTCACCTCCTCACAGTGATTAAACTTTAACCTACTCTTCACCTCCTCTCAGTGATTAAACTTTAACCTACGCTTCACCTCCTCTCAGTGATTAAACTTTAACCTACGCTTCACCTCCTCACAGTGATTAAACTTTAACCTACGCTTCACCTCCTCACAGTGATTAAACTTTAACCTACGCTTCACCTCCTCACAGTGATTAAACTTAAACCTCCGCTTCACCTCCTCACAGTGATTAAACTTAACCTACGCTTCACCTCCTCTCAGTGATTAAACTTTAACCTACGCTTCACCTCCTCTCAGTGATTAAACTTTAACCTACGCTTCACCTCCTCTCAGTGATTACACTTTAACCTACGCTTCACCTCCTCTCAGTGATTACACTTTAACCTACGCTTCACCTCCTCTCAGTGATTACACTTTAACCTACGCTTCACCTCCTCTCAGTGATTACACTTTAACCTACGCTTCACCTCCTCTCAGTGATTACACTTTAACCTACGCTTCACCTCCTCTCAGTGATTAAACTTTAACCTACGCTTCACCTCCTCTCAGTGATTACACTTTAACCTACTCTTCACCTCCTCACAGTGATTACACTTTAACCTACGCTTCACCTCCTCACAGTGATTACACTTTAACCTACGCTTCACCTCCTCTCAGTGATTACACTTTAACCTACTCTTCACCTCCTCTCAGTGATTACACTTTAACCTACGCTTCACCTCCTCTCAGTGATTACACTTTAACCTACGCTTCACCTCCTCTCAGTGATTACACTTTAACCTACGCTTCACCTCCTCTCAGTGATTACACTTTAACCTACGCTTCACCTCCTCTCAGTGATTACACTTTAACCTACGCTTCACCTCCTCTCAGTGATTACACTTTAACCTACTCTTCACCTCCTCTCAGTGATTACACTTTAACCTACTCTTCACCTCCTCACAGTGATTAAACTTTAACCTACGCTTCACCTCCTCTCAGTGATATACACTTTGATTAAACTTTAACCTCCTCTTCACCTCCTCTCAGTGATATACACTTTGATTAAACTTTAACCTACTCTTCACCTCCTCTCAGTGATATACACTTTGATTAAACTTTAACCTCCTCTTCACCTCCTCTCAGTGATATACACTTTGATTACACTTTAACCTACGCTTCACCTCCTCTCAGTGATTAAACTTTAACCTACTCTTCACCTCCTCTCAGTGATTAAACTTTAACCTACGCTTCACCTCCTCTCAGTGATTAAACTTTAACCTACTCTTCACCTCCTCTCAGTGATTAAACGTTGACCTACGCTTCACCTCCTCTTCACCTCCTCTCAGTGATATACACTTTGATTACACTTTGACCTACTCTTCACCTCCTCTCAGTGATTACACTTTAACCTACGCTTCACCTCCTCTCAGTGATTACACTTTAACCTCCTCTTCACCTCCTCTCAGTGATATACACTTTGATTACACTTTGACCTACTCTTCACCTCCTCTCAGTGATTACACTTTAACCTACGCTTCACCTCCTCTCAGTGATTACACTTTAACCTACTCTTCACCTCCTCTCAGTGATATACACTTTGATTACACTTTGACCTACTCTTCACCTCCTCTCAGTGATTACACTTTAACCTACGCTTCACCTCCTCTCAGTGATTACACTTTAACCTACTCTTCACCTCCTCACAGTGATTAAACTTTAACCTACGCTTCACCTCCTCACAGTGATTAAACTTTAACCTACGCTTCACCTCCCTCAGTGATTAAACTTTAACCTACTCTTCACCTCCTCTCAGTGATTAAACTTTAACCTACTCTTCACCTCCCCTCAGTGATTAAACTTTAACCTACTCTTCACCTGCTCACAGTGATTAAACTTTAACCTACTCTTCACCTCCTCTCAGTGATTAAACTTTAACCTACGCTTCACCTCCCCTCAGTGATTAAACTTTAACCTACTCTTCACCTGCTCTCAGTGATTAAACTTTAACCTACGCTTCACCTGCTCACAGTGATTAAACTTTAACCTACTCTTCACCTCCTCTCAGTGATTAAACTTTAACCTACGCTTCACCTCCTCTCAGTGATTAAACTTTAACCTACGCTTCACCTGCTCACAGTGATTAAACTTTAACCTACTCTTCACCTCCTCTCAGTGATTAAACTTTAACCTACGCTTCACCTCCTCTCAGTGATTAAACTTTAACCTACGCTTCACCTGCTCACAGTGATTAAACTTTAACCTACTCTTCACCTCCTCTCAGTGATTAAACTTTAACCTACTCTTCACCTCCCTCAGTGATTAAACTTTAACCTACTCTTCACCTGCTCACAGTGATTAAACTTTAACCTACTCTTCACCTCCTCTCAGTGATTAAACTTTAACCTACGCTTCACCTCCTCTCAGTGATTAAACTTTAACCTACTCTTCACCTGCTCACAGTGATTAAACTTTAACCTACTCTTCACCTCCTCTCAGTGATTAAACTTTAACCTACGCTTCACCTCCTCTCAGTGATTAAACTTTAACCTACTCTTCACCTCCTCTCAGTGATTAAACTTTAACCTACTCTTCACCTCCTCTCAGTGATTAAACTTTAACCTACTCTTCACCTGCTCACAGTGATTAAACTTTAACCTACGCTTCACCTCCTCTCAGTGATTAAACATTGACCTACGCTTCACCTCCTCTTCACCTCCTCTCAGTGATTAAACTTTAACCTACTCTTCACCTCCTCTCGGTGATTAAACTTTAACCTACTCTTCACCTCCTCTCAGTGATTAAACATTCACCTACGCTTCACCTCCTTTCAGCGATTACACTTTAGCTCATAAGGCTGTATAGCCTGCAATCTTCATCAAAACCTGGTCCAACAGCACTAAGCGTAGGCTTGTTAAACAACATTCACCTAAGCAGCGGTATAAGTTTTGTTATTACTGGACCTCAGTGCTGATTCAACATGGATGACCTGATACTGCTCGACAGGCTAGAAAAGTGGGTGGGACTTTCTGGCACTGTGCTTAATTGGTTAAAATCATATTTACAAGATTTGCTTTCTGTCAATTGGTAATAAAGGAATCTGGGCGAACAAAAATCACACGCTCAGATTATTGAACATTACAGAAATCAATTCTAAATCATACTGGGATCCAGTGTAAGAGGCTAAAACAGGCTTGATGTGGTCACTTCTCCTGATCTTGATAAATGCTCTGTTCAGTCTGGAGCCGATTAATAGGCTTTTGGTTGAGGCAGGTGAAGAGGCCGTTGCATTAGTCGAGGCATGAGGAGATGAAGGGATGTAAGATGGTCTCTGAAAGATAAACTAGATCGTACTTTGGAAGTATTTCTAAGATGATAAAAACAAGTCCACCCGAGTTTTGTTGTGTGCCGCTCAAAGATTAAATTACTGTCAATTTTAGTGTGAGCAGAAAAGTATCAGGTTGTGACCGAGCAGAAAGAAATATTAAAATATGTAAAATACAATATTAATAAAAACTGTTGAACTCAACAGATCATGTGACCAGCAGGCTGAAAGCCTGTTGTAATCTGCCCTTCTGTGTCCTGCAGGTTCAGGTGTCCTGGTCCAGGTGTGTTCCAGTGTACTTTGACTGGACTGATGTTTGGTATGACTCAGGAGGCGGAGCTGCTGTACCGGACTGTCCAATGGGATGAGAGCCTCCTCCAATCAGCCGGCAAGACGGCTGCAGGGCTGCTGTTCAGTATCAAGTGTCCTGAGGATGCTGTCTGTCAGCTCCACCTGCCGCACTGTGAAACAAAGGACGGTGAGGACTTTATTGTGATTAGTGAGGGGAGAGTTTTGTCTGAGCAACGATG